TATCTATTTATAAGCAAATATCATAAAAATTATGAAGATTTAGATACTCTTAAATTAATGTAATTCTGGATGCTTCATCATACTTTTTTGGAATTGCAGATTTTAATTAAATTTTTATAATTTTTTTTATAATAAGTATAATAAATTAATAATAAAAATTCATTATTGAATTTGTTCATTTATGGTTTCAAAAATTTTTAGGGCATTTTGTAATAAATTAAAATGTTAGATTTTTCAGATGACTCCTACTCTTTTTAAATTTAACCTGTTAATTAAAGAAAGAAGAATATTAAACTATTAGTTAAGTTGATGAAACATCATAAAGTTGCTAAATTAAATCAATCTATTACACTTGATAGAAATTTAGATTAACTCTATGAAAATTATAGGAATATTAATTCATAGGCTGAAGAAATTATAGAAGTATAATAAATTTTAAGTGCTGTCTATAATAAAGGTCATATTAGTAGATAAATACCAAGAGAAAGGAAATTAAAATTTTTGTAAAAAGTAAATCATGAAAGAAAAAGAATCGAGGATGTTATAGAAGAAAGTGAAGATGATGAAGTAGAGGTAAATAAAAAAATAAAAAATGAAATAAAACAGAAATTACTTTATTTAATAATTAATAAGGTACCATTACCATTTATTTTAAATTTTATTGAATTTTAGTAAAAAAGAGAATAATTAGTAAAATTGAAAATTAGATGTGAAGACTCATTATTAGATTCATTAAATTTTACATTAATTAAAGATCATAGAAATGAAGAAGAATTAAATTAAAATCTAAAATGCATAGAGATTATTAAAATGAAAGAACTATTATAGATGAGTTTAGAATAATTAGAAAAGAGTAAAGAAAATATATTAACTGAATTAAATGAAATGTTTCTTGATTTAAAATCATGTAAAACTTAGTTGATGAAAAAATTAGAGTTTTTTTAGTAGAATGATGATAGTTTAGACCCATAAATAAATAAATTATTAGAAATAATAAGGAATCTTATTGGTTATTGTAAATCAAAATCATCTTTAAATGGTTAATTTGATAAATCTGTATTAATGCCTAGAAAAAATGGTTTAAGATGGTTATAAAAGATAATTATGTTAAATTGTTGGGTTTCATAGATATCCTTTCCAGAGATATTAATATACATATAAATGAAAGGAGATTTAGATAAGAATAAAGCAAATCCAAAGAGATAATGTGTGATACAATTATCGAAAAAGCTTGATTTTCTAAGGAAAATATATAATATTCCAGAAGTTCGAAAGAAATGTTGGGATCAAAAAGTAGTTTTAATGGATTAAACTAAAAGAACACCTAGTTATATTTTATAAGAATATAACTTACACTTACATCAATTACATAAAAGTTTATTTTATGATAAATTGTATTTGGACAATATGTAAGATTATGTTTTAGAATCATAATTACGTATGTTAGTATAAAGATTTTAATAATAAAAATACTAAATTTTTGAAGCATATCAAGATTTGAGATGTCAAATTAATATGATTCCAATAAATATTCTATATAAAGATTATTTGGAATGGTATAAATATGATATTGAATAACTATCAAGATTTGACTATATAAAACATGCAAAAGATGTAATTGTAGTTTGTCTTATTAAACATTTAGGAATGCTTTTAAGAAAGGAGAATATTTTTAAGAAAGAATCAGAAATTATTAAATTGCATTTTGATAATAGATTTTCTTATTCAATTTATTATAAAGATAAAGATAAAGGAGACATTTATTAATGTAATAAATACTTTTATATTAAAATATTGCTTTGTGATTTTATTGCAATGGATTAGCCATTTCCAAATTTATTTCGTTTCTTAACTTTAAGACTTGAAAAAGTTGAATCAATTAATTAAGAAGAGATTTTGGCTTAACTTTTGAGTGAAAAATATGTAAGGAATTATTTATTAACAAAATATAATTTAAAAATTGGAGTTGAATAAACAGGCAATCGAATAATAATTACAAGTATTCCATTATCTTTTGATGATATTACAAGAGAATTATATTATATACCATGGGAATATGTAGTAACCTCTTCTTTATCAATAATATACCGTTATAGAAATTATTTAAAGAATGAAATATAATAGATGATTTCAAGTAGAGAATTTTAAGACTATAGATCAAATTTGAAGGCAGATTCAAAACTTTATTTCTAATAATCAGAAATTATAACTAAATTGGAAAATACTTAGAAAGACCTTAAAAAATGAATAAACTATTTATATATCAACCCTGTTATTTAATTATTAAAATTGTACATTATTATAGTATTTATTTATTTATAAATTTCATATAAAAACTCTTATTTGTATTAATCATAACAAAATATTTTATTTTTTAGCTGCTTATTTTAATAGTTTATGTTTCTCAGTTTATAAAGAATTATCATAAATTTTCTTAAATTAATCGTAATCTTCTATACTTCGATTTATTTTTAATGCATCAAATAATTCAGTTGTATTGACATATTCTAATTATATATCTTTTTGAAATGAATTAGAAAATTCGTATGTCTATTAGGAATCTTACAATTTATATTTTGTCAGAATATATAGAGATTATATTTCGATTAAAATGTCTTATGATTTAGTATAAGCAATAAGGGATGGAAGTAATAATTGTTCTTTAAGTTATAAATCGTTTGCAATAGCATAATCAAGAATATTTGCAAATAATTTAGAATATTTTTAAGCATACATCTTAAGATAAATTTCATGACTAAATAATATCTTAGCAACTTCTTCATAGATGGTACATAGATTATCATAATTATTTTTATTAACTTAATGTTTTAAGGTACTAAGTAAATAAATCATGAAACCTGTATTTCTAATTTGGATAGATTTCATTTCACTTATGTAATTCAAAATGTATGTCAAATCTCTTTAATAAAAGGCTATATCTTGAAATAAAGATACTTACATTAGTAGTAACATTTAGCACTAAGTTTAAATTTCTTTAATTATTATTCAGATTTGCTAAAATAAACTTCATAGATTGCATAGACACCAATTGTTATAATAATTCCTCCAAATATTGATGAAAATAGATCTGTATGATTATCTCTATTTTATATTCTTTGATTTAGAATAATAATTTCAGAGTTGAGTTCAAATTCTTTTTTAAAAGCTAAATCATTATTAATGTTTTTATTTAGAATGGCTGGAACATGGTTTATTTTAACTATCTATTTACAAAATTTATACATTAAAATAATTATGAATGAATAAAGATTATAGCAACATATATGTAATTAATTATGAAAACAATATAGTTATAATAATTTATATATTTAATATCAAATGGATTATAATATGAAATTTGTAGAATTATTAAAAAAACATGAAAATCATTAGATGATACTTCAAGTAGCATTGGATATAATGCTTCAGGAGAAAAATTACAAAAATTAATTGACAAAGTATAGAGATGAATTGAGAAGAGATGATAAAATATTAGTAACTAAATGCACAAAAGCATTAAAAGAATTAGCAATGAGATCATAATAAGATTAAACAAAAGCTTTAGAGAAAATAAGTAAAATTGATTAATAGATTATGCTTTATTTAAAAGATTAAGTTTTACCTATCATCCATTTTGATAGAAAGTTAAATAATTATACTTTTATAAAGTATTATACTGATCCAGGTATTTGAATGAATTATAATAGAAAATTCAAAAAGTCCATAAGAAACAATAATTGAGACTTAACACAAAGAAAATACAAATTTGGAAACATTCGAAGCTGATTTTTCAAAGTTAGAGTGGAAATTAGAAATTACTTTGTCTAGTATAAAGATGAGAAAAGTATTATTTAATAATGAGTAATGATTAGGTAATTCGACCATTAATTCTTTTAATATTCCATACAAAAAAAGGAGTGAAGAAAACAATGTACTTAGATTACAATCAATTCTAAGAGTTCAGAAAGAATGTTGCATTGGTTTTAAGATAAATCCATATAATTGAGAGTATTTAAAGTAATTTTTGAATTGATTATTATTTAATTAATAAATGCTTCAAGAAGTAACAATTCCTTGTGGGAGATATAATTTCGATCCAGAAACTAAAAAAGTAGTTATGGTGAAAGCAAAAGGATTGTTAAATTTATATTTAAATGATGAAAATGAATTATGGTTGAAATGGTATAATGTTGATTAAGATGGTTTATTAGAAATTGTATTAATATTTAATATAAAACTAAGGTAAGAGTTTTAATTAAAGGATGCACATTTTTTGAAAAAGTAAAAGGTTAGAACAGAGTATATCTTTTAAGATTTACTGATGATGATTAAAAATATTTCTTTTGGATGCAAGTAATTCATGGTTTTTATTGAATTAGTCCGATGATTTAAATTCAGACGAAAATTATTGCAAATAATTTAATAATATCATTAATGCTTAAGTTTTAGATGGCTCTATTGAAATTGAATAATAAACTCCAATTCAAAATCAAGTTTAACCTTAAATTGTATAACGTTAATCTTAATCTACACAATAATAAGTAGATCAATAATAATAATAACTTTTATAATTACTTTAATAATAATTAGCATAAAGAGTAGGTCCAGGAATATCTTTAACAGATATTTTGAGTAGTGAATTCTTAAATTAAATTGGAAATGATGAAGAATATTTTTAAGTGTTAAAAAAGTAACTTTTTATATCTATTTATATTATAGTCATTTACCTTCTGATTAATAAGACTTTGAATAATTTAAAGAGAATTTATTAAGTCCTTAATTTAAATAAGCTTTAGATTAATTGACTCATGCTTTAAAAGGAGTAGAAAGAAGTTCTGTTATTTAATAATTAGATTTGAATTATAGAATATTAGAATAAGAATTTGATGGAGTTATAGCTTTTGTTAAAGCTATTATTTAATAAGTTTAAAATAAAAATTGATATTATAGATTTTTATTATGAATTCATTAATTCTAATTTAAATCTCTACACATTCTAGCTATTTGTTTTTAAAATTGGTAACTCGTTGACAATATTTATTCAATAAGTTATTAATTTAATTATGTTAGTTAAAATTATTTATCTTTAATTTTTGATTCAATTAACTCTAATTCTTCAACTTCCTAATAGTGAAAATTGTTGGAGTACTTTTGATAATTTTTCTAATTTTTCATCTTCTCGGGCTTCCTTTTTGGCAGATTCATTGGATTGTCTAATGATTTCATATAAAGGTAATCCTAAAACACATGAATATATAAATAAATCTGAAAATAGATCTGTGCCTATATAAAAATATGTAAAATATTAAAAAACCTTTCATAAATGCAGCTTCATTTGTTAAAGGTTTAACAAATATTTATTCACTTGATTAACCAATTGAAGCTCTTTCTATATACATATCAAATTTATGATATTTATTTCCAAGAAAAATAAAACTATTTCTGACTATTCTTCTTAAATAAGATCTCTTATTATTATTATTAAGAGCATATCTTTTAATAATATTGGCAACAGGTTTAGAAAAAGTACGTATGAAAAGTGAAGCTAATTTTTTAAATGGAATCATAATATTAAATATCTGATTTATATTAAATTAATCAAAAAATATAACAAAGTGCATTTGGAACAAATTTATGATGGAATCTATATAAAAACAAGAGAAATACTACCAATAAACAAATTATTAATTATTTAATAACAAGAAAGTAATAAGAGAAATTAATTTATATGAGAAGATGAATCATAAAAATAATTTTCAACAATATTAGAACCTAATTCTTAATCAAGAATGTTTTTATTATATGGAATATTGTTAATTAATTAGCATTAAATAAAATAAAGTATTATATAAAAAATAGATGATGAATTAATGTAAAGATTGCTTATTTAATCCTATGTGGTATAAAACATATTCATATATTATTCATAGAGTCTTAAACCATCAAAAAGTATGCTACATGATGGAATAATTAAAAATTGAGATTTTAGTTCTATAGAACATCTTAGTAAATTAGTTTTAAGGATTTTCTAAATACATCTGAAATATTATTTTGAAAAAGAAACTATGCAAATGAAGTTTATAAATGGTTTATTATTTGTATCTATGCTGAATTACTTACAGGAATACCATTAATTACTGACAATATTCAATTTGGTAATATTTTAGGTTCACCTACTGAAGATAATTGGCCAAAAGTTAAAAATCTACCTGATTAAGGAAAATTAAGTGTTTACTTTCTTTATTTCAGCTTTTAACTTGTTGGACAAAAATCATTTTATTCACATTTTGATTTAACTGATAATATTTAATCAATTTTTATAAGCAACTTAAAAATATTAGGATTGTCTTACTGTCTCTGAATTATTGAAACATTAATATTTTAATATGATTAATGAAAATTTTGAAATCAATGCTGAATGTCTTCCTAAAGAATAATATAATCCCCATTATAAATATATTTGAAATTTATATCAATTCATGAATTCTACAATACAATTTCCTTAAAATGATGATATTGCAAATCATAAAATAAAAGCCCTAGAACTTAATGCAAATTAGTTTCAAGCATAATTTAAAGTATCTTAAAAAGATTATTAAGCCTCTTTTTCATGAAAATACTAAGTTAAAATAACATGTCATTAGCCTTAACTTTTATATCGAAGAACGCAAATTATAATTAAGTAATTTAATCAATGATACTGGACCTAATGGAGAAGACAGAGTTTTGATTAAAGCAGTCGCTGATTTTAAATAGATTTGTGATCTTTTAGAGGGTATTTTAATTGTTAGTTTGTAGAAGAATTACTTAGAATGAATAACACTATTGTTGAAAATACTAATGAAAACTAGAAACTAAAAATCCTCATTAAATAAATAAAAGATAAATCAGAATAAGATAGAGATCGATATTTTATAGAGAAACAGTCATTTATTGATTAAAATCGCCGTTTGAATGAATATCATAAATAACAGTCACTTGATTGGGAATAAATTTAAAATAGAATGGTATATAATATTCATTAAACTTTAGAAAATGAAAATTGAAGATTTAAGCTCTTAATTGCTACAATTATAATAGAATATCAATAAAATCCATAAACATTACAAATATTAAATTGAGGAGAAATCTCTCATTTAAAATCAAGTGCTTATAAAAATCAATTTGGAAAAGTAAGAAATGATTGAAAAATTTGAAGTTGAAAGGAGATCTTACTTATAATAATTAGAAATTTTTAGTAATAAAATGAATGAAAATAAAACAATATTAATTAATGAATATGAGTATAAAATCTAATCTTAAAGAATTAAATTAGAATCCTAAATTTAAAAATTAATGGAAGATTATTAAGATTATCAAACTTAGTTTTAAAATATAATTGAAAAAAATAAAATTCTATAATTCTAGATTGATAGTAATATACCTTAAATTGCAAGTTTAGAAAAAGAAATATAAGATTAAAAATATAAAGTTTTTGTTTGTGAAGAAACTATTAAAACAAAAGATTCATCAATATAGCAAAAAGATATTAAAATTGAATAATTAAAGTATTAATTAAATATATTTAGTGAATAGATTAAAAAATTGAATTAAGAAAAAGGATAGCATGCTATTAAAGAATAGTTAAAACGTTAAGGATCTATAATTTAATAGAATAAAACTTAATCCCCAGACAAATCTCTTTAATAAAATAAGCAAACATATCATCAAAGATAAGTAATTAAACATAGAGATCCCATTAAGCAATCTATTAATTCAGATTCTTATATGCATTCATCTTTGAAAAGAGTACCTCAATAAAAATAAGAAGAATTTCCATTTTAAGAAACAACTATTGAATAATATGTAGAAAATAATAAATTAGAAAATCTACAATAAATTTAAGAATCTAAAAAAAATTCAAGATCTTCATCTATAGATGAATCATCTAATTCTCCACTTCCTTTTATTAAAGTAATAAATAATGAAATTTAAAAATCAAATAATAATGGATAATAAACTCAACATAGTGATGCTACTATTTAATGTGATTTAATGGAATTTATTAATTCATCTATCATTTAAAAATATGAATAATAAATTACTAAACTAAATAAGGAACTTATTTAATAAAAACATGAATATGAAATTTAATTAAAATTAAAATAAGATGAATTAAAAATCATTTTGGAAAAAAATAAGTCCCAAAAGTCTATTTTTGAATAGAATTAAGAGAAATAGTTATAAGATTTATAAAAATAATAATAGGAGGATATAATTTAAAAAGATAATACTATTAATTAATTAAAGTTGACATTAAATGAAAGAAATCTCAAAATCTAAAAATGTCTTGATTAAGAAAATATTTATAAAGGCATGATTGAAGAATTAAATGAAAAATTTAGATCAGCAAGTTTTAGTTAAAATGAAGTAATTCTTAAATTTTAAGATGATATGAAATTATTGGAGTAATAAAATTAAATAGAATAAAAAAGACTTTTAGAATTAAATGAAAAATTAAAGGAAGCACATAAACAAGAAATTGAGAATTTAAATAATCAACATTAATTAGATTAAGAATAATTAAATCAAGAAAAAGCAAGATTACAAGAATAAAGAGTTGAACATGAATAATATGTTAGATAGACTAATGATCTTTTAGAATAAGCTAGATCAAAAGAATTTTTATTAGATAATTATAGAAGAGAATTATTAAAGACTAATGAAATTGTAAAATATCTTTCATTAGAGATTGAAAACTTTAAAAAAATTAATAGTATCTTTAGATCCAAAAATGATCATTCAGCTCATAATTTTCTTTATAATAGTATGGGATTTCTTCCAACTGAAATGCAAGATAATATTAAATAAAAAATGAATAAAGTAAAATAAAAAAATTAGTCTACTAATATTTTAAAAGATGTATATGCTATGAACTTTTAATTACAAAAAGGAACAAAAATGAGATAAGCAAAGTTAGTTTCTATGAATGCAACAAATTTAGATTAAAATAAATTAAAGTTTTTATTCTATTTTATTATAATAGATAAGAAATGAAATAAAAATTAGAATCATTAAATGAACTTAATAAATCCTTGCCAAAAATGAATTCCAAGAATTTTTAAGAATATGACAGAACAATTTCAGATCGCAAATTTAAATTGACTAATAATAAAAATTTTCGATCAAGTATCGTATCTGAAATATATAATTTTTAGAAACTCAATATGATGATTAAATGGATAGTGATCCAAAAAGAATGATGTAAGATATTAATTAAAAAGAAATAATGTTATTATAGAACAGTTAACTATTACTATCTCAAATAAATTTTTAAACATATGATAGAAAAGATTCACATTAGATAAAAAAAAACAACTTAAGCACTTCTAAAATTTGAAAGTTTTTCTATTTTTATAAATAAAAATTAAAATTATTATTAATAGAATTGTAATAAAAAATATAAAATTTTATTACATATATAAAATAAATCTAATTCTTTAATTCTTCAAGAGCTCTATATTAATAATAAATTTATACCTTAAATTATTAATCAGATATATCATTTTCTTTTTAACTTGCTTCTTCTGGAATTAATGGTGTATTAATCTGCACTTAAGATGTTTTTATTATTGTAGTTGCAGTTATAACTTTTGTTGCTGTCTCACCAGAAGAATAAGATTTTTTAATTTCTGTTTCATTAAATTTTTCTAATAATTCTTAATTCTTTTTATTTAATTATTCTTATGTTTTTTCAAATTACTTTTTTGAAGAAGCAAGTTATATTTATAAATCTTCATTTTCTCTTTTCAAAGCATTAATTTAATCATTTTTTGTACTTAATTATGCTTATACTTCTACTAAATCATGTGAAACTTTTGCATTATCTCTTATTAATTAATCATTTTTTCTATTTATTTCATCTTATTCACTTTTTCTTTTTTTCATTAAATTATCAATCTATTAAAGTTCTTAATCTTTAATTTCTAAATCTTAATTCAACTTTTCTATTTGTCTTTCTAATTGTTTTTTTTCAGTTCCAAATTTAATTTATTTCGATTCTAATTAATGTAATTCATCTGTTTATTCATTATACTTTCTTTATAACAATGTATATTCTTCATTTGAGATATAATCCTAATTTAATTAATTTTTAAGTGCTTCAATTTCTTTAGATTTTGAATCCAATAAATCCTCTAATTCTCTTCTCTCTTTAATTAGTTGATTTTATCTGAGTTACAGAGTTTCTAATTCAATTTCTAAGACTCTTATCTTATCTTAAGCTGTATTCTATAAAATATAATTAAACAATTACTAATTCTGCTTAATATTTCAAATCTGATTCTTTCCTTTCATATTCAATTCTTTAATAATACTCTAATTTTATATTAGTCTCTTCTACATATAAGTTAAATTACTCTTTTAAATCTTCATACTTTTAGAATTACTCCTCCATTTCTCTTTCTTTATTCTAACTTTTCTCTTACAAACTTTAAACTTAATCTTACAAAGTTTCTCTCATACTTTAATATTCACTTTGTCTTTATTAAGATGTATCCATCAACTATTTTAAATTAGTTATTTCTTGAACATACTAATGTTCCCTTCTTTTAAATTCATCTTAACTTTATTAAGTAATTAATTCTTATTATCGAACTCTATTATTTGTAGTATCTAAATCACTTAAATACTATTATAATTCTTATTCTCTTTAATTTATCTATTATTTTAGTTATTAAATTTTATTTTCCAAACCAAGTTCCTTCTTAACTGATTAAGCCCTATCACTTTCATTCTATTATTTCTAATCCTCAATCTCTGAACCTAGTTATTAATTTTATTCTCTCAATTCTGATATTATTTAATCTAATTACTCTATTTTCTATTTATACAAATTTAATTAAGAGCTAATGTTATTTTTTTCATTTTATAATTATTGTATTTGAAATTCCTTTTATTATAACTTCTATTCCAATTCTTGCCTTCCTTATTCGATATTGAATCCTTATTGTATTTATTAAGTCTCTATCTCATTTATTCTTTATTTTAATTATTTTAATTATTATTCTAAAAGATTCTTTTCATTTATTAACTTAGTTTATGATAAATTTGATTCTTTTTATAAATTATCAATTTCACTTTAATATTGATGTATTTCTTAATCTTTAAGTTTTTCTAAATTTTCATATTTCAATAATAATCCATCCAATTCTCCTTACTTTTAAGATAAATTTAATTTATATTAATTAATTGTTTCATCTTTTAATTTGAGAACCTAATCCTATTATTGAAGTTCATTTTTAAGATCATTTATTTAATCTTGTAATTATCTAATATCATGCTACTATTTAGTTTATTAGTTTTTTAGTTCACTTTCATATTCAATTTAGAATTATTTTTGGATTTCTTGAGATTGAGATCTCACAAGTTCTATTTCAGTTTTAAAATCATTAATAATTTAATTCAATCTTAAAATCTCATGTTATTAATTTTAGTTTTTCTATAATAGATCATTTTACAATTATTTTTATTTTTAAATTTCATTTTGAAATTCTTATTATTCATTTTCTTTAATTCTTTTATAATGTTCATTATCTTAAACAAAAATTCTTAATTCTGATTCAATAGATTATAATTTTTATTATAACTATCTATTCTCTTCTTACTTTTAATTTATTTTCCCCTCAAATTCCATCAATCTTTAATTTAAAGATCTAATCTGTGATTCATAACTCATTCTTTCTGCTTAAAATTTAATAGTAACTTCTTTAACTTCTCTTTCAACCTATGACTTTTTCATATATTCATAATGAGATTTCAATTCATTTAAAGTTGTTTAATGATTTTTATCTTACTACATTTATCTATCTCTATAAGAATCAGATTCTCTTAAGAGTTCTTATTATTAACCTTTTATTTCATCCAAAAGTCTTTATAATCGAACATTCTCTTCAAATAATTTATCCTTTTCTATCTTAAAATCATTTAATTTAATATTCTAATAGCTTAATTCATTCATTTATTATTCAAATTAGTTTAGTAATCTATTATATTTCTACTATTCTTATTGTAATAAATCATTTAATCTAGCAATATTATTACCATGTTATGCTTAAATTTCTTTAATCTACAATTCATAATTAAAACGTATAGTATTATCAGTTTAGATCTTTAATTCTTCTTAATCTCTTAAATTCTTAGTTTAAAGCTCTTTAATATATTATCTAAGATTATCAATTTCAATAGTTTTAGCATCATTTTATTATTTCAATATTCCCATTTCTTTTTGTTGTTGAAACATCTTTTAATTATTAATATAAATATACTTTAGATTCTAAATCAAAATACTTCTATTCTAATCTTAATAATTCTTAAGTTTAAGCATTAATTTCTTCATTCTTATTCTATATTAATAATTTGTGCTGTTAAATATTCATTATTTCAGTATGAAGTTTTTACTCTAAACATTTAGTTTGAAGTTCAAAGTCAATAATAATTTAGTTGTATTTTTATTGATCAGAAAATAATTAACTTTACAATTATCCATTCTCTTAACTTAACCTTAAAAATCGAACTTCATAGGAATCTATCAATTTGTGATTCTCAGATTTTTAAAATTAAGGGGATATATCTCTTTGATAAGTTGATTTTATTATTGGAGAATATGAAGTTTCGGCTTATTTTATATAATATGGAATAATACTTTTTTCATATTTTTAAGATATGCCTGATTTTGCTACATCATAAGAACTCTTTATTCGCGATCTATTTTCACTTTTAAAATAATATTGATAAATATATTTACGAAAGAATTGGACTATCTTTTTGATTAAGTTATTTCACTTATTCATCATTTTTTGCATGATATGCAGGTTGGTTATTGGGTACATTCGAATTATCAGTCTCTTATTTGTAACGAGATTGTTACAAAGTTGCTTAATTTGAAATAGACCATCTATTATTCATTTAACAGAAATATGATTGAAATTTGTTGTTAAATAATTAATTATCTGTCTATTTATCATTTTAGAAAATAGTAGCACTTTTTATAATCTTTTTTCTTCTTAAGTAAGTTTATAATTCTACTCTTATGGGTCTTAAAGCATTATTTGTGTTAAACTCATTTTAATTTTGAAGTTGATCTATTAAAACAAAAAAATTATTCTTACATCAATTGAATTTTAAAGATTTATTGACATTATTAAACTAATTAGCTATATAGTATATATTGTAATAAGTAATAATTCAAATTCTATCTTTGTAGAATATAAGCTCAAATAAAAAAAAAATAATTTTAACTCCTTATGATCATTTATTATAAGTTTTAATTATATAATAGATATATCATTTAGTTTTTATGATTGTTTTTGCTGTAACTTGATTTTTAGTTGCAGTAATTTATTATCCTCTAACAAATTATTTTTCATCCTTTTATAACTTATTTATTTCTGAATTTTAATTTAACAATCTTTTCTTTTTATTTTTTTATTGTGAATCATCTAATTTGATTTTAAGTTTTGAAAGTGGAGAAATTTTTTCAAAATTTTATAAAAGAGCCTTAGTAATGTTTAATTTTGTTGATTATGAGTTAGAATGATGAAAAATTCTTTATTTTTCAGGAGATTTTTTTGGTTAAGTTTTTAATTTTAGACCTAAATTATTTGAATAAATTTAAATAAGTTATTAATTCTTTTTGGCAGGAGAAATATTATTATGAGATGAGAATTAATTCGATGATTATATTGGAATATGTATTAAAGGATTAATTAATTTTTATTAACTCTATAAATCTGATCCATTCAAGTTTATTTAGTTTAAACGAAATTATTCAGTTTTTATTTATTCAGATGAAATACTTCTTGTGCTAGTGATAAAATGAGTACTGCTTCTTTTTCCTTAAGCATTTATATAATAATTTTAATCAATATTATTTTTATTTTGGAAAATTTATTAGATTTTAATTTTATTTTATTGAGATAAAGTGATGATTTTTTACTTCATAAATGATTTAAATTAACATTCCTCTTAACTATTATTAATATGTTATTGAGAGGATGATTTTTGAGTAGGATTAATTCTCTCTGGAGATTAATTTTATGAATTCTTAATATTTGCTAATGTTTTCCCTTTTAATAAGTGTAAATTTAATTTAATTTTTTCTTTAGAATGATTTTAAACAAGCTTTTTAAGTATTTTAAGATTTTAGGTACCTTATTTTTTATTTAATTAAGGAATATTTAATTCTTATTATTGCATAGTTAACCATGTTTCATCAATATTCTATTTAAAATAATTTATAATTATTTACTATATGTTAATCATTATGTTAAATCTTCAAGTATTCATTTAAAATAGATTTAATGGATTTTTCAGTAATATTAGTTAAACTATTTAATACTTATATGTCCTAGTTCAATCTTTCTTATTCTAATGTTGTTATGCAAATATTTTTGTACATGTACTTAAGCTGGATTAATCAAAAGGAATTCCTAACATTTTCTTAATTTTTCTATATTGATATTTTCTATTGAATAGTTGATAATAATTGATTATACTTTTTTTTTTCAAAGAATGCAATAGCTATTTCAGCTAAGACTCCAAAAAAGATTCGAGGTAAGTTTAAATGAAATCTATAGTAATCGAGCAAAGATTTAAATTTTTGGGGTTATTGATTTGTTGGATAAAACCTTGATTGTTGAATATTAATATACCTTTTTAAATATTCATCATCGTCCTATAAATGTAAATAATCCTTAAAATCAATAACCCACTTGACTGGTTTTTTAGCAAAGAAATCTTCAAAGTTTTTAGTTTTTTTGGATGAATATTTAGTGTATAATGCCTGTTGATTGTTTAATTATTGATACACTATTGATTAAATAGGCATATAAATGTTTAACATTTGGAGCAACTTAATTTCTTGAACAAAATGGACATTTTCTTTATCTCATAACTGAATGTAATAAATTTTGTATAAATTATATTAAAATCAATTACTTCCTTTGACTCTAGTGATTGGTCTTTCTAAAAGAGCATAAGTTGAAACCTATCTAGTAGCCTAAGAGAATAAAATAAAGAATAAAAATACTTTTTCTTCATTTTTATAACCTGCTGATTATTTTAATCCAAATTCAGTATAATATTTACCACTAAATCTTTCCATCAATTAAATATCTCTATAGAATAAAACAACAGTTTAATTTCCATCATTTCCAGCTTATCTAAGATATCCCTAAGTTGAATAGAAAATAGAATAATACTCTATAGATAATGTAATCATCAAGAGTGATAGCAATTTCATGTACACCTCTAGTTGGAGTTTTGGTATAATTCCAAAATATAATACAACCAAGAGCAAATGGTTATTCAGAGCCAAAATAGAGAGTGTTAATTTATGGATCTTGAGAATGATCAAAACATCTATTAGTAAATGGTGCTAACCACATATGAGTATCATTTTATGTTTCATTAATACCATCTAATAAATTTTCAACAACCCTTTTATCTCCTTTCATTGATTAAAGAATTCTAACTGATGATGGTTCTGCTCCTATATTACCTTGAATTTATCTGCCTTTAAAATCTAGAATTTCTATTCCATTTAATCCAATATAATGAATATCTCCAAAAGTAGTTATCAATTATATTTTAAGTTCATATCCAACAATCAGATTATTAATTTCATATTCACATCTTAATTATTTTTGAATCTATGTAGTTTCTTCAAAAACATAATCTTTACATGGAATTGTGATAGTTTAAGCATAATCATATGTATCACAACCAGGAGCTCTTTTCAATGATATACAATTAGAAATAGTTCCTTAATCACTCGATAAACTTATAAATTTAGCACCTCTAAAAGTATCATCATAAGATTTATTATAATTCCATATTCTCATAGATGTTATTAATGATGGAATATCAAATGTAAATGTTAAAGTGACATATCTTCCTGGTTAAAATGGAACTATGTACATATTCATATCATTAGTTGTAACATTAAATCCATTTATTAAACTTGTTACATTTCCTTTATCTCCATCACTCTAATTATCTGATTTTATATTTTTTACTTATATTTTTCCCTCCTTACCTAAATAGATATATCAATCAATACCATAAAAATCTACTCCTGTTAAACCTATATATGGTTAATCTGCCCAAGGTCTCAATAATTTAATTTATACATATCTACAAAATATACCATTTGAATTCTGATTTACTAGAGCTCTTTAAATTTATTATTTCTCTTATCTCTATTAATTTTATTCTTATTATCTCGCATATTTAACTTAATATTATTATTATATATTTTACTCTCATTCTAAAGATTAGTGACTTTGGCTGAAGTTGTTGGTCTTACTTCTGAATCTGCATTTCCTGTATTTGGTCTCTCATTTTAATAATCATGTTAAATCGTTTAAAATTCTTAAGTATTTATCCAATCATTCTTAGCTATTTAAGAAATTATGTTATCATCATTTGTAAATAAAAATAATTCGAATGGTTATTCATTCTAATTTATTACTCTCTATAAATTCATATTACCAAAACCTTTCTTTATATCTCCTCTAAATACAATTTAATTATCAAAAAATAAACTTATATCTTTTGCTCCTCTAAAACTATGAATTCTACTCTTATTGTAATTCCAGATTCTAATCATACTTATTCTCTTTTTATCAATTAAATCAATTGTAATTTTATTGATCTTACCTCTTTAAAATGGACTCAACCAAACATGCATATCAGATTAAGTAAAATATACTCCATCAACTAATTTATCAGGAGTTCTTGGATCATTAGAATATTCAGGTAATACATTGATGTCACTAGGATCAGCCTTTACTTAGGAATATGGATCTTAAATCTCAATTTATTTTCCTACTTCATTGAATATTTCTATCCCATTTAAACCTACATAATATTTATCTCCCCAAGTTGAATGTATATGAATTGTAATGATTCTTACTTAAGGAACTGATGGTAAAGATACCTACTTCTTAGCCTTCTTACTCTGAACTTAATTATTTAATGGTTAATTTAATAAATCCTTTATTATCAAAGCATTATCTTATGTTTATTATCTATAATTGTTTCGGTTTGGTTATTAGATAATCTATGAAGGAATTTATTATTAAGATGGACTTTCCCATTTTGATAATTATGGTTTTTATTAAATATTATTAGGTCTTTATTATCCTTTAAAAAAAAAGTCAAGAGCATCTATTTCTTCATATTTAGGTTAAGGAACAGGATCTTCAATAATATCTTATCTTTAAACAGGCTTTAATCTACCTTATTAAGTAATATTAAAATATTAAAGAGTTTCTTCAAGATAATCTTAGGTTGGTTATGGATTATCTCTTCTTCTTCTTGGTTCAATAATTTATTATTGATTTTATTAAATAATATTAGATTATTGTGTTTATTCAACTTTTTTATCAGTTTTTGCTGTATCTAATCGTTCTCCTTTGAATATATCCACTACAATAGGTCCTTTTCCTTTTCTTGATGGAGGTGGTTTTGAATCATCTAATTTCTCTTATTTTTTATCAATAATATCTGATTAATCAATTTATCCTCTAAGTTTTTGAGCAAATTTAGATTAAGTATTTTATAATGTTGGAAATTTAAAATTATCTATGATTGAAATTTCAGTTGCATAATCTTCAATTTCAAAACCAGTACCTTTTTTAATTTCAACAATTTTGGAAATAACTTTACCATTTTATCTACATAATATTTCTAAATCTCTAACACCTTTTACACTATCAATCAAACTCTTATTATAATTATAAACTTTGATTCCTCCTAAAACTATATCATCATCATATGATATTTCTATTTCTATTGTTTTTGGAGGATCAGGCATACTTCCTAACCACATATTAATTGCATCCTTAGTTAAAAATTTACCATTAATAAGAAGTTCGGGCATTTTAAGAGATTAAGCATTATTCATTTTAATATTATATGGTTTGAGTAATACTTTATTACCATCTATTGTATATAGTTCTATTTCAGTAAGACCTACTAAACTTGGATTACCCCATGTTGAAAGAATTCTCATTTTTAATTAAGAATTCTTATCAATCAATAAATCAATATTTTTTTCTAATGTTATTTATGCTTTCTCTTCTTTTACAAATTCTTATTACATCTGAATAACATTATTAATACTAGGATTTCTTTTTTTAGTTTCAACTTATGGCATTTATAAAGATGTCTAATTATTCACAGTATTTTGAGGTAGAGATAATTGTATTTATTCTTTAGGTTTATTTTCTATAATTTATAATTCTTTTGATTGTTTTGATTATTATTATTATTATTATTTAATAGGAATTTCCAGTGATAATTTTTACTGTGATTATTCATTTTATATTTCTGATCTATCAGTTTTTTCTTCTAAATTGATAGTATTCTTATTCAAAAAGAAAATGAGTTTTTATTTTTCATCACTGGACAATTTCTCTATTTTTTCAAATAATTCTTCAAGTTAGTCCTTTTATTTTTCTTAAGGTTTATAACTTGATGATGTTTGAGGTGGATTAAAAGAATGATTATCATTTTTAATATCTTCTTATTTAGTTACAGAATTAGCTCTTAATTATGGTTTAGATGCATATTATTTATTTTCTGGTTTAGTGAAAGGAAGTGGTTTAATTTCAGACGAAGGTTATTTAGTTTATGATGGTAATTGAGATTATGGTTATTCAGAAATAGCACTAATTGGTCTAGGTTTAGTGACAGGTAAATTGACAACTTAGATAATTTTTTAAGGTTATTATTATTATTATACAACAGGTTAAATTTGAGGTTTAGTATTTTCAAAATCATCTTTATAAAATTATTCATCATTATCTTCTCCTTCAGATTAACACAACTTAGTTTATTCAAATAATAATTACTTCTTCTTCTTCTTAGATTTATTAATCTTCCTATTCCTCATTATCACTATCCAAAAGTTATGAAAAATGAGGATCATATCTATGATCAATGGGAGTGTCTTTCTGTAATTTTTCAAGCAAATCCTATTAAGATTTGCTTAGCACATTACCTGAATTAATGATGCCCAATACCTTACACTAATGATTTCCTTAAAACTTCTAAATCATCATGATCAAGTGTGCCTATCTTTTATGATTGACTATGTTCATCATTCCATTTCTTCACATTCTTTGTTTTTAACTTTAATTAGTTTTTATTTTTCTAATTTACTCTTTCCTTATTGGCCCCAGAGATAAATGTATCAAAACCTTTCTCTCTCAATTGTTATTATTATTTCTTTTATTATGGTTTCATTTTAATGTTCTTATTTATTAATATTTATGGATTAAATTTTATTGGATGTCTAGTAAATGACTCAATCAAGAGTTGTTCAAATCAAAGATTAAGTAATATCTATTCTCTAATTCTATTTTTAGAATGAAATCAGAAACTATTTTGCTAACTTACAATTATCAAATCATTCTATTTCAACATTACAATCACTTCAACCATAAGATCTATCAGACCAATTAGTCTACTTAACCATCTAAATTATTGATGTCTTAGACTAAGATGTATTCATAGGAGCAGTCTAATAAAATAATTAAGTCATTATCTACCCATTAGGTTGTGATGAATCCTCTATTGATGGATAACCACTCTATTTTGATAAATCATCATATACAGCCTGTATCCTTGATCCTAATTGTCAATACAAACCAACCAAATCTATTGTTACTCTCTATTCCAATTTCAATGATTCTATCAAACCGAAAATATTCAACAAATTCAACATCCTAGCATTTAAATAACAATACGAAGAAGAAATCTATTTCAATGTTATTAAATACATTCAACCAACATACAATACTTAAAACAATAAATTGTTACTCTATTAATAATTAATCAATAATTTCAATCATACACTTAAAGATCCTTTGGCTTCAGAACTATTAGCCTTACATCTTCTTTCCTATACCAAATATGAAACCTATGCTGATGGTGCTAGATAAATATTTAATATTTTTGGTCTTAATCAAAATGATGCTCAATAATTAAAATCTATCATTTCATCTATTTATTCCCCTACACTTTACATTCCCTTAGAATATGAATTTCTATCTAATATTGAAACTCTCTCCAAAAAGAATTTTGATGAAAATACCATCTCTTAAGGATTACTTTGTATTCCAACTAATATGCACTCTTAAATTATTGTTGATGAAACCTTAATGAAAGAAGGCTAAATTTCAGGAAAGACTTTACAAAATCTATAAAATATTCAGAAATTCATTTAACATTCTAAAATTGGAATAGACTTTTAATATTCTATGGTCGAAATACCTGTTTAAACTAATGTAATCATACTCTCTACAGGTAAGACATTCATATAAACTCCTGATTCTATCAAGATTAATCAAGTTGAACCTTAAAAACTGAATTCTAATATTCAAATTGATTATAATGGATTAGAACAATTTATTATTTAAGTTCATTAAGAATAGATGCAATTAAATATTGATGAGGAATTGAAGAAATTAATTAATTAAAAATACATTGAATTAAGACAATAGAATGATTTGAAAATTGATGTTAACAATTTAAATAATTGGATTTTATAGATGAAAATATTGAGTATTGTTAAATAGGAAAACTCTAATTATAATAATTTTGAATATGCTGTCAATTTGGATTTAGAAAGAATCAAGAGAAATTTGTGAGTAACATTCTTATAATTAATAAATATATTATATAATTAAAATGTCACAAGAACCACGAGCATAAACTGTTGGAGTTTTTGATAATAAAGTTACCTCGATTGTACCATTGTCCCAATTAAGAAGAATTCAATAAAATTGTTTTGGAACATAAGAGAATTTTGGATTGATCTAAAAGATGGAACTGTAAAAATATGTTTTGCTAATAAAGACATGCAAAATCTTAGGAAAGAGTAAAGAGGTGGCCAAATACAATAAATGCCTTAAGAAAGAAGAAGGACTAAACAAGATTCGAAAGATTTAAAGCAGATGAAGAAGAGAGAAGAAGATAAGGAGAAGAAGAAGCAGAATATTAAGCATAAGTTAAACAGGAGATATTGGAGAAAGCTAATCGTTAAATATATGAGGCAAATCCAAGAGTAAGACAATTTTAAAGCAAATTATTGATTACTGATGTAATGTAAGAGAGGGATGCATAAGTTGAATTGAATTAATATAAGAAAACTATCTTAGAGTAAATTTATTATATGAATGTACTTTTAGTATGAAGGAATAAGCTCATCATGAAGATGTATTGGAAAATGTAGCAAGATTATAATAGATAGAGGAAATGAAATTAGAAGAAATGAAAAGAAAGAAAATGGAGTAACGAAAAATATTGAAATAATAACATGATGAAATGGTTAATAATCATATTAAATTAATATAAAATGATAGAATTGAAGGATAATTAAATAAGGCTAAGGCTGAATAAATGATAAAGGATGAAGAAGAAGCTGAAAATGAAAGAAGAAGAAAAAGATTAGCAAATATTGAAGAAGTTAAAAGAGGTAATGAAGAACTTAAAGAATAAAAACATCTATAAAAGATTAAAGAATTAGAAGATGATGAAAGAATTAGAGTTTATGCTGAAAAAAAAGAAAAAATTATGGAAATGAGAAAAAAAAGGGAAGAACTCAAATTTAGAGAAAAATAAGAATAAAGATAAAAATTGATTGATACTTAAATAGCTAAATTAGAATCTATTGAACATGAAAATTAAAGAATTCTTAATAAATAGATTTAAGAAGCAGAAATTAAGGCAGAAGAAGTTGAAAGAATAAAAAGAGAAAAATAAATTTAGTTGAAAAAAAAAATAGATGAGAGTAGGAAGATTACTGCAGAATTCAAAATTAAAGACTCAGAATAAAGAATAAAGAATGATAAAGAGTTTTAAGAATATTGGAAATAAAGAGCTGAAGAATTAAAGAAGATGGAAGAAGATGAAAATGATTAAATTAGATTAAGAAGAGTTTAACTTAAGAATTTCCAACTTTCACAAATTGAAGAAAAATAGGTATTTTATTAATTTATAAATATTTCTTTAGAAATTAAGAGAATAACAAATTCTATAAGATTTAGATGAAGCTGAAGAAATACTAAGAAAAAAAGAATGCTCAACTAGAACATTCACATCATGGGCCTAAAGAGCAGTTGAAGAATGGTAAAGTAATGGAAAAAATGTATATCCTATGCTCAAAGAACTTACAGCCCAATAATAATGATGACTATAATAATTCGTTTTATATTATTTATAGTATAATAATGAGAACCATTGTTCTTTTATTTTTGTTCTTCATTATCAATTATGCTCAAGATTAACTTCAATAAGAAGAAGCTATTTAAATTGTTAAAGATCTGAAAGATGCAACCACTAAAAGGTTAGAGCTATTAGAAAATACATGGAAAAAGTATTCAACTAAAAAAAATGATTAAATTTGTGCCTTCACTGATATGGTTTCTGAATAAGAGACTCAATGTTAATCCAGAAATAGCTAGAACTAATTTATATCTGAATCCATTACTTAATCAACTTAAACAATCGAAACCAATAAATTAAAGATTGATAAAAATCTTCAAAGGCGTAAAACCCTACAAGAGTTAAAGTAATATTCATCTTATCTTAGATGTAAATCAAATGTGAATAATATTAAATTACTTAAAGATTAAAAGGAAGCCAAAACTTTGTCTATACAGTTGTAAAAGTCATTTGCAGTATTCTATTATTATTAAATAGTAAAGTAGTGGTGGTAGTCTTTTAGAAATGTTGTAAAGTAATAGCTTATATGAATAATTGAATTTAGAAGTCACAGAATAAGAAGCACAAGTCATTAAATTAATCTGTAATTTTTATTCATAATTTCATAGAGGAGGCATATTCAGATCAAAGTGAAGCAAATACAATAGAATCATCAGAATTTAATTCACAACTGCAGATTTAGCAAAATTCAAAAGTATAGCCATATTCATCCTAAAAATCAATGGAAAAAAATCGTTACTTGATTATTACTACATCATAAGAAATTGCTGAAAAAATTGATAATGATTAATAAAGTATTACAATGAATTCCATCAATTCTGTTAATAAAATTGATTAACTATGTACACAATTACAGAAAGAAAATGAGATACTAAAGAAACTAATTGATATTGAAGGAGAAAGAAAAGTAAATAGTCTTTATATTTGAAGATTGATTTAGATGATTAATTAATTATTCTTAATGGAGAAAACTAAGAATGTGATAACAGTAGAAGAAAAATGGAGATTATTGCTTTACTGTTGCAATAAGATTATGATAGAGAATAGATCATTTACATGAAGGAGAAAGAAGCCATACTTAAAGAGTTAGATATCTATACAGATTTATTAAGATATTATTTAAGATAAATCTATAAATCGGAAAATTGACGTTATTAAAAATAAAATTTATTAATTTTATAACTTTTTTTGTTTTTGCTTTATAAATATAAAAATGTTAATCTTTTTTGATAATTAAACAATTTATATTATTTATATATTAATTTAAAATAGAATAATAATTCAATAATTCTCATCACCCAAGATATCCCTTCTTTTTTCTTTAGCTAAGCTGTTCATAAATTCAACCAAATTACTATTTAAAAACATGTTTTTGTGTTTCTCAGAAAATTGTTTAATAATATTATAACAATAATTTTAGAACTAAAATAAAATAAAATTAATACTCCTTGCTATTGTAAGAATGTGAAGAATTCCAATAAATTTTCCTTGCATTTTAGATGTACATCAGGATGATAAATCAATTTTAGCATTTTTTAGAATATCTCATTTGAATTATCCAATACTTATTATTAAATAGTCTAAAACATAAAGAATTTTTGCAAAATAACTTAAGCTAATTAACATAAATCTTCATTTGATAAAGCTAAGAATAAAAGTTATTTAGTATTCTCAAATATTTTGAGCCATATTTCACCATCAGATTATAATAATTGTTTATGTAAGCATCCATAAATGATTTCTAAATGTTCGTGTTTGAAATCTTATAAAACTTTTTCTTTTACATAGACATCCATAGCTTAAGCAATTCCTACACTATTCCAAACAATAGGAGCTCCTGTGATTTTGTATCGAAAAGAATTACAACCATTTACTACTTATTGAATTAAGGTTTCCGATTATGTATTTAAAACGGAAATCCTAATTTCTGAATCTACTGATAATAAGATTTCTAAATATCTTGGACACAATTCAGAATACATTTGTAAAACAGGAGCAAGATAAATTAATCCAATTCTAATTACATTTGGTGTTGTGGAAACTACAAAAACTTAATAAATCAAATCCAATAACAATTATTTAGATTATTAAAAATCAATAGTTATATCTTGCTCATCAATATTTTGATTAGAATTTTCAGCTATTTATAATAGTAAATCAGCACATATACACATTCCTTATGCTCTTACTTCCCACCAAGAATCATTCATCAATTTTTAAATTCTATTTATTTTTTATAGAACAGGAAAGTAATTCCAACTAGAAATCTAATTAATTATCCTCAAACCATTAGCTCTTGTAAGTGGAGATGGTGAATCTAATGAATTAAATGCATAATTAAGAAAAAATCTATATAATTCTTCATCTTAACTGGGATAATCAGATTGTATTAAAATACTTAATATAAGAGTAAATGCATTAAGATCAGTAGATAATTTACTTTTTATACTTTTTAATAATTAAGTTCTATTTACACAATTTATTGGTGTGAAAATAAAAAAGAGTTAAACAATATCTTCCCTCTTTTTTGGGTTTCTTAATGCAATTTATAAAAGCTAATCTAATAAAATACTTTCAAACATCATTTATGTATCATTAGGATCAATTTCTACTAATTTTGATCCTATAAACCTAATTAAATCTAAAATTAATTGATAAGTTTTAGATGTAGGTTTCAAAACTTATATTGGTCTTAAAAATATTTAAAAGAATCGTTTGAAATCTAAATTATAACTAAAAATTACCTATGAAATTACTTTAAACTTATTCTAATATTAATTGGGAATGAACATCAATAAATTAAGTAAGTAATAATTTTAAAGACTTTTTTTGTACTTCATCACATCTTTAAAAAAGTTATTAAATAACTGCTGTATATTAAACATTCTAATTGCTAACTTAAAAACCATTATTTTATTAAGACTCTTTTGGTTCAAGTTTTAAATCTTAGATATCTTTCTTAATAGGATCTTTTTTAAATAATGAAGCACATGCTTCATGTAAAAAATCAATCACACCTTTTGTTTCTAACAATTAACCTTGTTATTCTTTTGCTTTTTTGCTAGTACTGCTATGATAACAATTTATTTATATTTCTTTAACATCTTATCCTGTTTGTGATATCGATTAATCTAAATTAACAAGTTTTTTATTAAATTTCATTTATTTTTTAAGTAATTCTTCTTCTTATTTTTTAATTTCTTCTTCTATTTATTTTTTTCGTTTTAGAATCAAATATTCTATAATATTATCATCTTTTTTATCACTTCTAACTTTTTCAACATGTCCTTCGATAGCTTATTTAGTTAACATTTTTCTCTCATTTTCATCAACAATTCTTGTAATCTCTCTATCTTTAATAATTGTATTAGCAGTTGGTCTAGCATATGTAGGTTAAACAGTTAATGGTTTTGTCCTTTGTAAAGTTGCTTATTATTTAACTTGCTTTTTCATATCTCTATTGTCTTTATCAGGAAATATGGTGCCTATTTTCTTTTTAGTTAGAAATTCATAGAGTTTAAAGAGGAATGCTTATGCTGCATCTGGAGCTTAATAATAAATTGGTTCATATTCATCTTATGGTACTTGAAGTTCTTTTTTCTTCAATAACTTTGAAATCTATTCCCAATTATCACGCTTTTTATCCAGATTTTATTCATTATATACAGTGTAGATATTTACTTCTTTAGGATAGTACCTAGATAATATTTCAGCCACAATGAAACTACTGTAGGATTTGATCATACCCATTAGCTAAATCTCTCCTGAAATTACGAACCTAATACGCCAAGTCTAATGAATCCAACCATTTTGCAATTTCTCTTGGAATAGGACCTTAAGGTTGATCAATCATTTTTATAATTAAATAAAATATTAAAATAATTAACAACGAAAAGAGTAAATATCTAACAATCATTATCTAGAAAGGATAATCTTTTCTACACGAGTACTTAATAAATTATTATTCACAAGCAATAATTTGATGCTCTATGCATTCATAATAAAATTGTAGATATCTACAAAATTATAATTATATAATAATAATACCCTCTTCTTTGAATTAAATTTTTTTCAAATTTATTCTCTTCAAATTTAATTTCTAAATTTGCAATAAAGAATATGTATTTATTTCTTAACAACCTTCTAAATTTAAACTATGTAATTTATAAAGATTAGTTATGATAATTTCTAACGCCTCGTTTGTTACATAATTATCTTTGATTGATAATGATTGTAAAGTCCCAATCTTCTTCAAACAACTGCACTAAAAGCATAACATCTTATTTTTAATTACTTTAGTTAGATCCAATTATGGATTGCAACCAATATCAAGTCTTTCAAGTTTCTTACAATTGTTTCCTATTGTTTCAAATATATTATTAGATAAACCATCACATTTTAAGAGCATTAAAGTTTTAAGTTCTAATACTTATTCTAAAATAATCTTAATATTTTCATCCTTCAAATTGCTATTGTTTTAGATATTAATTAAGGTTAATTGAGAACATTTTCCTATTATTTCAAAACCTTTACCAGTCATAAATTGACAACTTATCAATTATATATATTATAGAGATTTACTAAATTTTAACATGAAAAATTTTACTAGCTTTCAGTGCAAATACTACTTAAATCTTTATCTGTTAAAAATACTGATGAATATTATTTTTTAGGTTCCAATTTAAATAATTCTAACAAGGATCCTTATTATTAAGAATTGTCAGATAACATTGTTCTAAGTTCAGTTTTTTCTAAAAATGAACTGATTTTTTAGCCCTTTATGATATCTCGAACTTTCTTTATGTGCTTCAATTGTTTACTTGATCGTTTAAGCACAGTGGCTAATTCTTTTTCGTTAAATCTTAAAATATTATACTAATAAAATTACCTAGAAGTTTCGAATTCCCTAAAAAAACTATATGAGAAATAGATATCATTATAACAAATCATCCAAAATTTACAAACCTAAGAACAGGTGGCGCATTCTCTTAATTGTAAAAATTTGTAAATCTAATACATTAAATTTTTTGGTAAAAATGGCCTTTTTGATAACTGGGAATAAATTACCATTTCTTTTATTATAAGGAAGATTTCTTAATCCAATTATCTAAGTTATTAGAGAATTTCTTTTTTGGATTAAAATTCTCTGTCTTACTTTAAATTTCTTATGTTGGAGGAGTACAAAATAATAACTATCAAAATATTCACTAATAATCTTACAGAATCATTTAATTTAGTTCTTACAGGGGATTGATGTTATTCTTTAGCTTTTTTTGAAAAAAACTTAGTCAACGAAGTTTATTTTTACATAATTTAATTATATTTTTTTGGAGGTATATTAATTCTTATTCTTTAGAAATTCGAAGTAGTGAGATGTTATTTAAACTTGAATATTAATGTTAAAATTAATTAAAGCTATAAAAATGATAAATCCAATCAATCTATTTATATTACTTAGAATTCTTTATGTTATCATAAACAGAATTATAATAAACCAAAAATAGAATGTAAATTAGTTATTATATAGAATTTGAATTCATTAAATTTTTATAGGATGACAAATAATCAGTTAGGTTGAAATGATTAAAATTTGAATAGATTTTTTTATAAATTCTAAAGATACAAAAATATATTATTTAAGAATTAGATGAAGTATCATATAGAGTGTAATTTAACTTTTTGAGGTATGATACATTATAATATATAATTAATGGATTAATAAAATTTATGGATTAAGAAAGAAAACGTCGTTGGATCTAAACATAATAATAAAAATTGGAAGATTTAAAATCAAGGAAGTTTATAGGTCATATGAAGACAGATAATATGAGATTGAGTAGAACAGAAAAATTAATATAAATGAAATCACCATAAATTTTAAGACATTAATAAACATTAGCAATAGATGACTATATTTCAAAAGGAGATTGTAAATTGATCTTTTTGCAATAATAAGGTGAAGATGTTGGATTTAAAACATTTTAAGAGATGATGAAAACAAATTCAAGTTGGATAAATAAAGTGGATTAATTAAACCCAAATGAATAAAGTCTTAAAAATAGATTGTAATTTAATTATGTTTAAGCAAATTCATTTAAAAGTTCTCTAAATAAAAAATGGAATAGTACTGTGAATGAAGTTACTGAATTATTTTAAAGGAAAGAAGGATTGGAATAGTTATAGAAGGTGAAGAAAGTGAAATTGAAGGTAAAAACTATATCGTAAGAAGAGGAAGAAGAGGAACATATAGAAAATAATGAGAGACCATTTGAAGGTACGAACATAATAAAAGTGTTTTGGTTTAATATTTAAATAAGTGAATGGAAACCTCCAATAAGAGAAGGATGTACAGTAACTTACATAGCTTAATTAAATAAAGCATATATGTATGGAGGAATAGGAAATGATTTATTTAAAAACATGATTTAGTTAAATACTTAGACTTGGATTTGGAAGGATATAGGAATAGGATTAGGTGAAACTCCTTTAGAAGGAAGATTTGGACATACAGCAACATTTTATAAATAATAAATAATTATATATGGAGGAGAGAAGAAATATAATAATGCAATGAAGATGAGAGAATGTTATGGAGATGTTAGGTTATTTAATCCTTTAGATAAAACATGGACTTTAATTAGAAGTACAGGAGATTTAATTGAAGGTAGAAGAAATCATATAGCATAATGTATAGGAAAGTATTTTATTATTTATGGAGGAATTAATTCATATGGTAAGATATTAAATGATGTATGTGCATTGAATTTAGAAATTAATAAATGGTATGATATTTAATTAAAATAATATAGGTCAATTTTATTGGTCGAAAATCAATTCTAAGATGGAGTTTCTGATTCAGCTTCAGTGCCTTTGTTTGGTGGAGAAGTTAAAATGGAAAATCCTTATTTTAGTTACGAATGCAATAAAAAGAAAGGGAGATATCCATAAGTCAATTGTGAAGGAATTTATATTTATGGAGGTAGACTTTAAAATGGGGAAGCATCAAATGATTTAAGAGTTATTCAATTTGGATTCAAACCTATAAGAATTATTAAAATTAAAACTAAAGGTCAAGCTCCTATTGCTAGATATTCTCATAGTATGAATTATTATCATTAGTTTAATGCCTTAATTATTTATGGAGGTAGAAATGACTCAAAAGAAGGTAATATTCTTAATGATTTATTTGTTTTATAATTGTAACAACTTAATTGGATTATGGTTTAGTAGATTGCATCTTTAAAACATGGTAAATGTAGTCATTGTAGTGTTTCTATTGATTCTAAAATACTTATTTTTGGTGGATATACTCAAAATGTTTATGCTAATGCTGATATTTAATTAATTGAATTAGATTAAAATAGAGTTACAAAAATGATAAAAGAGAATAAAATAAATAGTTAATTAACTATTACTAGCACTGAATTATTAACCAATGCTAATTTAAGATTATTTAAAACAGAATTCTTTCATGATACACAAGAACGTGATGTTATTGATTCTAATAGAGCATTTGATAATATAGCCAGATTCAGTACTCAACATCTCAAAACTTACATGCCTCTTCCTATTGGAAATAATTCACAATTGATTTAGGATTACAAACTCTTAAAAGAAAAAACAAGAAATAATAATCTATTTTTAAGTTAATGATTATATAGATAAATATTTTAATATATTTTAGCTGTTTACTGTTTATTATAAAGTACTAAATTTAATCATAAAGATCTTTATATAAATAGATTTAATTTTTAAAATTTAAAGTTATATTTTATTTTGCAATAATGATGATAGAACAATTTTGTAATAACTTAAAATCCAATTCCTAAAGATATAAAAGACTATTGGTATTAACAAATACAAAATTAGGTAATGTTAAAAAGAGATTTAGAATATAATTTGAAATATTCAGATGAAATATATATATTCATCTTTAAACTAAAATACAAAAAGCCATTTTAATTTATTTCAATAAATTAATGAATCTATTATTAATAGATACAGATATAATTATATAGTCTGACTTAATGAAACTAGAGATTCATGAAGAATGAACAAATTAATAAATTCTCATTAATATTTTTTAAATTATTCAATTATAATTTATATTAATAATTATTTATATGTCTTTGAAATATTAAGACCTTTATGAAGAATTGGAGACCATAGGAAGTGGAAGTTATGGTACATAGATATTCCATTCTATATAGGATCTGCCTATTTGGTTAAAAATAAAAAGAATGGGCAATTATCAGTGGCTAAAAAAGTTCATTTGGGTAAGCTATCAGAGAAAGAAAAGATAAGTGCTTTAAGAGAAGCAGAATTGTTAAAAAGTTTAGATCACCCAAACATTGTATAATATATGGGTAGTTTTGCAGATAGTAGTTAATTAATTATTTTAATGGAATATTGTGAAGGTATTATACAAATTGTATAAATATATATAGAAGGAGACTTATAATATCATATAAAAAAAAGAAAGTAAGGTAAATAAATTCAATACTTTCCTGAGAAGATGATTTTAAATTGGTTTATTTAATAATTATTTGCTCTATAATTCATCCATTCAAAAAAGATCTTACATAGAGATATAAAAACAAGTAATATCTTTCTTACATCTAATGGAACAGGTATTATTAATTTTATTTAAATGCTTAGTAAAACTTGGAGATTTTGGAGTATCTAAAGTTTTAGAAAGTACTTTAGATTAAGCATCAACTGTAGCTGGTACTCCATATTATATGAGGTATTTATATTTTTCTGATAATAGTCCAGAAGTTTGTGAAAATAAACCTTATACTTTTAAATCTGATGTTTGGGCTCTTGGATGTGTTTTACATGAATTATGCACATTTAAACATGCATTTGATGCCAAGAATATTTTAAGTCTCGTTACTAAAATTTTAAATGGACAAACTGAAACTTTACCTCCTCATTATTCAAAAGATCTATAATAATTAATTCATAGACTTCTTACTAAATCAGTTTAGTCTCGTCCTCTCGTTGCTGAAATTATTAATATGCCATTCATTTAATCTGTTATGTAAGATTTCATTAGAAGTGGTGGTAAATAAAACTTTTGTTCTGTTGTTGGAGTTAAAAAAATTAAATAACATGAAATCTAAGCACATAATAATAATTAACATTTAATCTTAAAAAATCAAATTAATCAACCAAAATAAGATTAAGAATCTTATCAACATTCTATTAAAGATGAAATTAATAAAGAGAAAGAAGATGAAACTATTAATTAAACAGTCATCTCTTAATCATTCAATAAAAGTAAGACTTTTAAAAATAAATAGAGTAGATTGATAATGCCAGTAAATATACAATTGGTGATACTATTATGAGTTAAGCATCTTAATTTTTAGAATAACCTAAATAAATATCTCCCAAATCCATCTTAAAATAAAAAAAAGAATAAGAAACTTAATAAAAAATAGAAATGCTATCAAAAGCAGCATTAAATAATAGTCAGCAAAATTCAAAATAAGCTGAATTAAGAAAAATTCAAAACCTTTATGGAACTCAATCCCAATTTTACTAATAAAAATAGTTAGAAATTTAATAAACTAATACTTAATAATAATTTTATTAAAAGTAATAATAATAATAAATTGAATCACCTTTAAAAAAAAGTTAACTTTAATAATAATAATAAATAAAATAATAGCAGTTTCAGAATACTAATTTTGATTAAAGTTTATAATCTTCATCTAAATTTAAACCAATTGATGAAGAAGTTATGAAGAAAAGTTTATTAAATTTAAAATAAAAATAAGCATAAAAAAAAGAATAAAATTAAAAAAATTAAACTATGGATTATCAAAATGATGAATATCCTGAAGATTTTGAATATTATGATGATTTTGAAGATTATGATTCGGATAATGAATTTTAAAATGAAACTGTTATAAATGAAGAGATATTAGGTGATGAAATGGATGGAACAAGATTGACTTAAAGATAATCTGATTAAGATTTATAAAATGTTGTTGAAGTTTATAAAAATGAATTAGCAAAAGCAAAAAGTGGCAATGAAACTTTAGCAGGTAATTCATAAATTTTATATTAATTTTAGAAATCTAAGAAGAACCTGAATCTTCATATTCTTCTAGTTTTTATAAAACTGATGAAAAATTTAAACCTAAAATATCCATGATAGAAAATCTAAAAAAAAGTATATTGTAATAGATCCCATAAGATTTATTTAATATGGCTTATAATAGAATTTTAAGTGAAATCGAAAAAAAGTAAAGTACATAGGAAGTAAAATTTATTACAATTAATTTTAGATGTATAAGGACTTAAAATAAATTTTGGGCAAAAAATATTCGGGGGCTGGATTTTAAATAGAATAATTGATATATCAGGAGTAATTATATAAACACTTTCAAAACTGAGTTTTTCATTTATATCATATATAAATATTCCTAAATATGTAATATTTTGAATATAACATGATGTTTTAGAGTTTCTCTCATTTGGGAAGCTTCAGAAATTTTGAGNTAATAAAAAATAGAAATGCTATCAAAAGCAGCATTAAATAATAGTCAGCAAAATTCAAAATAAGCTGAATTAAGAAAAATTCAAAACCTTTATGGAACTCAATCCCAATTTTACTAATAAAAATAGTTAGAAATTTAATAAACTAATACTTAATAATAATTTTATTAAAAGTAATAATAATAATAAATTGAATCACCTTTAAAAAAAAGTTAACTTTAATAATAATAATAAATAAAATAATAGCAGTTTCAGAATACTAATTTTGATTAAAGTTTATAATCTTCATCTAAATTTAAACCAATTGATGAAGAAGTTATGAAGAAAAGTTTATTAAATTTAAAATAAAAATAAGCATAAAAAAAAGAATAAAATTAAAAAAATTAAACTATGGATTATCAAAATGATGAATATCCTGAAGATTTTGAATATTATGATGATTTTGAAGATTATGATTCGGATAATGAATTTTAAAATGAAACTGTTATAAATGAAGAGATATTAGGTGATGAAATGGATGGAACAAGATTGACTTAAAGATAATCTGATTAAGATTTATAAAATGTTGTTGAAGTTTATAAAAATGAATTAGCAAAAGCAAAAAGTGGCAATGAAACTTTAGCAGGTAATTCATAAATTTTATATTAATTTTAGAAATCTAAGAAGAACCTGAATCTTCATATTCTTCTAGTTTTTATAAAACTGATGAAAAATTTAAACCTAAAATATCCATGATAGAAAATCTAAAAAAAAGTATATTGTAATAGATCCCATAAGATTTATTTAATATGGCTTATAATAGAATTTTAAGTGAAATCGAAAAAAAGTAAAGTACATAGGAAGTAAAATTTATTACAATTAATTTTAGATGTATAAGGACTTAAAATAAATTTTGGGCAAAAAATATTCGGGGGCTGGATTTTAAATAGAATAATTGATATATCAGGAGTAATTATATAAACACTTTCAAAACTGAGTTTTTCATTTATATCATATATAAATATTCCTAAATATGTAATATTTTGAATATAACATGATGTTTTAGAGTTTCTCTCATTTGGGAAGCTTCAGAAATTTTGAGTACAATTAATTTCATAAAATATCATTTATTTACAAGATAATTTTAGAAAGCAAAGCCATGAAGTTTAGAAGGTCAAAAGCGTCTCGTTTTGCTTTGACAGAAATGTGATTCATACAATTAAAAAGTCTCCTTTTGAATATTTTAAGAAAAAATAAAGAAATCAATAGAATAGAAAAATATTTCAATAAATTAGAGGATAAGAAAATTTAGAATTATTATCATCAGATCAGGAAACTCAAGATTACTCTGAATTAGAAGAAAATTAACGATATTATAGCATTATAGAATGGAAAAAAATATAAGATGAAAGATTGAAATAAATGACAGGAAATAATTTGATTGATTCTACGAAATTGTAAGATTCTAATGATTCATCAAAATTAAAAAAAACCCCACTTAAGTCTTGTTTAAAAAAAATCAAGAAAGATATCTTTTGCTAATATGAAGAATTATTTGGGAAAATAACTAATGATTAATTATAGACTGAAATTTCATCAGAAAAATTGTAGCTTAAAGAAAAATAAATCAAATAATGTATCATAGTGACTGAATTCAATAATATAATGAATGATGATGACGATGAAGTATTAAAATAAATTAAATGTTTAGATATCCATAACTTTAGATGAAATGGATGATTTTATTTAAGAGAGAATTAAAGATTAAAACAAAATAAAAAAGTTTGATATTAATGAATTCGATAACATTAAAAAAAAAGTAGATCTTAAATAGAAAATCTTATCTGACCATAATGTCCTTAAAAATAAATAGTGAATTATAAATATCATCATTTATTTTATTTTTAATAATTAAATAATAAATATTATGAATTAAGTAAATTAGGTCCTTCAAAAACCTTAAATGTACTTTTAAATAATAGTTCTAGAGACAAAAAGGTCTTTGATAGTACAAGTTATGCCCTTCCAAAAAGTGATTAAATTATGACTAGATTATCTGAAAATTTCTCAAAATTTGGTGCTACTTATAGTTAATTTACAATTGCTATAGTTGTATTAGGAGGATTAACAAATTTGGTATTTCTGATAAGCGTAGGATTGAGCATAGCCCTGTATTTGATTTTTTATTATTCATAGTTGGTACACTATTTTGAAAAATGATGATCTTTTAGATTATATTCCTAATTTCGGATTTCTATCAACAGATAAAAAAAAGGTTGTGTTGTTTTTAGGTAGAAATTGTTATATAATATATTTTTTAGTGAATGTTATTGTATTGTATATGTTTTGTGGAGATTCCATATTTACTTACATTGGGGTTGGGTAAGAATATAATATCGATTTAGTTTCCTTATATCATTTTTACACTCATTTTTGTTTGTATCACCATCAACAGGAGCTTTAATTGATGGCTAATCTAATCAACAAACCAATTAAGATTTAACTTAGTATGTTAATTTCACCAATAACAACAATATTGAATTATAATATAAATGATTCATATTATATAAGGTTGAATATCAAGTTTATCCTTTAATCTAACAACTATTAAGTTATCGTAAAAATTATAATTTTTTGTTTGAATACATGTTTTTCGTGATTTTAAATCGAGTTTAAAAAATTATGATGAATGAATTTTTAAGACATAAATTAATTGTTATATTTTAATCCTTATCCTTAATTATTCTATTAAATGTTCTATGATTTATTCATTATAAATTAAGTATTATTAACTAAAATTTCAATACTTTCATTTATTTCTAATACTTACTCTTTGGCTTTCAAACTCTCACTCATTCTTGATTTAGCTTTTTTAAATCCAATAATTTTATTACATAATTCTAATGCCTTATATTTTCTATTCTTTAATATGTTCCTTAGACTTTTTTCTTATAGTAAAAATGAAGGTCAAAAAAATGAAATGGTGGTGTTTATTCTAAAATTCTGAATTTTGTTGTAAATTCATACAAAGTAATATATATACTTTATGAATATAAGTTATGTCATCAATTCTATATTGAAAAAAAATCATAATCAATTGAATGATTTCCATCAATTAATTTGATTTAGAAATACTTGTAAAGTTTTATTTATAATTCATACTGAAGTAATTTCAATTATTATTTGAATTCTTGACAAAGTAAGCTGATATCATAATAAGACATTTTAAAATTATTTGCATTTTTTTTGGTTCAAACATCTTTATAAAATAAAGTATTTGATTCTTAAATTTTGTATTATACTTAAATAGATAATTTATTTCCCTCTTATTGTGTTAATGTATTTGATAAATTAAGGATATGGAAAAATAAAAGCCTTTTATTATAATTTTTTTGGATTATATAATTTTGATTATTTTTAATTAGATGAAGTATTTGGGAATAGTATATGGAAGTAATAAATAAATTTAGAGTAGTAAAATAAATATCTATATATATATATAAAATTTAATTTGAAGAATAAAAATAATTTTTTAGATTTAGAATATTTTTAATAAATGGGGAAAGGAAGTTCAGGAATTAAAAAATAAAAAAAGAATAAGATTGGAGATGATTAGAACTACGGAAAAGTTGTAATTTGTCTTCACTTTATATTAGGGTAGACCTAAAAAGAAGAAAGAAAATAATGAGACAACTTAAGAAATAGATAAAAGACAATGGTTTAATGTTCCTCGTGCTTTACAAATGTTAACATTGATTTGCGAGAAAGGAAGTTTAGCTTTAAGATATAAGACAGGACAGAAGAGTAATACAATGGAGGAATCAACTAAAACAAAGAAAAGTGAAGAAACAAGAAAGCTTAAGGTAATATATTTAGTTTAATGAGGGAAAAGTAAAAATTAAAGGATTTAAAGAAGCATTGTAATTATGAAGAGAAGAAATTATATCTTTTGATTGATAATAATACTGAAAATGTATAGATTGAATTAGAAAATGCTGATAATGATGGAATAATTGAGGATATGGATAAAATTTATAAATATTTAGATAAAGAGTTTTAAGTGTCATTTATATTGATATTGCAATAGTATTTAGAATAATAGAATAAGGATATATAGATATTAGCAAGAGGAATAGTATAAAAAATGATGGAATAAAAGGAATAACATAAAATGCTATTGAATTTAGCATTAATAAAAACGAATATAGAGGATGATTTAGAATATGTTTTATAATTGGTATGAATAAAGTATATTATATAAAAGGCTAATACCAGTTCTGGATTATAGTTATAATATGAAGTAAATGAGAAGTGGGTTAATGAGGAAGATAAAATGGTGTAATGGTTGATTGGATTTGTTGAAAAGATAATTGGAATATTCAAGGCAGAACGTCAATGAAATTAACAGTTCCTAATTATAATTATTTTGAATTTATATGACGACTAATATTTAAGTGATTTGTCGATTTAGGCCATCAATTTCTGGCCAGATTGAGAGTTAGATATATTTTGCAGATGACAAGAGTATTCTAATAGAGAATCAATAATTTAACTTCGACCGCATCTTTCATCCTGGAAAATAAATAGAAGTATTTAAAATAGGTGCAGAACCTGTAATTAAAGGAGTGTTAGAAGGATTTAATGGAACTGTTGTAGCTTATGGATAGACAGGATCTGGAAAAACACATACTATGGAAGGCTCAACAGGAGAAGAATAAGGAATCATAAAAAGAATGGTTAATACATTATTTGATTATATTGAAGCAAGTCCTGATTATATTGAATATCGTATTAAAATATCAGTTGCTGAAATATATATGGAGAAGGTGAGAGATTTATAGAATATCAAAAAAAATGATTTAAAAATTAGAGAAGATAAGAATCATTCTACATATATTGATGGAATAACCGAAACATCAATAGTTGATTAATCAGAAATATATGATATTCTAAAAATGTGTAATTCTAATAGAATGATAGCTAGCACTAATATGAATGAATAATCATCTCGTTCACATATGATATTTATCATGACAGTTTAATCTATTGATTTAAGAGATTAATCAGCTAAAACAGGTAAACTATTTTTAGTTGATTTGGCTGGAAGTGAAAAAGTATCTAAAACTGGTGCTGAAGGTAAAATCTTAGATGAAGCTAAAGGTATTAATAAATCATTATCTGCATTGGGATAAGTAATTAATGCATTAACAGATGGTAGTTAACATGTACCTTATAGAGATTCTAAACTAACTAGAATTTTATAATGTTCTTTTGGTGGAAATAGTAGAACTACACTTATTATTACATGCTCTCCTGCATAGTTTAATTTATCAGAAACTCTATCTACTTTAAGATTTGGGGTTAGAGCAAAAGCTATTAAAAATAAACCGAAAATCAATAAAGAACATACTGTTGAAGAACTTAAAATCATTCTTTAAGATAAAGAAAGAGAAATCTTATTATTATAAGAATAACTCTCATAATATCAAAAAGGGATTATTATTAGTGATGAAGATAAAGAAATGATTAAAGATATTTAAGAAGATATCATTCTAGAATAACCCAATGTTAATGAATAATTATTTAATATGCAATAAATTATTACTAAATATGAATAAGATATTGAAGTTTATAAATAATAGGAATTTGCACATTAATAAAGAGAAATTGAATTTTCCAATCTTATTAGATTCAAAGATGATGAAATGCAAGAAAGTTTTAATATTATCCTAATCTATTATTTTAGAAATGTAAGATTTTGCAAATTAGTAAGCTAAACTTGAAACTGAATATCAAAATAAATAAACTCATTTGTTTAGAGTATTGTCTTCTAAATTGGGAAACATAGATGATGAACCTCATATTGATGAAGATCAAATATTATGTTTAATCGAAAATTATGCTAAAGAAAGGGTTTCTTCTAAATTAAAATAAATTACATACTTATATTAAAAACATCATAAGGATGCTTTAAATGATTAATTAATGCTATTCTTGACAGATGATAAAAAAGAATTCAACATTCATAGTAATTTTAGTAATAAGAATTATAGATGATTAATTGGCTGAATTACATATTCAAGTGGCTTAATTAAAAAAACAGAATCTTGAATTATAAACTGACTCTACCACTTAGTCGTAGTTACTTGAAACATTAGAGAAAACATAACAGTTATTAGATGCAGAAAAGGCAAAATGCTAAAAATTAGAATATACTTTGAATAAAAGTTTTTAAATTTTATAATTACTAGATAATAGAATATATAATGAAAAATGTAAAGAGTTGAATAAAAATATTGAAAAGATGTTATCTGGAGTTCACTAAGTCATTAATGAAAAATAAAAATATTATAGAGATTCTTAAAAATTAAAAAAGATTTGTGATGAAAAAAATTAAAAAATTTAAGTATAAATTTTTATTAATTATGTTTAGAAATTAGAAGAGGAAGTTAATAGACTTAGTGTAGAAAATTTAAAATTATTCGTTAAATATGATTAACTAAAAGAATTGCAAAAATAAGACAAGAGTTAACATCTAGATACTTCAGAAGTGAATTCTTCATTTCGATAAAATAAAAAAATTCTTAAATGTTTGAAAGGTGGTACTAAAAATCCAAATACCGAATAAGTTATAGGTAAGGAAAACATTTCTGATGAAGAATAATGATATTATCAAAATTTATCACTCATTATATATTCAATAGCACCTAAAACATTTGTAAATTAGGCTGAATCTCGGCCTGAATTATATGTCATTTCAGCTCCCAAAAACATTTGAATGAAATTTAATTGACATACCCATTTTTCAGATTATATCTTAAATATACAAAATGTCAATATTCCGATTTAACTATTGTAAAATATATATAATACCAATCTAGTTCAAGTAAAATTTATTGACTTCCTCCCTTTTTAATGTCCTTAATCATAGTTTATTCTAGTTTAGAAAATAGATCAAATTTATCACAAGGATTCTCAATAATTAAGATCTCTTATAATTGATTTTTGGTATTTTAATAATCTGAATTATATTTTTCTGGTACTTATAATTCATGTAATTTTATATTAACATATTTATTAAGTTTCTTTTTGAAAATTTAAGTTTTATCCAAACTATATATTTCAAAAGTATCAAAAATAATACTTTTTAGTTACTTATTTTAAAATATCATTTTGATAAGTAATTGTTTAAATTTTTCTCTATTTTAAACTTCATATATTAATTAAAGCATTTATTCCAAATATGAAATAAAATATTTAATATCATTGCATAGAGAGGAATAAACAAAATCTTTAGATTCTATTAATTTGATTAGGTATTCCTTTTCTTATTGATTCTAAAAAATTGAATATTTTTCACTAAATATTTAACTCCAAATATTCATCAAATCTTTGATAAGATGATGATCTGCAATTTGTTTATAAATCAACTCTTCTTTGAGATTGTTAACTTATGGAATCAAAAATTCTGTAGTTTAAGCTTTTCATAAAAAGAGGATTAGTTACTGTGATTAAGATAAGCAGAAATAGCTAATTATTGGGCATATTTCTAAGGATCCATATTGAGTAAGAATCTTTTAAGATCTTCTTTATATGATTAGAGATGATTTTAATGAACTGTTAAATCTAAGACTTTGATTGCATTTTCGCGAATGATTTCTGGTTTATATATTTTCAATATTTGATTTTTAGATTGCGAGCTTTTAGTTAAACAATGTTCATTCCAAAGTTCTAGAATAGATTTTTGCTTTTATTAATTACCCATATATAATATAAAATAAAATCATTTTTTGATTCTAATATCTATAAGACTCTAAATGAATATAGATAAATACTTAATAATTTTGGATATCTTTATCAATTTCAATTAATTCATTTTTCAATTCTTAATTTTATCTAATAAGATCAATGATATTTTGATAAGTATGAATTGGAGATTTATTTTAAAGGATTGTATTTTGAGATCCAAAATAATCTAATTTTAATGGTATTTTATTTTTGAGTTGAGTAGGAGGTTTAGGAATAAAAATTTATTTCTTATTTTTTTAGATTGCTTATTATGGCTGATTATCAAGAGGAACTCGATTTTGAAATATAAATAGCTATTAATAAGGACTTTGAATCTATGGAAATTTAGTAAGAGAGATGTACTTATGCAGAAGATTAAAACAATGTAAACATTTTTTGAGCATGAGGGGTTTCATAATTCATATTTTAATAATATATCAACTCTTTATTTCTGGTCTAACAATGGTTTCTGGTTTAAAATATTATGTAGATAAATTGCATCCTAAAGATGCTAATTATCCTATGATCATTCTACAAATGGCAGGAAGTGATACATGTTTTAAGTGTGGATCCATTTCTTATTTTACTTTTGCTAATTGAATATATTATATATATGTAATATTACCAATTTCATAAACTTGTTATAAAGAAATAGTATCATACCATATATAACCAGGGAAATTGGTGAATTTATCTGTACCTATAAGATTATTAGATTATTTATATGTGATACCAGTTGCTTTTCTTAGAAACCAAGTAGTTTCAGGTGGTTTAATTAGAAATTTAAATGTTCTATCTGGAAATGCAATAACTTAAACTCTAAGTGGTACATCTGGTCTAAAGGATTAACTTGCAGCATTGAATTCTTTGCAAAATTGCATCATATTAATTCCTAAAGGACCTAATGATTGACCCATCTTAGGACTTGGTTTTGCTACACCAGCATAAAGTCTAAGCATTATTTTAGCTCTATAATCTTTTGGAAGTGTCTATAATTTTTTCTTTATCAAATTCATTTTATTTATATATTATTATTATGTTTGGAACACAATTTGATTATTTAAAACTCAAACCTAGAACAGTTGAAGAAATTCATCATGAAGATGGCTATATTAAAGAAGGTATTGAACGAACTGCTACTAGACGAATTTTTTAATCTGTTGAATATGATCATTTTGAAAAAAAATAAATTCAATAATTTAAAGATATTATAAGAGGAGCTAATATCAGTGTTAGTACTGATGATGTACTCTTAAGATTTCTTTATGCAGGATATTTTAATATGACTAATTGTTTAGAAGTATTTTCAAATCTTATATTTAGTTATATAAACGACATATTTATTGGTTGAATACTAGTAGACTCTCAAATATTCCTGAAAAAGTACTTTTATGTTTAAGAGAAGGATTAGTATATATTGGAGGTAAAGATTATTAATATCGTCCTATTATTGTTATTAATTTACATATGATGGATCTATATTTATTTGATTCTGATGCTTTTATTCATGCTTTATCAATATTATTTGTTATTTGTGAAGATTATTTATTCTATCCAGCAAAAGTTGAAAATATTGTTGTCATTGTTGAAACTGATTAAATGAGTCTTTACAACTTCCCATAAAAAACATTTCAAGTTATTATTTGGATGATGAGTCAAAACTTTCCATAAATATTAGATCGTCTCTATTTATTTAATCCATCTAAAGAATTACTTATGAATTGGGATAATTATCATTAAATGCTTGATAGTAGAACTTTCAAAAAAATTGAAATCTGGGAATCTAAATCATTTGCTCCTCTTGCTCATGGTTTTCATCCTGATATGTTAGAACGTAGATTTGGAGGGGGAATGCCAAATATTTAGTAATATTGGTTACCTTCTCAAATTATTCAATAACCTAGTAGTATTTCTTATAAAGTTTAAAAACCTATCTATAATTAAGGAACTATTTAATATTCACTCTATAATGATCCTAAAGAATTATTAGAAAGACTATAATAAAGAGATGATGAAGTAAGATCATAAGAAGCCACTGTTAAAAGTGAACCTAAATCAAGTGTTGCTTCTGGTAAATTAAAAGTCATTGATTTTCATTAAACTATGGGAAATGCTTTTAAATAGTCAAATTATCCTTAAGAATATTAAGATCTAAGTTAAACTAATTTCTCAGGAGAATTCTATTAATAAACTAATCAAATTTAATAATCCCCATAATAATAATTTATGAATCCAGGCTTCTAAGGATCAACATTACCAGAACAATAATTTAAATAAAATAGTAAAGCCAATTCTGTTACATCCTCATAAAGAATTAAAGATCAATAAATAGCTTAATAATTAGTTGGATCCTATTAAAAACCTACAAGCACTATATAATAAACAAATAGACCAAATACCATGCCAGTTCCTTAATTAGGAGCTCCAGCTCAATCTCAAAGACTTTATGAATCTATGGATGATAAATTAAATGATTCTTAGAGACCATCTAGTAATAATGTTTAAGCATGCTCAATTATGTGATAATCTATAATATATTTCTTATCTAAATTATTTTGAATATTTATTTTTTATTTATTTCTTAAAAATTATATATTTTCTTATCAGTAAATATGATAAATTTTAAAATTGAATTTTCAATAATTTTTCATTATTATAAAAATTAATTTAATCAATTAAAAATAATTTAAAAATTGGATCATAAGAAATAGTAAGGTTTTAAAAACTCATAACCTTATTTATTTAAATTTAAATAAAGTTTCTTAGAAAAGATTTCAATTTTGCATTTTAATTTTAGAAAATAAAATGTTTTCTAGATTACTCAGGGACGAATTCCAAATATAATTGAGTATCTAAAATATATAGAATTTTAAAGAAAGATATTCTTATTTAAATATGATCTATATTCTATTAGGAGAAAAAATTAAGATTAGCTTGAAAGTAGAATTCTGAATAATATTAACAAGCCACCTCTCAATTAATATTAAATTATCCAATTATTTTTTGCTTAAAATATATCAATTCCTTGATAAGATATTCAGGTCATCTTCCTCATTATTGCTTGTTTAGCTAAGGAAAGTTCGACGGTTGAGTACATTGCTAATTGCATTATTTATTTAGCTTGCTGGACCTATACTTTTCATAATTGAAGTAACTTAAGGATTTGGTATAAACTTGTTTGCAGTTAATGTATTTTAATTCGCACTCGTTGTTGTGTGTGCATATTAAACTTTATTAACAATGTTAAACACATTTAAAGATGCTGAACTTTTTACAACATTTTATTAAGTATTTTGAGATGGAGGAATGTAAACTGCTGCTTAATGATATAATTTGTAAAATTTAGTATCCCACCCTATAAAAATAAATACATCATTTTACATGTTTAAAATTTGTATTCCAATTTAGCACCAAGAACAACATTTATATATTTTAATCTAAGATTTGTAGTTTTCTCCAAATCATATCCTCGAGTTGCAACTATTGGAATATTTCTTGTTCCTTAAGTTATTTATTATGGTAATTCATTTGAAGAAATAACTTCAGCAGCTTCTAATGGTCTATTTTAAAATGGATGGTTTGAGTCAAAAATGAATTCTTAAGGTGATGCTGCCCATAAGGCTCCACTTGTTCCCTATATACATTAAATTTAACGTATAATAATTAAGAATTTCCAAATTTTCTGGCTGATACAGATACTTAGTTTTAAGACAAATTTTCAATCTAAATATAATTTATAAACTACTTTTAATTCCAAATTAGGTTCATAGAAATGTTTCACTCCAATTAATGAAATTATTCCAAAATTGGGCTGAGATACCATGTTTGGATATAATTAGAAAGTTGTTATTTAATCACCTGGTTCAGCCATTTTTTAAATATTTTCTTATTCATACTCAAGAACTTTAATCCTCTAATCATCGAAAGCATACCAATCAACTTACAATTAATATAAAGGTTAAGGTGATAAAGCGATTCCTGTTAGTACAAATCCTAAAAAAAAATTAATCAATATATATTACCCTCTTTAGTAACTTAAGAGACATCAATACTAAATCCATTTGGTGATCCTGATCCACAATCAAAGACTTGTGAGGAAATGAATACTTAAGGTATGTTATTAAACACTTTCTAGAATCTAACATTAACAGAAAGCTCCCTAGGAACGTTTTATGATATTTTTAAAATGTGGTCTTCTGAAGCATACATTATGATTTGATTGCCAGATTCAAATTATCCTTAACCTTGAACCAGTCCTAAACATAGGAATACAAAAACAACTAAAGTAATCTATTTCATAAAATTTTTTAAAAAAAATAAAAATATATTTAATATTTTACTCAAAGATATTTATATCTCGGAAAACTTTAAACTAAGTTAACCATACTATTGACTTTTATTAAAGTATTTACCCTAAAAATTAAGACTAAATTTAACTAAATAGAGCATCACTTTTACAATCCAAAAAATATAATAAATATTAAAGCTGATTATATATATATTTATATATTTATATATAAATTAAGATAAAAGTTTCCTCTCTCTCTGCTAAATTTTCTCCATATGTCTAATTAATAATTAAAATTTTTATGAGGAAAAGTTTCTGAAATTAAAAATTTGTGAAAAATTAGAATGGTATAATTAATAATATTAAAATTATTCTTAAAATATTTAAGATTTACCTGATAGAAAGATATTAGAATTGCAAATATGATTATAGTTTAAGATCCTATAAAAATTTTATAAATGTAAATTTTGTTAAAAAGTTAATAAATATCCATTATATTTTTTAAATAAAAATTTTTTTAATTTCAGTAAAATTTTTTATATTGCTATAAAAAATTTAGAATTTTATACATTATTATTCTTATACATAATTATTGTAAAAATAAAAAAATTCGAAAATTTTAATAAAAATGTACTTAATGATTTATTGAAAATAATAGAATAATAGATTTCTTTGGAAGAGAAATAAAGCAACTTTTTTCAAATAGTTTTTTAAATTTAATGAAAACTATATTCAGTTTATGCTTCTATATAGTAATTTCCTCTCAATTATGAAATATTAAAAAGTAATTTTGGCAGAGATTGATTCTTAAGGAACTGAAATGTTATTTTTGAATGAAATTTAGGGTTTGTTATCTATTCGATCCCTGTTCATGAAATTTAGAATTATATTAAGAATAATAGATATAAAAATCAGAAATAGTGATTTATGATTGATAGTAAGACTTTTTGCTGAACTTTTTATCCAAAATACTGAAACATCTTTCTTGAAATAGGTTGCTTCATCATTTGCAACATGGCTGGCTTATCATTAATAATAGTTTAAGACACATATTCATTGATAGATACAATTTTGAATTATTAATTGTTTGTATAAGTATTGGGTAGATTTACTAAAGTCCTCTTTAGATTATAAAAGTAATATATTAAAATATATTAATATAGTTAATCAACATAACTATGATTGTTATTTTAACTTATTATATCAATGATGATATTAATGAATTCTAAAGCTGATGCTTTCAATTATAGGCTAATATAATGATAATAGAAAAGGTTAATTATTTATTGTTCAATCAGCACTAAAAAATTAGATTATATCCTCTAAAAATTAAAGTAAACTTCTTTATTAATCATCTATAAATACTTGATCTTTCTTATTTTTTTATTTTATTCAAATCTAAGTTTGAGTTATCAAATAAATGTTTCTTTCGAAAAATTTCAATTTGTGAATCATAAAAAACATCAGTAGTTTTTATTATTAACTCTCAGATCATCCTCAATAAAAAAGATAGTTAATTTTAAAATATGGGAATGATATTTTTTATGGAAAAATATTTTATTTAAAATCAATAAACATATTAGTTAGATTTCTTATTGCTTAATATTATCGTATTATAAATATTTATATTACATTTTTGAAATTTGTTAAAAAATAAATAATTATTTCTTAAATTATTATGTTTAGTTTTGGATATAAAAATTTATATGAGCCTAAACCTATTATACCAGGACCTGGGTAATATTGAAGTTAATATAGTGATTATGAATTAAGAAAAGATTTGAATACTCAAATAACATAGAAGAAAAAAAAGGGTATGAATCATTCAATTAGTGAGAAGAAATTATAAAATAATCATTCTTATATACATAGACTAAAAAATCATTAAGATTGTTATGGTGAGTATTAATTAAATAAACAAAGAAAATTTATAAAATTAAGCCCAAAGCAAAAGAAAATGCATTCTTTTACAACATCTTAAAGATCAAAATGTTTTTTATTGCCCCAAATTTCAAAAGGACCATAATATTATAAAATTAATGATTATAAAAGTGATAGCACAATCAAAATAGGAAAGTATTCATCTAGAAAAGAAATATTTGATATCTAAAATAATAGTTACTCAAAAAGTAATTGTTCGAAATTTGATTCATCAACAAGTATAGAATAAAGATGTGAAAAGTTATAGAATTATTGGTCTGAAGATAAGCAGAAACAAAAATATAGTTTTTTTTAAAACTAAAGGATTAAACCTATTCCTAAATTTAGAGAATACTCATATTTTGACAAAGATAAAATTGGTCCAAGTTTAATTGATTATCCAAAAGAAAAAATAAAAGGATTAAAATTTACAAAAAATCAAAAATTTAAATTAATAAAAATAAATAAAGCTGATATCCATCAAGAATATTTTATTTAAAAATTAATCAAGAATAAGGATTGCTCATCCTCAGATGAAATCGTTTCTAATGATTCAGAAGAAACAATAACTCTTAAGGTTTTTGATTACAATTAAAAAATTTTTTTTGATAAACAAATCAAAGTTAAGAAGTCTCGATAGGATGAAAAAAAAAATGAACCATCCAACTAAAATATCAACTTTTAGTCAGGAAAAAAATTTTCTTTTGCAAAAGGGAAAAGATATAATAAGTTTTTTCAGGATAATTTATGACAAAATCTACAATTTATATATTATAAAAAATAAATACTCAACATGAACATGGAATCTTTAAATTTAATGTTATATTTTTACTAAACAAATTGAATTTAAAAAATATATAATATTAGAAGAAAAAAATCTAATTAAAATAATATTTTTTCATCAATTTTCCTTTTCTAAATCAAAGAGTAATAAACTTTAAGTAGAGCATAGATTTTTTGGAAAAATTAAATTGATATAATAAATTTTTTGAAAGATACTGAATAATTTTTTTTTATAATTTATCTATTTTAGATTATTGACAAGATTATATGATTTTTTTAACAATTTTGATTGTTAATTATTGAAAGAAATATTAATAATTATTAAGAAAAATTATTAATACAATGCATATGATTTTATTAAAATATTCAGTTGATATAATTTAATTAATATTATGATATTTAAGTATAAAAAATTTCTTTATTTATAATATTTTCATTTTATTTGTTGGTTCTTTTAGTTTAAGGGTATATTGATAACAATATCATTCATTTCCTTTTAGAATTTAGTGAATAAATTATTTTTTATTCCTAATTAAGATGGTATAGCCTGAAAAGTAACAAAATTAGAGAATTATTATTCAGAAGGTAGAGTTTAAAAAGAATATTATTAGCTAGTTGATAGTGGAGAACCTTTTTTTTTCTCTTTGAAGACTCCAAACTTGGGCTATTTTTATAGCTAATAGTCTTCATCAGAATCTGATAGAGAAATCATTTATTGAGGGGCATCAAAAAGTGAATCTATTTTGGTCTGATGTGGAGGAGTATTGTCAACTTCTAATGTTTCTATTCTTTCTATTTTTTTACAACACGATCCATTTCCCATTTATTTAATATTAAATAATAAATTACCAAAATATCATGATTAGCCTTAGGAAAAATCATCAAAATTTCATATTTATTCTATTATTAAAGGAACTATTGTTATTTCTAAAACATTTTAAAATATAGCATATAATAGATTTCCATATAATAAAGTAAATTTAGAAAATCTAATATTATGGAGAAATAATTAAATTACGATGAGAGAGAGTAGTGAAAATATTAATTAATATATATTTGATTATAGTAGAAAAGAATATAATTTGATTATTTAAAAATAATATAAAATGATTTTGTTTAACTAAATTTGAATTGATATTTGAAATTACAAAAGATTTTCAGAAATAATAAATAATGTTTAGGAAAATGGTTAGAAATGAAATGGAAATTTCAGAACTTATAGTTTCATTCTAAATATTTTTCTAAATCTGAAAGGTCTCTTTGTTATTATTAGTATGATTTTAAGATACTTTTTCTTTCTAATTATTTGACATATTCTTTCAATTGTTCTTCCTCATGTGATTATTGTATTCTATAATTATTGAGACATAGTTGAGCATCTTAAAAATATTTAGAACATTTTTTGGCATAATCACCATTGGATGGTAAGTCAAGTTATAATAGATTGATAAATTTAGAAATTTGATCTAAGGTTTCTATTTATCTAATAGTATTATGATTGCCATCACAAAGTTCAAGTCTTTTATAAGATTTACATTTTTCATAAAGCATTTATGAATGTCTTGGATGAACTAATTGATCAGTTTTGCCAGCAAGGAAATAGAATCTTTTAGTATTACTCTATATATTAACACAATTGAGAGGGGAGACTTAATCAATATCAAATTATGCTTCATTAATAATTTTACTTCTAAGAAAAGGAATAAATCCACTAATCATAAATGAGAAACATCCAAACTTTTATTATCCTAATTCTTCAACAATAGTTCTTAATTAAGTAAAAGCACTATCAGCAATATAAGTAGTAATTCTTGGATGTTATGATAACATTAGTGCAGTTACAGCTCCCATACTTCTTCCCCATAGAATAAATTCATCAACTTTACCAAATCTACATTCTATATAATTCATTAACTCTTTAACATCTTCACTTTCATATGTTCCCATTGTAATATATTTTCCTTCTGATAAACCACATCCAGCAAAATCAAATATACATAGATTAACTCCAATAGCTAGTAATCTCTCTACATATTATAATCCTTCTAATCTACAACTAGCATTACAATGAAGATATATTAAACAACGATGATGAATAGATTCTTATATAAAATAACTAGCCTATAATTTTAGTTATCTTGACATGAATTCAAAATCCTCTCTTATTATTGGAATACTTTAAACTATACGTATTTTTGGACCTTATCTTAATAAAATTCATTACCTAATTATTACATTTAATATGTTCTCCTTGGTGGTCTAATTATCTATCTACAATAATCATTTATGAATGACATTAATATTAATGCATTAAATTGTTGTTAAAGCACTTATTAGAGAGTATCTCATTAAATAAGGATTTACTGACACTTTAAATACATTTGATAAAGAATACAAAGATAAAACACCTATTACTAAAATGGATGTAATTTTGTAACTTGGACTTTCGAAAGTTGTCAAAAGAAATAATGAATCTATTAAACCTTTAAAGAGTTTATTAGAAATATTGATTTCACATCTCCTTAATAAAAAAGCATAATTAGAAGCATTGACAATAGCTACAAAAGCTGAAAAAATAGAAGACATTCCTTAAGATATACCATATGATCCTACTATAGGAGCATCTCGTTAAAATAAATTAAAAAAGCGTCCTTAATCAGAATACAAACCAAAAAATTTTGATTTATCTAAAGAAGAAGAAATTATTATTGAATAAAAAAATGATAAGAAGGATGAGAAACATTCACCAAATAAAGGAGCATTTGAAGTACCAAGAAAATTATCTACTAGATAAGTTAAATTATATGATTTTTCAGAAGATAAACTTGAAAATTTATTAAAATAAGAAAAAAAAGAAAATCCATAATTACCACTTGCTTAACCACCTCGATTAATTAATATGAAAAAATAATCAGAAAAAAAAGAGTCTAATTAATAATTCCTTAAAGAACAATAAGATAATAATTAAGATGAGTCAACTATAGATTAAAAAGTAGAATATTAAAAATGTAATATTAAATAACATAATGTATAAATCCAAAATTCAAATTTCAATTATGATAAAAATATTGGATTCAATTAAGGAAAAAGAAAACCTTAATAAAAATCTATCATTTAACCTATTAAGAAACTCTTATTTTAAGGTACAATGAATGGATTACCTAAAAGTTGGTCTCAACCATTTATTTTTAAAGATGAACCTACTTTTTTTGGCTTACATTAATTAGAAGGAGGTCCTTGTGGTGTTATAGCTTCAGTTTAAGCATATTATCTCAAACATTTTTTATTTTCTTAATCTATCTATTAAAAACTTTCAATTAAATAAAATTGTTTAATTGCTGCTTTATCTGATATTTTATATAAATGCAATAAAGAAAAACTTATTTTAGTTATTCCAGCAAGAGATTCTTCAATGAGTCAAGCTATAGCAATTGAAAGTTGTGATTAATTAGAATATTAAATCAAATCTTTAAATTATTTGTATGAAGTACTATTAGAACATTCGTCTCTTTTTTTCGGATAAAATGGTATAACTTTATTTTTTTATTCCCTTATTCTAAGTAAAGGTGTTGATGAAATAATGTAAGAAATGGATTCTGCTACTAATCCTTTAATAGGTAATCATGGTCATTGTACATAAGAGGCTGTTAATCTTATGTTAACTGGAAAAGCTATTAGTAATTGTTTTGATGGGTACATTATTTAATTTCTATTTGATAGATGTAAATAAATAGATGATATGAAAATTAAAGGTATTGAAGAAAGAAGTGAAATTGGATTCTTAACAATATTTGAACATTTTTAATATTTAGAAGTAGGAAAGCATTTAAAAGAACCTTTACTTCCAATCTGGGTAATTTGTAAAGAGTATCATTATTCTGTTATTTTTGGTTGCAATAATGATGTTATTTAAGATAAACCATATTTAAGTAATATTAATTTAAAACTAGAATAAAATTTAAAAGAATTTGATCTTGTTTTTTATGATGGATTGAATAATCCTGATGATTTAATTATTATTACACTTAGAAGACTTGGTGCATAATTAGGTAAATAGAAAAAGAAGATTCAAATTGAAGGAGTTCAATTTGATTCAAGTGAGAAAGTTACACCATTAATTGAATATTTACTAAAAACAAAATATGGAGAATTAGAATTAGATTGGAATGATAGTATGCCAATATTATGAAACTTCAATTTTTTTTTAATGTTAATTATCTACAATTTATTACATCTTAAATATGACATGAGTTGCTATTTGTTTCCAATATATATAATACATCTCCAAATTCTGAATATTTAGGAACTATTTAATCAGGACAATTATGAAGAGAATATATTGCATTATTAATAGTAATTGGTTGTCCTTATAATTATCCTATTGGTAAATACAATTAATTTAAATTGTCTATTGTTGCTGATTAAGTATTGAATGTAATCATTTTATTTGCATTCTTTAAATTTTTATAATATCCTCCGTAAATTAATATTTTTTATTCATCCAATTAAATACAACAACATCTTATTGTAGCAAATCCAGGAATCATATTTTTAACTAAGATATTTTACCATCTTCTTTCTAAATTACTATATTTTTCTATTGAATCTAATAGAACACCACCTTATCCTTATCCAAAAAATGTATAAATAAAAGTTTAATCCTCATTTTCAAAAACACAAGAAGAATGATGAGATCTTGGTTCATTTAAATTAGCAAACTCTTCCCATACTTATGTATTTACTATAAATCTCCAACATTTGTCAGTCACACCTTCTTAAGTCTTTCCACCTATTATATAAACAAATCCTTTCACATATATTAAACTATGATGATTAACTGCTTCTAGTAAATTAGGTAATTATAATAATCCATGCATATTATCAAATTAATAGAATTTCGAACTTAAGTTTTAATTATGTATCCCTCCACAAATATATAATATTAAATCACTTGTTATTAAAGTTTAGGCATTTTATGGTATTTTTGCACTCTCCGGAAGTGAAATTAATTAATTTTCTTTTAATTAAATATCATGAATAAAAAGAGTCTAACAATCTATCAATGAATGTAAATATCTTATTCTAGATTGCTCTAAAATTACTATCTTTTATATCTCTTCATTTTAATCAAATTATTATATTAATTAATCTTCTAAATTCTACTCTGTAATTGCTTATACATATGTATGATTCAAAATTTGTGATTAAGCTAAATTTTAGGGATTTATTAATGTCATCTTCCTTTCTAACCTTTAACTATTATTCCTTTCAATTGTAAAATGAAGTGTTTATCTTGGTTTAGGTGCTCTAATCTCTGTTTTCTCCATTATATTTTTCTCAAAAGTTATACTTATATAATTTGAAAGCCATTAAGGAATATCCAGAGTAAATTTATCATTTATTTTTAAATTTGGTTTCTTATACTCTATTTTAGTTTTTTCTATAAATTGTATAACATTTTCTCTCATTTTTTTAATTGATGCTCTAAAATCTCTTTCAAAAAATTCTGATATTTAAAAATCATTAGTTGAAATATACTCATTTAATTCAAACATAATTTTTTCTAATTCTTCTTATAATACTTTCTTTTAAGTTAAATTTGAATGATTAGATGTTAAAGAAATAAAAGTATGTTTTAATTCATCAAAAAAAATACTAATAGCTTATTATAAAATTGTTTAGCTTCTTTATAATAATTATAAACCTATTCTTTATTGTTCAACTAAATTATACTCTGGTTACAATGTTTACATTAACAAATCCAATTCTTAACTTAAATCATTGGCTTCTTTTTAAACTTCACTTCTTAATGTACTTAACTCTACTAATTAATGAATTTTTCTAAATTGTTTAATACTATGTTCAACAACACATTTTTAACACATTGCTTTGCCACACCCTTTACACCAGAATTGTAATATATTTTAATGAGTAGGATTTTTGCAATAAGCTCTAAGCTCATGATGATCTCCACTCAACTTATTTTCACTACCTTTGTTAAATTAAATATGATTCTATGATAATATGTTATTCATTATTTTTTCAAATTCAAATTATATCTATTTATTATTTCTTAACCTCTTCATCATTCATAAATTATTCAACACTCTCCCTTCAATTTGTTTTGATACTTTTTGTTTAGATATAGAATTTTATTTTCTTTCCAATTTTTATTCTTTACTTTTATTCAATTTTCTCAATATCTTAACATGTCTATTAAAATAATCTATTTTCATTACTAGATGATTTCTTATATTTATAATTATATCTTAATAATAAATAAATGATACAGGTTTGTATATTTATTAGTTCAATTTTTTAGTTTTGTTTTTTTTTGAATTATTTAATACTATACGATCTTTCATCCTTAAATTTAGGTATTTTTAATTATTAAGAATTTCTTATTAATGAATCTATATTATTCTACTACTAAAATAAATAGATATTTTATTATTTTTTAAGATTTTTATTTTATTGTTCTTAAATATAAGTGCCTAAGCTATCTTCTCATCTTTTCGACCTATTGATAATAATTCTAATTATTATCAATTAATTCACTTTCATAATACAATTCTCAAATCAAAATTTAAAATTATTTAGAATTTTTTATTTTGATTCATAATATGAAAATCATTAGCATTTTCAGTATTTATAATTTATATTTTATAAATTGATAATTCTGATCAAATAAGAAATATATAATCTTAAAAACTTTATTGAAATTTGATAATACTTTATTGGAATATATATTAAAATCTTAGTACATTCTATAAATAATAAAATATAAAATTAATAAGAGATCTTTAATTATAAAATATTTACAGAATTACAAAATTTTAATTCATTCTATTAATTTATAGAATAATGATCATTATGCCAAATATAATTAAGAAACAATATTTTTGTGGGAAAATAAATTTTACTTTTAAAATTCATAAGTTTTTCAATAAATTAATTGTTATCAAAAAGATTATTAATTAAAACTAATAATTGTTCTCTTTTATTGATGAATTTTATTTTGGAATATTTAAATAAAGGCTAAAGGGTAATTAAAAGATTTTAAATAGGATAGAAACTGAAGAATAATAAATAAAAAGATGATTGAAATTAATATACTTCAAATACTTGAATACAAAGCAAAAGTAAATATAAAGTGATGTGATTAGATATAAATGGAATGTAAGATAAAATTTATAAACAATAAATTGATAAGATAGAAAATAATAATGTACATAATGTAAGCTTTAAGAATTAAAGTTTATTTATACATTATCATAATATAAAAGTAAATAATTGCAATAAAGGTGTCAATATCAATAAAATAATACTAGCTTTAATAAATAGTCTTATTTAATGTTCATTAAGTTCTGGAAATTTGAATATTGAATTTTTATATTTAAGAATTTAAGATTCTCTTTAAATTTATAGATTTGAATCTACTTTAGGTTTTTATAATAATTTTTGAGAATGATCTTTTTGTTGAGATGAATCAACTTGAAATTATTCCTATATAAGATCATTGAAATCCTTAGAATTAAAGGTTATATTTCTCATTGGTTGAACTTTCAATTCTTTAACAAAAATTTGTTTTGGTGATTAAAGTTTAGTTTATTAAATTTTAAGATTGTCAAGATCATCATCTTTAGGCCAATCTGAAGGATTGAAATCAGGGAAATCTTAAAATTTTAATTGTTCTTTTATTTTTGGAAGGTATTTATATTTAATTTTTTCAATAACTTATTAATTTGCTTAATGGAGATCAATTTTTTAATCAATTTAAGTGATTANTACTTTATTGGAATATATATTAAAATCTTAGTACATTCTATAAATAATAAAATATAAAATTAATAAGAGATCTTTAATTATAAAATATTTACAGAATTACAAAATTTTAATTCATTCTATTAATTTATAGAATAATGATCATTATGCCAAATATAATTAAGAAACAATATTTTTGTGGGAAAATAAATTTTACTTTTAAAATTCATAAGTTTTTCAATAAATTAATTGTTATCAAAAAGATTATTAATTAAAACTAATAATTGTTCTCTTTTATTGATGAATTTTATTTTGGAATATTTAAATAAAGGCTAAAGGGTAATTAAAAGATTTTAAATAGGATAGAAACTGAAGAATAATAAATAAAAAGATGATTGAAATTAATATACTTCAAATACTTGAATACAAAGCAAAAGTAAATATAAAGTGATGTGATTAGATATAAATGGAATGTAAGATAAAATTTATAAACAATAAATTGATAAGATAGAAAATAATAATGTACATAATGTAAGCTTTAAGAATTAAAGTTTATTTATACATTATCATAATATAAAAGTAAATAATTGCAATAAAGGTGTCAATATCAATAAAATAATACTAGCTTTAATAAATAGTCTTATTTAATGTTCATTAAGTTCTGGAAATTTGAATATTGAATTTTTATATTTAAGAATTTAAGATTCTCTTTAAATTTATAGATTTGAATCTACTTTAGGTTTTTATAATAATTTTTGAGAATGATCTTTTTGTTGAGATGAATCAACTTGAAATTATTCCTATATAAGATCATTGAAATCCTTAGAATTAAAGGTTATATTTCTCATTGGTTGAACTTTCAATTCTTTAACAAAAATTTGTTTTGGTGATTAAAGTTTAGTTTATTAAATTTTAAGATTGTCAAGATCATCATCTTTAGGCCAATCTGAAGGATTGAAATCAGGGAAATCTTAAAATTTTAATTGTTCTTTTATTTTTGGAAGGTATTTATATTTAATTTTTTCAATAACTTATTAATTTGCTTAATGGAGATCAATTTTTTAATCAATTTAAGTGATTAATCCATTTAATCTTTATTGAGTATTAATAATTTCTTCATTTTCTTGAATAATAGGAAGTTCTTTAGGAAGAGATGTAAGTTTAATTTCAGGATTATAAAATTCAGGACTTTTATCAGTATGTTCATTATTAGTACCTTTAGGTGAATCAAAAACTTATTCAAGATTTTAAGCAAATTCTTGTAATGAATCATGAGAAGATATAAAATCACTTGAAGTCTTAAGATGATGAAATTCTTCATGTTAATGTGGACTATCTTAAATATCAGATTTTCTATCAGAGAGTCTTTTAAAAGTGATAAAATATTTTTCACAATCTCTTTCAGTTAGTTTCTTATATGGAGATACAAATAATAATTTTTCTTCAGGAAGTGTATTATGAAACATTGTAGTAATTGAAGAAATGATAGTATCAGCAGTTCTATCCATACTAATATATTTGTGAATGATTTGATCAATATGGAATTCTTTAAAAGAAGACTTACTTTTTTTTATGGGATCTACAGTTATTGCACTGCCATATACTTATCGAAGCATTCAGTCAATAATTTTAATGGTAAATTGACTAAAAACGTAAATTCAATTTAATCATTATCAAATCTAATCAGAAGAATCAAATGTAACCAAAAGATTTTCAAATCATTATGAATATCTAAGAAAAGAGTCAATTTATAAGTTAAGTAAAAAGCATTTATGAAATTTATAAATTTTAGAAAATTAGAAAATTTAATATTATATCACAAGAACCATTAATAATATATTGTATTTATATATCTATAAGTAAAGTGAATCAATCTTCTTATTTCGTTAAGGAATATAGCAATATTCTTTACTTAAAAAGTATTATTAAGCAATTTTATTTGATATCAGATGAATTCCAATTCTTAATCAAAAAATTGTTATTATAAATTTTGTAGATTCAAAACTCACTCATATAAGTTTGTCCAAAGCGTAGGAAATTAATATTCTAACTAAAATAGTTATTTATATATATATATAGATATTAAGATTATGAATAATTACAATTTTCTTCAATTTGAAAATCCAATAAGATCAAATGAAATGAAAATAGTAAATATAATTCTTTAGAGTCATAAATAATTGAACAAAATAATGAATAATTATATAATATGTATATATATGGATTATTTCTATTATTATTATAAATTATATCGAACATTTTTAGATGCCTAATTAAATTAATTAAAAATAATTAGCCAATTATTAGAATACTTACAGAATATCAAAAACGAAAAGTTTGGATCATCAATAAATAAATATTCATGGGAGATTAATCACTTAAAGGAACAAATTGGGGAAGAATCAATATTGATGAAAAGAATTTGAGCTTATCTCATCTGTCTTATAATGTTATTAAATTCCCTCTCAAAAGGATTGTTAATTCTAATATTTAAAAGAATGATATAGTTCTTCAATTAAACACTGAGGAATGTGCAGAAAAGTATTTAATTGATTTTTATTGTATTTTTAGTGAAGATATGTTATGCGAAGTGAGATTTTATATTCCTCCAAAAGAATAAGTATTTAAATATATAAATAATTTAGAAAGGTGAAAAGAAGAAGTAAGAATCAAATGAAGATGACTTGGATGAAATTTCTTATCTCTAATAAGTTTAGAAAGAGATTGTAAAAAAGGCAAAAATAGGAGGTAGTAGTGATTCAATTCTTACAATCCATGAAGTTCCATTAATTGTTCCAAGAGGAAAATATACAATGGACTTCTTTAAGAAAGATATTCGTTTTCATGGAAATACCTATTAATTCACTACTGATTATAAAAGTATTACTAGATTCTTCTTACTTCCTATGCCAGATGAAGTTAATCTATCATTAGTTGTAGGTCTTGAAAATCCTATTAAATAAGGATAAACTGCATATAATTACATAGTTATGTAATTCAAAAAAGATTTAGAAACAGAGATTGATATGAAATATACTAGAGAATAATTAGATAATTTAGGATGGAAAGGTATTAGATTAGAATATTCTGGTTCAATGTTTGATATTGTATGTGAGATTCTTTCAGAAATTACTGGAATTAAAGTAGTATCACCTAAGAATTTCAAATGCAAAAATGGTTTATCATGTTTAAGATGTTCAGTTGTACCTCATTCAGGTTTTCTATATCCATTAGAAAAATCATTACTTTATATTCAAAAACCAGTAATTTATATTAAACATGATGATATTAAAGAAATTGTATTGCAAAGAGTATATTGTTTGTTTTTTATTTTTAGATTACTTAAACTACATAAAATAAATTCTTTGATATTAAAATTGTTACTAAAAATACTTAGTATTTATTTTCTACTGTTGATAGAGAAGAATTGGATAATTTATCTTAATATTTTAATACTAAAAAATTATAAGTTAAAAAAATTTAAGAAGAAAATGAAGGTATCAATAAAGCTTTAGATGAAAGTGATGAAGCAAGCCAATAAAATGGAAATAATCATAAAACTACATTATCAGAAATGGATTCAGATGAAGATGATGAAGATTTTTAAGTTTAAGATGATTCATACAATAGTGTCTAATTTTAATAAAAAGTTCAAAAAACAAGAGCTGTCAACAATAAATGAATTATATCATTTTGTATTGAATAATTATATAACATAATTTAATTATATGAAATCTTAAATTCCTTCAGCAAAAAAACCAGGAAAATCTGTTCCTAAACCCAAAGAAAATTTAACTGTTTAATCTGCCAATTCTAGATAAGAAATTACTAATGAATCTAATGGTTTTGAAGTATCCAAATAAATATCAACATAACCAAATCCTTAAGAATTAAAAAGAAAACAAAATTGCTTATTTGAAATTGTAGAAATAGCCAATACTTTAAAAGATGATGACAAAGTAAATGGACTCATCTTTAAATAAGTTATTATATCAATTGAAGCCAAATTAACAGAATTTTAAGAAAGATTAGAAAATAGAGATAATCTTTAAGAATTGAATTAACATCTTTTGAAATTACAAAATCTATAATCAAGTCCATATAGTCCTAATGCTAATCAAGCTAATTAAAAAAAAGAAGAATCTAATAATGATACTAGCGGATTAATTCGTAATTAAAGTTAAGTTTCTTTACCTTAAAACGATAATGCTAGTATCTTAAGTGCTTAAGATAAAATTAAAAGTCCTTAAGCTAGACGTTCTGTATCTAAATAACCTGCAAGTAATTAATATATTTTCTACTTTTAGTTAATTTTGGTGTCTCTACTCAATAAGGTATACAAGATAATAATAAAATTGCTGCCTTAGAAAAAAGACTTAGATCTTATGAAGATAATTATATTAAATTATCTAGAGAATTTTAAGAACAATCTAATGCTAATACTCAAAAGTTGGATAAAACTATAAAGGCTCTCAATGAAAAATATTTTGCATATAGTACCATGAATTTACAATAGCAATTTAATGAAATCACAGAGAGTTAAAAGGCCCTTATTTCACATCTACAATAATAATCTAAAGAAATAACGTAACTGCTTCCAAATATATAGTGAAACTAATAATGGCTTGAATTAATTGAAGCAATCACAAGATGCTTAAATTATAGAAGTATTCAATAAAATTGAACATGCTTTGTAATAAAATAATGAAAACTTTGTTAGAATTCAATCATTATCATCTTCCCTTTAAGCTATCGATGCAGATTTTATTGTCATTCTCAAGTGTTACAAAGACATATTAAATGAAATCTTTAAAATTGATTTTTTAGAATAATAATAAAAGAAAATCATATGTTTACTGTAAGATGAATAATGATTATTAATATTTAATAATTCAATTAGATGACTTTTTAAATATCCCCATAAATTCTGAACTTTTGTGATATTCCTACAATTTATTGTACTTATTAAAACAATTTTCTAAATATACTTAAACACTCTACTTGTGCAAGTCTCAACTTCTAATTTAGAATTCTAACAAACTTTAAAACATCTTTTTCATCAATAAATGCTTTTACTTCTTAGATTGAACTTTTATATCATTCTGTTACAATTAACCAAGTTTTGCTACCAAAGATTAAGAGTATAAATCTATCTTAAATTAAATTTTTGATTCCATGTTATTTTCCTCATCTTTTATCACAACTAATTTTTATGAAATTGGATTCATATTTTAATTTACTATAAAATTATTATTTACACTTTTAAATATATACTCCTTTTATTCAAATCATTGTTTTTACTCAGAATTTTTATTCAAGTCTTAAATCACTTATTTTGATAATAGTTGTATACTACTATAAGACCTAAATAGAAAATTTATTAAACATTTTTTTCATAAAACTAGGTTATTTATGAATTGAAATTTTTAACTAAAAAAAACCAATAATTCAAATAAATAAATATCATAAAAGCTTGTTTATAGCATAAATCAAACTAAAACTACATTTTAAATTTCTTTGATTATATTTACTACATTAAATTATTAAATAATATAAAGATAAGGCTATAAGAATTTGTGATGATAAAGAAAATAAATAATAGGTATATAAATAAGTATAAGTTTTACCAAGAATTTCTAAAATCATCTGATAATATAATAATTATTTTATTAATTATTTTCTGAAAGTAACCTTCAAACTCTCTATGATATAAATTTATGAGTTTATGGATTAGACTGATTAATCTAAATAAAATAATAAATGAAATAAGATTAATTAAGGTTGGATTAATCTTCAAAATTATCTAAATTATAATAGTTTATAACAGTAGACAAATGATAAAAAAAAATAGAAGAAACATGATTTTGTATATTTTAAATAATATTTAGTGAATAATCAAGAAAATAAATTAAAGCTTTTCTGAAAGTTAAAGTGTATTAAGATTGTTGAAAGAATTAGAAATAGATAAGAAAATTTATACAAATATTAAAGGTTGAAAAAAAAATTAATAAAATTAATTTAGCAATCATTGAGCTGTATTTTGATTCAAGACAGTAATTATTATTAATCATCTTCTGATCGAAGGTTACTTGATGATACAGATAAAGATTCAAAGTCTTTATCTTATTTCTTTTTTGCTAATTTTTATGAATCAATTGATTTAAAAATTTGTTATTCTTTAACAACTCCAACCCATGGAAGAGGAACGAGAATGAATATTCCTGTTAACATAATAAATAACCAAAGCTTAGAGAAATCATTTTAATTAACTCCAAGTGCAATAAGAAAGACAGCTCCAAATTAAGATCCCAAAGTAGATCCTAGAATAAGATAATTTGATACCAAAATTAATAGTACTCATTAACATAGCATACATAGTAGCTTCTATATTTTTAGGACACATTCTACATGCTAAAACTAATATTGGCATAATATTTAATTCTCCTACTAATTATAACATAATAGAATCTCCTAAACAAAAGAATCTATCATTAATATTCCACTCTACATTTTTTCTAGTAACCAAAATAATCATAGACTAATTACAAAAATAATATAAAATGGTTGTAGTAATAAATATCTTCTTAAATGGAACATCTTTTAAATAATTATTATATAATAAGACTCCTAATATTGTTGAAAAGGCATAAACAAATTTTAGCTATCCAAGAAACGAAGGTTCAAATCCTAATACCGTTGTGTAGAAAAAGAACATAATAGTTGAACTAGATGGAGCCATCATAAAACAAAATATTAATGCCACTGGTCTTTTATTAAATTTTATAATACTTGTAAATCAACGGATTTTTGAAAAATATCCAAAAGTCCTTAATACATTGCATAGTGTTATTTCTTCTATCATTGTGATTCAAAGTTCTCAAATCTACTTTCTCTTCAGTATAAAACAAGGATATAATCATTAATGAAGCTGGAAATGCTGAAGTCATTAAAAATATTTCTTATTTTGTAAATATATGCAATAATGCACCTGAAAAAAATGCACTTATCAAAGTTCCAAATGCTCTAACTCCAAAAAAGATTGAAACATTTTTTGATGCTCCATGTTAAAAATTAGTTTATTTTTGTTCTTATTTTGCTGCTACTTCAACCAAAATAGCTTCTCCAACTACATTAACAAAACAAGTTGATAATTAAATGAGAAATAATATCAATAGAGCTTAATGTAAACTATTTGTTCCATATTTATATAAGGCAATCCATCCTAGTGCATCTAAACAACTAAATAATATTATATAAGATTTTCTTCTATATCCAAATAAAGGTTTCGAATCTGTTATAAGTCCCCAAAATGGTTTAACAATCCATGGTATTGTAGTATAACTCAAATACAATCCCATTATTGCAGGAGATAATCCAAAATCATCTTTAAGCATGAAGTTTATTGATAAATCAGCCAAATGTTGAACTCCTTATGAAAAAGCAACCACAGCAATTATAAAATATGATGGATTAAAGCTTTCATACCATTATGAGAAATGATGAAATAGTTTATCAAACATTAAAACCTTTTAAATTATATCAAATCAACTTCTCAAAATAAAACGAATAAATAAATAAAATAGAAACAAAAATATTTTAATCTCAAGCATTCAATTTAGCTTGAAGAGATTAGTTATACAAATTTCTTAATTTAACATTACTATCGTAATTCGAAGATTTCGTTTTAAATGATAAATAATCTGCAGTTGAAGGAATTTCGATTGAGTACTTTTATGAAGGACTTAAACTCTACAATCTCATATTAATGTATTTTTAAATTGGTCTTATCTTCTATATTTATTTGCTTCCATTACTTTCTGTAGTTTTGACCTAACTTACTTTCTTTTATTATTCTTTCAAATCTTATTTTAATTATTATTTTAATTATTTTGCATTTGTAAATACTCCAGATGACTTTCGAATTCGTATATTATGGTTAATTTTATTAATTACACAATCTTTTTGAGCTTTCTCTTGATGAGCAACTTTATTTTAATAATAAAAGAAATCATACCTAATACTATATAACAATCTAAACAAACTTATAATGTTTTATGCAAAAAACCATCCTATTTCTGAAATTAATCAAAATTTGTATAATTTAACTTTTCATGAATCTTTTAAAAGACTAAAGGCACCTACGTTATTGTATTTAAAAATGCTTAAGTTGAAGCATTAGCACCTGCTACTTTTACAGTTTTTGCTTCCTTTTTAATTTCACTTGGCCATTAATCAGCAGGTAGATTATCTTCATTTTAATCTAATATGTAATGATATGGAATTTCAATAAAATTGTTCTCTTTATCAATGTTACCACATTTAATACATTTAGATTCTTTATTGAGTTGCAATGGTCTTTGACTATAAACAGACATAATTCCATCTACTGATTTTGGTATTTAAATTTAAGATTGAGTATATAAATCTTTAGGATAGTTCTTATAATGTTTATCATCATCAAATTTTAAACTACCACAAAAAAGAAACCAACATCTAGCTTATTTGTCAACTTTAAAATAAAAAGTGCCTTAACTTATATTCAACTTTCCAAATGATATTGCATCTAAATGGTTAATCATCTTTTCAATTTATTCAGATATTCTTTAAGATTAGAAATCCTTCACCTAAGCTAAGTTTACAATAGAATCAAGAAATCTTACTTGCTTCACTTAAATATTCAGGTCCTTCAAATGTACAAAGTCTCTCATAAATATTCATTGATTTATTTAAATAACTTTTCTTAGTCACTCTTTTTGTAAAGAGTGTCACTGATTTACTCCAAAATGCCTAAATTTATGCTAATTTTTATTAGATTTATACAATTTTTATCATCTGCTGCTTCAACGTATCGTTAAAGTATTCCAAATGGAAGCTCCAAATTAGAATTCATAAAGTTATCGAATCCTTTTTCATCGAAATATACAATCTAAATTTAACCACTTATTTTTAATTTGTCTGGAGGATAATTTAAGTCTAAATTCTCTCTTAGAATGTAAATTATACAATTTATACATAAAATGTAAGAGATATCCTACTACTCCAGATCTTCCAACTTAATTCAACCATGTTTCTCTAATATTTTCTTTAGTAACGTTTTTCCTCATTTTTTTCTTCACTTCTCCAGTCTCTTTATCTGTAAAATACCAATAAATTGGCATTGATCTAATCAATATTACAGTATCTGGTATTAATACAGAAGGTGGATTAGATGTCTCAGATTTAACCCAAAGATATTGATATATTTTATCATAAAGTATATGTTCTTGCACACTTTCACTAGTATACATAATAATTAATTAAATTAATATTTTGTTATACAATGGACACTTATAATGAAACTAAGTACAAGGAATTAAAAAAGAAATATGCCATTCTCATGAAAGTACTAATTAAACTTATTTCAATAGCAATATTCAATGATTTAATAAGAATATGAAAAAGTTAATAGTGAATTATCTGAATCAATTTAAGAGAAAAGAATACTCTAAAATCGAATTAATGAAATATTGGGAAAGCAAAATGAAGAGAGTTGAATATTACATTTCACTTAATTTATTTCTATTAATATTCAATATTTAAAGAAATGAAAATCCTAAAAAAATTTTAATTCAATTTTTTAATGTTTTTATAATAACATAGAAAAAAATCTTAACCTTCTTTGGTTTCGTATTATGAATTTTAAATTTAGGAAATTGTAAGTTACCCTTCCTAGAGAGTAGTAATTACAGAATAAAATTCAAAGAATTATGTCAATTTAAGGATTGGAACATCCAGTCCTTTTGGATAGAAAAGTAGAATCAAAACTCTACCTCCAATAAAAAAAGAAAAAATTATTCCATTTGAACATGATTATAATACTGCTTATAGAACAATGTTTAACTAAAGAAATCTTTTCAATCTAATTGGTGGAAAAAACAAATGATTTTTATTATTTTCCCTTTTAAAAATTTATGTATACTTCAATCTTCATCTTCTATTCTATGCTTCATTTTTTTATTTATGTGATTATTGTATATAATATAATTGAACAACTTCATAAAATTTCAGAGTCAAATTTTGATAGAACTTCTTAAAAATACATATACCAAAGATAGCTACTATTTAAGTAAATAACATCTAAACTATCATAGAAATAAACTCTATCATATATAAAAATTGGAACTTTAAGTTCAGTAATACATTAATTAAATTGTGACAATAAAAGTCCAATTCTTTATTCAATTTACTTGTTGACAATTGAAATGATAAAAAAGACCAATACTATTTTTATCGTATAAATTTTAATCGATATTTAACAGGACTTTCTGTATGTTAATTAAATAATGGTGTTTTTATGTTTACGAAAAATCATATATACTGATATTTTACTTATATATTTAGTCAATATAAAAAAATAAAATATACTTTAATTACATTTATAATATTAATTTAGAGAGTTTTAAAAATTAAATGGAGCCTGATCTTTCTATATTCTAAGACCCTCAATAAAATACTAAGCAAAAATTCTTAGATGTTTAATTAATTTTAGGATTTTAACTCATTCATTATTTCTATTTTTGTTTCAGAGCTTTCAAGAAATAATCTTCATTTTTTAATCAAATAGGTATTGCTAATTTTATATTTTTTAGGACCAACAATGATATTAAAGACTTGTCTTATTTTGTCATTTTATATAGTATTTAAGAAAATTAAGTATTCATCTGATGAATTTATTATGGGTCATTTGATAATTGGAATAATTTTTCAAATAGGTGCTTTGCTTTATGAAAAACAATTTGCTTAGATTGTTTATCAATTTACTATCATGGTCTAATACTCATATTTTGTGTAATAAATGACAGATGACTCAATAAAATTTCTTTTTTCGGCAACATAATATTCATAAAGTTTGGCTTTTATTTATCATTTATATTAAATGATTAAAAATAAAAATGGGACAACTTTAAGTCCATTACAATTAAAAATGCATATTTTGGAATCTATGTTTTAAATCACGATAAGTTTAACAGGAAAACATGATTTTATTTCAAGTGGGGCAGGGATTGTATATTTATTATCTTCTATATTCTGCTTAAGAGTATAGAAAGAATTGTTCAAATTTTAAGAGAAGAAAATAAGTGGAAAGTAGAAGACTTAATGATTTGTATTTTATTAAAATATTTTATTATGAAATAATTTCAAGGTTCTATATTTTATTTAATTGCCTCTTCTACTTTAGACCAAAATTACTATTAGATTTCTAAATATTACTATTCACATTAAGCTAAATCAGCTAAAATAGTTTTATATGTTTAGTGTTTGTCTTTCTTAAATTTATCTATTGAATATGAAGTTAAAACATCAGTTACCAATTAAAATAATAATTTATATTAATCTACCTCCTTCTGAGTCTATCAAGAATATAATAATAATTACTTCATTTAATTAAAGTTCTAATTTTTATTTTTATTCATCTAAACTTAATTTACTAAAAGAACCTTTCATTGTTGAATTACCTTTCATAATTTTATATAAATCTGATTATTCTTCATTTAACTTTTATTCTGCTTTTTATTTTGATTACATTAAGGAGTCTCTAGTTTAGAAAGCCTATAAAAATGCTTCAATATCTCTTTATTCTGTAGATATTAAATCTTAAATTTTATCAAGAGAATTGCTGTTTGGTTCCCTCTATATTAAGTTATTAATAATACAATTTTTTTAGCTAATTCTAATATTTCTGCATTTACAGTATTAGTAAAAATTAATTTATTTTATGGTACACATTCTTACAGAACCTATTTTTCATATTCAGCAATATTTAATCCAAAAATTGTAAAAAATGTTTCTTTCAACTATTTTCTACTAGAACTCAACGATTTTGCTTAATCTAATAATTTTGTTAAAGAATTTTATGATAATTTTAAAAATGATTGAACTCCACTCATCTTTTTAATCATTTCAGGAGATATTTCTTTGATTTCATTAATTTAAAATGCTTATTTATATCTCTCTGTATAAGCAAATACATTTTATTTTGGAATCTATGCTATTTACTAAAAAATTAATTAATATGAATCAAAATACTTTGTTAATATCAGGATTAGTTGATCTTAAAAATATTTCATAAAATTCTTCAGAATAATAAAGATGCTTAATCTACATAATCTTCATACAAAATATATTAAGTAATCTAATCCTTTCTACAATTATCTCTGATCCTGCATTCACAGACTTTTCTGGAATTGGTGGTACATATTATCCAGGCCATTTCGCTAAAAGTAATTCCCTAATTGTGAAGAATTCATTAAATCTTCTTTATGTCTCAAATTGTCCAAAACAATCTTTCCCCTTTATTGTATAAACTATATAATTAGATAAACTTCCTCCTTTTTATACAGGATCACATACTTTTATTTCAATCTAAAATATAGAATACTATAGTACTGGGAAACTATAATCTGGTTTTAAGAACAAATTCTCCATATTTTATGAATTTGTTTCTGGAGCTTTATCATTCAATTATTATCTTTATTCCTAATCTTTTACTTAGTTTTCTTCGTTCTCTTTATCATTTTATAAACTCTCTTATTCAGGTTCTGTCTAAATAATATTTTATGGAATTTAAGAAGCTTGTTATTTTTCTTATTTGTCATCCTTCTCTTCTATGTCTTATTTATCTTATTTTCCTTATTTTTCCTCTATTTCCTACTTTTCTTTATTCTCTACTTTTTCTTAAATATTCTCTGTCACTTATTATTCTTATTGATTTTATGTATCAATTTAAAGCATTTTCATTTGTTCATCTAAGCCTTATTAAGGAATTTCTTATTTTTCTGTCTAATTCTCTTAAGACATATAATAAATAAATTATATATGAGGGTAAGTATAAAGAATGAATAAAACTATTGATTTTCTATACAGAATTTTATATTTGTTATAAATTCATAAAAGTAAACTAAATTATTTATTTATGCAAAAAGAGATAAAAGAAGAAGAATGTGACTATTCTTTTAAACTAAGTTTTATTATTATTATAAAGTAGCCATATTTGGTGAATTTGATGTTGAATAAGATGTATTTGAAAAAATTATTAAAAGAGAATGTTGAATTTCAATCATTTCTTTTTCCATTTATTAAAATTATTGATGAACGAGTGTTTAAAAACAACTCTATTATAGGTTTAAAGGGATTTTCAAAAGCTATGGAAAACAATTGAATGCCATTAAGAGTTACTTATTAAATAAGCAAAAAATAATTAATATTAATTTAATAAGTTTATGATTAAATATGATCAAGAGTCAAATACATTTTAAATTTAATGAGGAGCATTATAAAATTCGGTAGCATCAGCTGATTATTTTTCTTATTAATCTTAAAACATGTATGCTTTTGTTTAAATTGGTTATTATTAAACTTCAGAATTAACTGGATTATTCCAATCTATTTCAAATCGTGTTATACGCGGTTTATTATTGAAGATTTATCTGGCAATATCTTCAATAATAACTTCTTGTGGATCATTTTCGATATTTTCAGGTGATGTGTAGGTGTTATATACATAATATCCAACTCTGAAGAATTCTCTATTTCTATAAGAACAAGTCAAAATAAATGCAGTAATTCCCAATAATTCTTCTGATGGAATTTTTTTCCAATCAGGGGGATTTGATTCAAGAGTAAATTGTTTTGTTCCTTTTGTCAAGGGTCCCATAGAAAATTAGTCTAATATTTAATCATGTGCTTCATCTTTTGGAGAACCTATATAAAGAAGTCTAAGTTTAATATATAGATCAATACGTCCATTCTATTTCGTCCTCAATATCAGCGATTACATCAAAGTAAATATCCATTGTTATTGGACTTGTAAATGGTTGTGGTTTATCATCAACTACAATATTAGTAATACTAACAAAAGCCATTGAACTTTTTTATTAATTAAATTATGTATTTTGGAGGTTAATAAATAAGTACCAATAATTAAGCAGGAAATATTTATTAGAAATTTTATAATTAAATCAAAAATAGATTGATAGTTTTATAAAAGGCTAAAATACATAATGCTATGAAATATTTCACTTTCTTAAGTATGTACAAAAAAGAAATGAAAATTAAATCCCATATTAATTGTTTTGTCATTATTTTTTTCCTTTTGAGGATCTACTTATCAATCTTATGAAACAAAATAGTAATCATTTAACTCTTCTACCCTAAGATGATCTTTTTCTATTTCCATAATTTTAATACAGTGAAATAAATATTTTGGTCTACCTAAAGGAAAAGTAGCTTGATTATTATCGCTATGATTAAAGGTTGAAAACCATAATTGTGAAAATTTGACCATCACATTCATTTATAGTTTTACAGACTGATGCTCTCTCTCAACTCAAAAACCAATACCATAACCAGCATTTTCAATTTTGCATCTTGTATATTATTTTTTATTTTTTAGAAGCTAGGAGCATCTTACTCTAAGATTAGATAATGAACAATGTGCTATTTCTTTTTCTATTATAGTTTCTTGAATGAGTTAATCTTTTGTGATTTACATATTTAATATTAATTTATATAGTCATTCCAATTCTTTTCCTAAAGTCTCAAATGGCAACATACAATTTGAAAATGACGTAATAATAGAGAGAATGGAAAATAATATAAAAGGACTTCTTAGTTGTTAGCTATTCATGTACATACATATCCATGGCATAATCACTCCTCCTAATCTTCCAATTCCATTGGCCATACCTATTCCTGTTGTTCGGATTTTGGTTGGATATACTTCAGCTGTATATTAAAATCTAAAATTAATTTATTATGAATACGAAAATATGAATGTCATTGATAAGAAAAACTTAGAAGCAGTTGCCCAATATATAAAATGATGTTCAACATCATAAAATGCCAAGATTGCTGTTATGGCTTAGATTGTAAAGAATATAATTAAAGAATTCTTCCTTCCGAAGCCTTTTAATTCAATAAAGAAGGCAGCTGCTACTGCACCTAAAATATCGCTGATACATGAAATCACTAATTAAATAATTTTATCCCTTCCTGTTTAAGTTGATTCAATATGTGATAAAATATCTGGCAATAAAAGTACTATTCCATAATAAATAAATGAAAGTATGAACCAATTGAACCAAATTAAAATAGTCAAAAAGAATCTATTATTTTCAAACAGTGACATAACTGATGCCTTAAGATAAAGATATTTACTACATTATTTTAATTTTTCGCAATTCTATTCATAGCATGAGTCCAATTTGATAATTTAATCTTCATTTCATCATTAAATTAGATTTAAGAACCATTTAATCGAATCATCTCATCTATAATATTGTATGCTAATTCTTTTTAACCACTTAATAACGCAAATCTAGGACTCTCTCTCAATCTAAATAAACTAATAAACCAAGCTAAAAAACCTGGTAAACAACACCAAAAAGTTAATAATCTCCAATTGCCTTCATCCAAAGATATTAATGTAAATTCAGCAACAAATAAACCAAATAATTAACCTATTGCAAATGTCAATGTTATTAATCCCATGTATCTTCCTCTTAAATGACCAGGAGTAATCTCAGAAATCATTGTTACTCCACATGGCGCAAATAGACCAACTATTTATTTATTATTTTTATAAATTATACCTAAAATTCCTAATAATGCTCTAACAACTAAAAGCGAATAAATCTCTTAGCAAGCTATTGTACCTAAAGATAACAAACATGTAAAAAAAGAGCTAATTAGAAACGGTTTCCTTCTACCTACTCTATCAGCTAATTGTCCTGACAACATTGATCCTACTAAGTATCCTACCTTAATTAAGATGATATTTTTACAAAAACAAAACTTGCTTAAAGTGAATTTAATGAATCAGAAATATGCCATTCATTTTTTAATATTGGGACCATTAATGTAAATATTGTTATCTAAGCTCCTTCACTAATGCTCATCAATGCCATAATACAATAAATCCAGTATTAAAACTATCCAAAATTTATATCATCTAACAAATGATCAAAAGACAGTATTTAATGTTCAGGAATAGAGACTTGACTATTGTACTCTCTTATTAATTTGAATTCTGAATTATCCATTCTTCTAGGAGAAGTTATCGAAGCATTTCTTGATAATTTAAGTGGACTACTCTCCTATTTTGAATACCATGGGCCATTATCCATTAAATTTATTTATAAATAGATATATTTATTTATTCACTTAAACTTTTTAAGTGCTATTTAATTATAAACAGCTCCTCTCACATCTTTATCAACTTTCAATTCTTCATCACTTATTTTGTAATACTTGATCATTTGAGGAATATTACAATATTGGTATAGGTTTGTCAAATCATCTAATTCAAAGCAACTCTATTATTCTTCACTAACAGGAGAGAGAAATACACATAACATCTTTTAGTTTAAAATGTTATCTATTCCAAATCTAACATCATTTCTTTAACCTTCAGGTGTCAATAAATAATGTAAATCTCTCTGAAATTATGATGAAATTTTATATTCTTTTTTCTTTAGCATTCTATAGATAGCAATAAGACATGCTTATAGTGAAACCAACTAGATTAATCATCATATTTCTATACATATTCTGGATTTACCAAGGCATATATACAATTATCATTCAATCCTATCTCTTTATTAAATAGCTATTGATTCTTTACATTCTAGGCTAACAATATCCAAATAAATTTATCTTTATCAATACAATATTTCTACATTATTATTTTATTTATATTATAATTCTCAAATATTCGAAATAGTATTTAATTAATATGTATTTTCAAGGTTCAATTTAAATTCATTTAGGTTTTATATCACATTAAACTCTATTATTCTTTCATTTTTATTTTTTGTTATACATAAAATATTAGTTAAACATATTTCTTATAAAATTTTCTTGTTCACCTTTTCCAAAATTATATTCAAATATCTCTGTTCTCTTGTCTCGTATTATCTAAATTAGTTGAATTCTGTTTTAAATGTAATTAAACAACAAATTACTGAAACTCCTTCAATTTATCTTTGAATGGCCTTAAAATATTAAGAAAAATTATTACTTTTACAAAAATTTTTTAACAATCTAATTAACTAATATTTGTAACTATTATATTTAGAATCAATTAAAGAATCATTGCATAATTTGTATTACAGTGAGTTTAACTTTCTTTAAAATAAATCTCCAACTCTTATTTCGGATCATATATTCCCCACATTTGTTGAATGTCACTAAAAAGTTAAGAAAAATGGAAGTTTTTCAACTCTCCAAATTTTATAGAACCTACAAATAATTTCATATTGTAATATCCAAATGTTGTCTTATATAGAAATTAAATTGCTTTTTTTAAGACTAATTACTAATTTCTATTCACAAATTATTATTAATTCAATAATGATTTCAAATATCCTAACGATAAACGAGTAAAATCAAAACAATTAGATAAATGATGATTTAAAAATTTATACCGAATATTTTTTTTTTTTAGTTGTATCATTTTCTTAAATTAAGTATCTTCTTATAGGAGAATCATTATTGTTGAACTTCTATTATTTAAAGTATTTTGCAGAGAAACCCTATAAATCTTTTGAAATTTATCTGATGAGATTTCAGCTGAGCTTTCACTTAAATTTTACTGAATAACTTTGAATAAAAATTATTCTAAAGTTTATTTCAATTAAGCTAAAGCACTCATAGTCTATTCAGAATTTGATTTAGGATGTTTTTAGTTTTAAAATTAAACTACTTTATAGTTTCTTATAAATTATGTAAAATCTTCTTGATTCTTAATTATTTTTTTTGCTTATTTATTTACGTGTAATAATTAAAATGAGTTTAATTGTTCATTAAATGAACATTGAACAATTTTAAATTAAAATACATTTTCTAACGATTATTGTAACTATGAATCATCAGTTTTTAGAAGAAAAAACAGTCGTTTCATTTTCTCGTTAATCCAGATTGATTTTAAAACTAACATCAAAGCTAAAATAAACATCAATTGTATTGAGTTAAAAAAATTCTAGACATAAGTGCACATGATCATAAGTCCAATTTAATTTACCAATAAAATTGAAAAATTTGCAGCAATATTTGATCCAATCAATAGACTATTTTATACCATTGCCACAGTTTACCCAGCTAGAAAAAGAACATTAGAATTTGCAAAGACAAATAGTAAAAAGTAAATCATAACTCCCAGTAAAAAGTTTGTACAAGCCAGAATTATATTAAATAGATCTGGGTACTTCTAAACAATCTTATAACTGATTAAAAAGCTTATAGGAATTAATCCCAATGCATATTTTAATTATCCAAATCCAAATGGCTAGATAAATTCCATACAAAAAACTACAATTGCACTTATAGTTCCAATGATGCAAGCCCATGTATAAAATTTAAAGAGTTCATTAAATTGATCTGCAAAATACTGTCTCTCAAGATTTTCATTATTAAATCTTAAAGTGTATTTATTCATTTTATAAATGACTACTTAAAAAATTATTAAAAGGAAAAAGAGCAACAAAAACTTTTCATTTAGAATTAATTTCTATATTTATAAAAAAAATCAATCAATCATTTTGATCATCATTTTCTTCAGCAATTTCTTCTGGATATTCATTTTCACCTTCCTCTCCTTCTTCATTTAATTACTCAGGATCTATTCCAAAAAGATGTAGGTTTTACTATAAATAAAAATTAATTATTATTACACTGAATATATCTCTAAATTAATTATTCTCATTTGCTAATTTTTCTACTTCTTCTTAAAGTTATTATTTCTCATCACTCATGTGTTAATATAATTACTTGAAATTTTCAATTAAATCTTAAAATTAATAAAAAAAGTATCTTACCTTCTAATTTATGAATTTCTTCATCTTTAGCTTCCAATTATTAACCTAATTCTTAAATAATTTCATCTTTTTAATTATCATTACTTTTGACTGATTTTTTATTAGAAGATTATAAATTTTTTTTAGAATTATTCATAAATTCTTCCTTTAATTATTAGAATTCTTCTTGATTATCATGTAAATTTTGCTATAATTGTTCAATAATTTAATCTTTCATTGAAGATTCTTATTATAATTCTTCAAGAGTTTATTGTAATTCTTCCTAATAAATTTAATAAAATTGTTACTAAATTGTATTCTTGAGCTATGCTTTCTAATTATTAATTTTTTTCATTTAAGATTTATTCTAATTCATTTATTTAATCTTCATATTGATTTCTAACTTTATTTACTTCATCTTATATATGTTTATTTGTTTAATTCAATTTAGTATTCAAATTTCTATTTTCATCAGTTAATTGTTAAATTTTTAATTTATCTTCTCTAATTTTAAGTTCGAATTCTTATTCTAATTTTTATCTAATATACTAAAATTAAAATACAATCGTCTTTATGCTTCTTTCTCTTTCTAATTAGCTTAGGATAATTCTACTCTTAATTTTTCTGATTATTATTATTCTTCTTTTAATTAATTGACTAATTGCAGACTATTTCTGTCATTATCAGAAGTGATTTTTTAATTAGAAGAATAAGGTCTTTTATCATTGGATAAGTATTATTAATCAGCTCTTTTATCATGACTATCGATTTTTTTATCCAAATAATCATGTTTATTGCTGACTCTATTAATATCAATAGTTTTAGAATAATCTGGTTTTTTAGATTCATTGTTTAAAAATTCTTTAGTTGGAACTTAAGGTTAAGGTTTGTAATCATTTTTTTTGAATGAATTTCTTTAGTCATTTTTTGAAGGAACAGGGACATTAACCTAGTTTTTCTAGTACATTTCTAAAGTTTGTATAAATGTGAAATAATACCTTAATATGGAATGATTTCTGTTTTATGCTACTAATCAACAGGACCTGTTCGATTATGTATTTAAGAATCACATGAATAGCATAACCTGTAGGATTGACCATATCTACATTAGTTACATTTAATTGTAGCAGGTCTTTGTTAACATTTTTAACACTTGACAAAGAGAGATTACATTTTTCAATGAATGTTTTGAAAAATATATGATAAAAATCTTAAAATAAATAAATTTGAATTTATTTTAAAATAAAAGTATTCATTAAGATTATAATTACCATTCGTAAATCTGTTTTTGGCATGAAATTTGGAAAAGCAACCTAATATTGTTGATCACACCCTTGTCAAATGGATACCTTAAAGTCTGACTAATATACGAAATCCGTTTCCAACTCAAAAATTCCCCTGATATTATTGATCACTTTACATGTTGTGATATTTTTGGCTACATAAAATGCATGAAATCCAAATAGAGTAATAAGCAAAATAACGATTACTCCCATAACTACGAGTAAACCAATATTTTCAACTGAGATTCTAATACCGACAATCAATTGGGCAATTTAAAAGAATAAATATATGAGAAACAATAATTTATTCTTTTCTCCAATACATACTCCTATCCAAGGACAATGATGATCAAACATTGGAATACATTTCTTACAATATTAACAATGTTTAGCTCTCATTGGTTATTCATTTAAACATTGCATACAAAATCTCTTTTCTGTTGCTAAAATTGGAGGACTCACTGCATTAGAAGTACTTATGCAAGTTTATTTATTTGGAGTGTTTATTTTAGCTTATTCAGAAGATGGGGATGAAAGCATTCCTCTACCTGATAATATATTCTAATTATCAACTTATTGTTATTAGTGTTATTCAGGATAATATCTATAATTATATTACATTATATTTTACTACTTTTAAATTGTGTTGTCATTATCTGGACCATCTTTAAATTGATCCAGTGAAATCTAACCATTAGATTCATCATTTGCTTAAGCATTCAGTACTTCTCTTTTTACATTATTTTCAATCTATACTTCAATTTGATTGTTCTCAACTGGAATCTCTATTTTCACTATTGGAATTGTTCCAGGATCTTTCAACCGAACTAAAAAATATAATCCACTTGAAGCACATATGAAAGGTCTAATTTGATAGTTCATTAATATAACAACCCAAAAATGTAATAATACATAAGGAATTCCCTATAAGCCCACAAATGTAAACCAATTTACAACATCATAAATAGGCTTGGCCCAAGATATGCTTTAATTCATAAGAAACTATTACTTTTCTCATTGTAATATATACAAGCAGCTTTCATCTCTCCTAATATTTGTTTATTAATATTTGAATAATTAAAATACTAAAACTAATTTTTTTTCTCCTGTGTATTTGCCATCATGATATTTCTTTATTATCTTTTGCAAATTTGTTATTTTTCATATTTTCTATTTTTAACAAGAAAATATTTTCAATTTCTCAATACAAATATTAAATTTCATTTCAAACATACAAAATATCTAATATTATGATTACTAATTTAAAGCATTTTAATAAAAACTCATAATCTTTCATTGATGCTCTAAGGTAAATTCAACATATTTGACAATCAAAATCAATTCTAATCATAATAATTTAGTTATATTTGTCTTAAGTCCTATTCCAAAAACATTGCAACTAAAATAATTTTATACATTCTTTATTTTTAGAAATAATTCTTGAAATCTTTTTTGAAAATTATTTAATAAGTAATTTAAGGAGAGAAAAACCTGAAAAAAAGTTAAAAGTTTTACTATTATATTTATTATCTTCAGTTCAAAATGTAGTCGAGCTTAATTATCTATAATTTTAATATCAAGACAAATTTAAATTTGAAATCAAGCAAAGTGCTTAATAAAAAGTCTGTCAACAATATTATTTTTGTTTTTAGAAGCTAACATTTAAAATTCTTTTTATTAATGGATGACATAATAAATGAAGATACTTTAAATTACATCACATTATCAAATAAATGCAATCCAGGAATAAACATTTAGTCATTACTTATTGGTGAAAAATCATTTGAAATTACTTAATTGTTAGACAAAATAGTTCAATATATTTATATGATTTACAAGATATTGTTATTTTATAATAAATGATCTCATCATTTTCAAATTAACTTGATTTCAAATAGAATAAATGATAAATCATTAGGTTATAGTTTAAGAGTATTTAGAATATAATTTATTAAATTTAGCAGAATTTCAAGAAAGATAAAAAAGTTGAACTAGATTCAGGTTTTATCAAACAAGTTTTTAATCTTAAATAAGAATTTATTTGGATTTAATAAATTAAGAATTTATTTAAACTTAATAATTTTAAAAGTTCTTCAATAAAATGATGCTTATGTTTTATGAATTCAATTGACGCTTTTATCATTTTTCCCAAATAAGGTTTCCTATTTTATTATTTTTACATCAATAATAAATTGAGAAGTTACAAGAAAATAAAAAAAAGTTGATTTATTATTCAAAATAGAATCAAGAACATATTAAAAATATAAATATAAAGTGAAATAGATAATAAATTTGAATTAGAAGTGTAGAAGTTAAAATAGGAGTCTCCTCACTTTTCATTATTATATTGATATCTATTAATTTATAATTATTTTATGTAATGTACTTTATTTTATAATATCATTTTCATTTCTTAGCTTTTGTTGGTGCTTTTTAAGTTGGTTATGGTACAGTCTTGGCTGGTGCAGTAGTCTTGACTGGTGCTGTAGCTTTAACTGGAGCAGCTGTTTTAGCTTAAGTAGCTGGTTTGACTGGTTAAGTTGTTTTAGCTTATTTAGTGTCTTTGGGCTAATAGATTGCATAATATATATTACTTTAGGTTGTTCTTTAGCTTTTTCTTTGATTTCAGATGAAGCTTTTCTGTGTTTCTTATGAGCTTCATGAACATCATGAGCCAATTTTTTATATGCTTCTAAAGCTTATTTGGCTTTGGTTCTTCTTGCTTATTCTGTCTTCTTTTAAATAGTCTTTCTTCTCAATCTGGATTCAGTAACGAGTCTTTAAATCTTTGCAGACTTTTATCTCTTCTTTCCATCTTTTGTAGTCCATGTTCTTCTGATGAGATTCTTTTAAACAAGAGCAACACCATCAGTCTTCTTGAATCCAAATAATCTTCTTAATTTAGTTAATCTCTTTGGACCTAATCTTCTTGGAACATTTTGATCTGTGAGTCCAGCAATTTCATTGACTCCCTTCTTTACTACTTATAAGGCAAGGACTCTGATGTCTTGACCTACAATGCATCCTCTAATTGATTTGCGTTTCATCTCTCCATCCTTTCTTGGTCTATATCCTTTGTGTCCCTTTCTCATAAGAATTCTAACTCTTCCCTTAAATAGGACACCTTGTCTCATTGGGAAACCTTATTTATCGTTACCACCTGTTATCTTGAATATATAGCCTTTAAATTCATCACCTAAGTTGTCAGCTTCTACAACTTATCCCATTCTCTTATCAAAGAATATTGAGCTACATAATCTCTAATTATTTATTACCATTTCTTGTCATCATCAATTTCAACTGTTTTTTAAGCGCCTGTCAAAGGGTAGGAAATGTTAAACTAAGCAAAGCATATTTAGTTACCTTCATAAAAATCTTGGATTTTTTAAATTAGATTTAAAATTATGTGTTTCACATTTTAATATTAACTAACTGTGCCAAACAACCACATTATTAAATATATACAAAACTTTCATTTCTCAAATAATACATACCAAACAATCATATCATGTTCATTTAAATTATCTTACTTAAAGAAAATCAAAATATTTATCATCAAGATTATTTTACCTTTAATTTATGATTTCATTCAAAATTAAATAAAATCAAATTCTTATAATTAAATAAATATTTTTTTATTGGATTTCCTCTTTATATCAATTATGAATTAAATTATGTATTTAATCAAATCAGTCACAAATACTTCTATTTTTATCATATTAAGAAATTAGTTATTTTTAATATAATTATTCACAATTTAAAAATAGAAGCAAAAGGATATTACATTAATTATTCACATTTTAAATACTAACTATTTAATTTATTATAATAAAAACATCATATCTATAATTTGAGTGCGCAATTCGTCACGTCAAATATAAATTTTATTTACAAAATCTTCAAAGTAATTTAAAAATATATTATTTGGCAATAATAATAAAATGCAAGCCCTTATTATATTTACTATGTTTATGATTCTTTTAGTTTAACCAGCAAAGGCATATTCTGTTTTTGATTTTGGATATAGTGATTTAGAAAATGCCAATCCAACTTAATTAATTTATAACGTAAAATATAATCCAAATATATAGATCTCAGCCTATTCAATCTTAGGGATTTTACAATATTTATTAGTAAGTGCAATATTTGAATTGAAAAACCCTATGCCAAAGAATAAGTTAAGATTGAACAATATTAAAAGAGAAATAAAATATGGGATAACATAAATATTTTTATAAGTTTCGTACTCAATGGTATCAAGTGTGGATATGATTAAAATAGATATTTTATCATTATGTTTATCCGTATTGCAAATGGTATCGTTATTATGAAATAAACTCATATGGATTGTTGAATTTTGGATATGGAATGATCTTTTTATATATTTGGACAACCAGTAAGTCTTCAAATTAATGTAATAGTTTTGGGATATTGGGTCCATAGAATATTTCATTTCAGATTTCTCTATAAGCATGTTCATAGTGTACATCATTCATTTAGAGAACCTACTGCTTTTGGATATTGCGCAACTCATCCTCTTGAAGGAATTAGTGAAGTTAACACAGTATTACATTTAGCAGAATTGATATTACCTATTCATCCTTTAATGACTTTGTTTTTCTTTGAATATATAACAGTTAATGAGATGATGGGACATGATGGAGGGTATAATAAATAATATATATATATTTAGAGAGTATGATCATTCAGACCATTATAGACATCATCTATATTATGTAGTTAATTATGGTGATACAATAATGGATGATTTTTTTGGGACTGCTTACAATTCTGTAATTTTATTTAGTTAATTTTAATAGAAAAACTATTAGATAAAGGCTAAATGTAGTTATGTAGAGAATATAGAGGATAGAAAGGAAGCCATATTTATGAAATATAAATGAAATGTTAGTATAATTATTTAATTAATTTAATGGGTTGTTTATAGTCTAGAAATTAGTAACTTATCGAAGAATAAAAGGAACAAGCAGCTATGAATGAATAAGATAAGAGTATGATGTGTTTGTTTATTTGGTAGATAATAATTTAGATTTGGTGAGTTGTCCATGTTCAGAAAGCGATAATAGTTAAAATAAAACTACAAATAGAGTTTCAATAGAAGAATGTCGTAATTCTTTTAATCGAAGTATTGATTTGATGCAAGATATCAATAAAAAATTGGAAGCATTTTCTGGAAATGAATCAGATCTGTCAGATAGTGAATTATAATGATATAAGTATTTATAGGATATTCCTATATATACAATAACTTTCATTATTATTATTTCTATGAATCAACTATTTCTGAATATTTTTTGATACTAAGATTGATATTAGCCAATTATAATGACATTGCTCCATCTGAGAACTGATTTAAAGATTCATAAATTGGTTTAACAATAACTTTTAAGAATCCTATTTCATTTTTAGCATATTAAACTTCATCATCTAAATTTCTAAGATATGGAGTTTAAGCTATACCAACAATATCTTCTAATTAAGACTATAAAATAATATAATTAGAAATTTACTTAGGCTTAAAATTCTCTTCTTAACCTTTCACTCCATGTTCTAGCTATTTAATAAGATTTAGCTGCTCCAAAAAAGTCAGATGCATGAGTTAAGAATCCACTTAATAAAAGTTTATTGTCTTCAGATTCTAATAAATATAAATTCTATATACAAAATATTTTTGGATCTCCTTAGGATTAAGCAAATCTCATTTCAATATCATTTAATAATTTAAAATGATATTAATTATCAGTGGCTAAAACATTATTAACAATATATTTTCTAATCATTAATTTATCTGCTCTAGGCAAAGTTCCTAAAAAATCACATTATTTTAAGGCTAATAATTTATATGTTACTGCTATATGATGGTTCTCCAATACAGATTTATCATTATATAATAAAGCTAATTTAGTTTAAGCATTTATCTAAAATAGATTATTCATTCCAGGATGTCCTACATCATGACATAATCCTCCTAAAGTCATTGCATATCTTTATAAATCACTAAAACAAGATCCAAATTTTGGATGATGTGCAAAAAGAAAACATCCATGCATTACATTTACTCCATGAGTAAAATTATGAAATGGATTTGATGTTTTATTATATTTGTATTTTACAGCTGTCAAAAAATTAATGAATTCCTTATTCTTTATTGGATTTTATTTACCATATTCACACATATCAAATATATTATATACTATTATAAACTTATTCTTGTATTATTTCTTGTTTAATAAATTAAATTCGTAATCTAATAATTTCTCCTATAAATTTGGATCTATTGAAATCCTTCTTCCATCTGGATTCTTCTTATCTTCTTCCTCATATTTAGATAAAAACTATTCTAATTTTTTAGATTGTTTTTTCATAGTAAATGCTCTGTATTTCTCTAATGCTTAATCATGATCTTAATTATAAACTACAGCTAATTTCCTCATATCATGATCTGGTAAATACATTACCAAAGCTGATTATCGAAAAAACTAATTATCCATCATTAATTATTTCGATTTAAATGCCAATGTTGCTCTCTTTAATGTTAATAATATTTTCACCTTACTTCGAAATATTTACAACAATTCACCAAGAGGTCTTATTTTTATTTATAACTAAATACCTCTTAAATTACATATTAAATAAATATACTGAAATTTACTTAATTTCCTATTTAATACTTCTCTCTAATTTTAATGAAAATTTATAAAATCCATCATTATATTCCAAATGATCATTTTTAGATTCAATTAATTCTTTAACTTTTTAAATTATTATTGAATTTTTTTCAAAAATTTTATATATTGCATCTCCATAATTTATTTCTTTAGATAACTTGAATCGAGACCTATTTTTATTTCAATACTATACACAAATTAATCATGATTCCATTGAACTGTCATATAATACAAATATAAGTAACTATTAAAGAATAAACACATAATCATTTCATTATGTTAAGTAACTTATTAGAATGATTCTAACAAATTCTTTTTCTATTTTAATTTTTTACTATATCTTTTAACACTCTTCTTAAAAGTACTCTATATTTTCTCTTTTAACTAGATTGAAAAGTTCCCTTCTAAATCTATATTTACACAATCCCATTCACTTTTAAAAGTTAACATTAGATAATTTGTCATTTTTTATTCTTAAAATTATTCATTATCAATCTGACTAATAAAATTTTACAAATTAAACTATTTCATTACTTAAATCAAAATATGAAACACTAATTTATAAGTTAAAAGATAGATGGTTCTTGATACAAATTGTAATATTTCCATTCGAATTGTTTACAATTTCTTTAATACTACTATTTAGCATCCTTATTTTATCATTGAAATTATATGATTATAAAGCTAAGTAATTAAAAGATATTGTTTAAATTTATCATTCATTTTTTCAGTAAAAGTAAAAAAAAATACATCATTATTTGATATCACATAAAACTACGGTAATTTTTCAGTTTTTAATAAAGTAAAATATTCTGCTGAAGTATTTAAGAGCTAATGAGAAGATTATGATTGAGTAAATAATCTAATATCTTAAGGTTTCTAAATTATTATTGATTCAAAATTATTAGTAAGAAAATGACATTAATCATCTTACTTAAAATGTAATAAGCTGAATTCTTTAATATAAAATTGCTTAAGAATCAATCTAATAAGATCTTTTACTTCCTGTTAATGATGCTGAGCTAGAAAGCACTCTTTATAAATTTCATTGATATCTTACTAAGATCGAAATTAAATTCAATTTACCTTAATTTCACGATAAAATTCTTTAATTTTGCTCTTCAGTTATTTGGAAATATAGATAATAGAATCACTAATATAATATTGAATAAACTTACAAATAGGATTTAATGATATTTTCATTACCATTTTGTGTATTGAGCATTTTAGAAAGTTCATTAATAAGGTCACTTTATGATAAACCATTTTCATAAGAAATAAGCAACTGTTTTAATTGTAGATTATCCTTAGCAACATGATCACAAAGTCTAGAGTATTAGTCAGCTGTAATTAAGGCTTTGGTTTTCAGCTAAATTAATAAGAAAGTTATTCGACTGGATTGGGATAGATAATTCATTTAATCAGATAATAATATTTGAATTAAGAATAGGTTTTTACATTTATTCTTTTATCAAGATCAAGAGCTTATGTTTCGAAAAAAAAACATATACAATAATAGTATATATTCATGATTATATAACAAGAGATTATTTATTAGAAGAGGAATTGCCTTGAACATCATTGTGTTCAATAATAGATCTTTTAATGAAATCTTTTGCCCATTGAATATCATCTTTTAACTCAAAAACTTACTTTTAATACTTATATCCTTTTTAAATAAATTCTTTATATTCTGGATTAAGTTCTTCATAGATATTTAAAAGTTGAAATAACAAATTTCTAGAGAATTAATAACTCTATTTATAAATAAATGAGATACATACTTTTTATAGATTTTCAGGTGCTAATATTTTAAATATCCAATTAGTATCAAAACATCTTGAAATTGAACTGACTTTCCCTCCAACCATTAGAATCAATCTACTAACTTGTAAAATGAGAGTTACAAACAATGATGCTATCTATAATCATTTAAATTGTTTATCTTACTAGAACTAATGGAAATATCCAATGTGAAAACTTTGAAAAAATCACAACAGTCAATGATTATACTAAAAATGTTACAACAAAGCAAAATTTAAACACAGAATATAAAATTGGTAAATAAATGAAGCTGTCTAATCATAGTGTATTTCTCACCTAAATAAAATACATTTACTCCCAATAAAGCTGAAATTATACGGGCACTTAATACTACCGCAAATGCTGCTCCAAATGCAACTAATTCAAGCAATGCATATAATAGATAACTAAATAATAATAATGAATCGTATTTAAAGACTGTGTCATAATAAATTAAGACAAGGTACAAGGCTAATGCTTTTGTTGTAAAATTTAGGAATGTCATAAATATTTCTATCTTCTCGATTTTATCCAATTTATCTAATGTATCATTCAACATTGCCTAAACATCTATGTATTCTGCCTTATGAAGATCATCATTATGAATATGAATTTAGTTACCCTCCCAATCTTTTCCAATCAACAGTTCTTAATTGTCCTTCTCTTTTTTCATTATTATATTAATTAATATATATCAAATTATTTATTATTTCTAATTTATTTCAATAATCAAATTCATTAAGATCTACATTAAAAAATATTAGATATCTTCAGAGAATTAGAGTTTTATTTCTTTTATTGATAAAATTATATATTTCTATATATTAGCATTAGAAATCAATAATCAGATAATTTTTATTCTTAATTTGTAATTATTTTATTCTCATCTTTATCCACTACTTATTTCTTCTTTAATTAATTTTTTTATTAATGCAATCTAGAATCTGAATTATCTTAATAATCTTCATTTTAATTCACCAATTATAAACCTTATTAATTAACAAATTGATTTTCATCTAACCAATTTTACGTTTCTAATTAAAGGATATCTACATTACTATTTATAGAATCATTATTTAAATTTTGTTCATTTAAATATTCTTAATTCATCTATTTCTATCTTTTTATTAATCTTTCTAATTTTTTTATTTTCTTCATTTTTCTTAACAGTTCTGCTTTTACTTTTTCAATTTCTAATTTACTTTCTAAATATTCTTTCTTTTATTTCTTTATTTATTTATTTTAACAATAATTTTGAGTATGAATATTTATCTTAGAATATGGAATATTTTTTAAACACTATGTACATTTGAAAATTCTGGAAGGACATTTGTCAGAATGATTTAAATGATCAAAATAAGAAAATATTTTTGAACACCACATACATTTTATTGGTCTTTATTCACATTCTGATAACTTAAATAAAATTATATAAAAATTTACATGAGTTTAACTATCTCTTTAAAGTATTTTGCAAAGACAATATTTGCAATTAATTAATTTATATTCACATTTACTTTCAAAATGGATTTCTCTATTATCATAACTTATCACTTCTTTACATCCATTATCCTATTAATAAGTTCATTTAAATTATTACTTAGTATTTACAACTTATTTTCAATTTACTCAGCAATTTTAACAATATTTTTGGAGGTTAAGTTCCATCACTTTTCTAATTAGATAATGATCTACAACATGGGCAACTCTTTTTATTTCCCTAAAACCTAATATTATTTTCAATCAATTTTAGTTACCATTTTAAAAGACATTATTTACAAAATCCTTGACTACACTCTTAACATATTCTTGGATCAACGAATAAATGAGAACAAATTGGACAAATTAATTCATCAATAAATACTTTCATTTCTTCGAAATTTTAAACTCTAACTACATCTATGAATTCCTATTTAAATTATAATTCTTATACATTTTACATCATCTCTGAAGAATTTTATAAATCAGATTCTATCTCAAAATCTAATACATTTTACATCATCTCTGAAGAATTTTATAAATCAGATTCTATCTCAAAATCTTAAAAACCATAAAAAAATATGTTTTCATCAAACAGTAGATCTAGGCCATCTTCTTAAAATATATCCATTGATGAGTTTATTATATTGTTTAGAGTTTAAAAAAATTAATATTTATTATCAATTTTTATGTTATCTAAATAATTATACTAATGAAAAGTTATTAATATCTTCTCAATAAATTTTTATATTGCTACTAATGATTAAATAATTATTTTCAATAATCAAAAATTTAGATTGTTTTGGATGTTAATAATTCTATTAAATATAATGAATTTCATAAATTAAACTAATTCTAATTGAGTATAATTTATTTATCAACTGTACTTAACAATGTTATATATGAAAAACTACAAATATATTCTTATTAAAAAATTAAATCTTAACATTCAAAAATCACTAACATATTCATATTTTGGAAAACCGATAAGATTTCCATCATCTAAAACCAAGTCTAGAATATCAAAAACTATATTTTGATGTCACTATGGTTTAAATTAAGTTAATAAAAGAGAAATTGAAAGTAATAAGAATTTGAAAATATCATCTTAATATCTATAACGTAACTCAATAAATTTAAAAAAATAAATTCTGAAGTATATTCAGATATGGTTAAAATAACATCTAATAAATAAACAGAATAGTTTTAGATAAATCAATTTATATTCAAAATTTAAGTTCAAATTTGTTAGATAAAGTAACGGACTAGGTGATCAACTCTTTAAAGTAATTTCTAAAGTTATGCATATCAATTTAAATTTGATTCTGATAGACTATTAAAGTATAAAAAATTGGGATCAAATATTGTCCAATGTTTTTGGATAAACAAAAAAAAATTATTTTTGATTAAGTTTATATGAAATGAAGAACAAAATTCTTAGATAAAATTTAATGTATTTTTGGTAATATGAAGAAAGCGAAATTACCGTTTAAAATGTAGAGAATCACTATCAAATATAGAAAATCACATTCCCTGTAAGAGTCTATCTAATTTTAGAATGTTATTTTGAAAGTATCAAATTGTATATAGTTGTATTTATTTAAGATTAAAAATGAATAATTTAATAAGAGGGATAAAATTATGAAATTGAGACAAGAGACTATGAAGATGAAATGTATGCTAACTTTCTTAGATTATAGTTTCTGCATTTTTAGATAATAAATGATATAGCAAATATATTTATATATCAAACCTCTTATCCACTTGAAGCTACATTGAGTATTTAAAACAATGCTTTTATATTTTTAATAATCATTACCTGATCCAACTACTACAAATAAGAATACTCCTAATAATACTGGGCCTACTGGTAATTTTTCTTCTTTTTTCTATTAAAATATAAGATTGCAGTATATTACAAGCAATGATTTAGGAACTTTTCCTTATTTAAGAACGTTTTCTTAATAATTTTGGCTTCTCAATTTCATAGTTTAAGCAGATGGCTACTATATATAAGAATGAGTACCATTTTTATTATTTTCTTTTTTAGTATTTTTATTAATCAAATCACGCGTGTAATTAGAATATAATATNTACTTAACAATGTTATATATGAAAAACTACAAATATATTCTTATTAAAAAATTAAATCTTAACATTCAAAAATCACTAACATATTCATATTTTGGAAAACCGATAAGATTTCCATCATCTAAAACCAAGTCTAGAATATCAAAAACTATATTTTGATGTCACTATGGTTTAAATTAAGTTAATAAAAGAGAAATTGAAAGTAATAAGAATTTGAAAATATCATCTTAATATCTATAACGTAACTCAATAAATTTAAAAAAATAAATTCTGAAGTATATTCAGATATGGTTAAAATAACATCTAATAAATAAACAGAATAGTTTTAGATAAATCAATTTATATTCAAAATTTAAGTTCAAATTTGTTAGATAAAGTAACGGACTAGGTGATCAACTCTTTAAAGTAATTTCTAAAGTTATGCATATCAATTTAAATTTGATTCTGATAGACTATTAAAGTATAAAAAATTGGGATCAAATATTGTCCAATGTTTTTGGATAAACAAAAAAAAATTATTTTTGATTAAGTTTATATGAAATGAAGAACAAAATTCTTAGATAAAATTTAATGTATTTTTGGTAATATGAAGAAAGCGAAATTACCGTTTAAAATGTAGAGAATCACTATCAAATATAGAAAATCACATTCCCTGTAAGAGTCTATCTAATTTTAGAATGTTATTTTGAAAGTATCAAATTGTATATAGTTGTATTTATTTAAGATTAAAAATGAATAATTTAATAAGAGGGATAAAATTATGAAATTGAGACAAGAGACTATGAAGATGAAATGTATGCTAACTTTCTTAGATTATAGTTTCTGCATTTTTAGATAATAAATGATATAGCAAATATATTTATATATCAAACCTCTTATCCACTTGAAGCTACATTGAGTATTTAAAACAATGCTTTTATATTTTTAATAATCATTACCTGATCCAACTACTACAAATAAGAATACTCCTAATAATACTGGGCCTACTGGTAATTTTTCTTCTTTTTTCTATTAAAATATAAGATTGCAGTATATTACAAGCAATGATTTAGGAACTTTTCCTTATTTAAGAACGTTTTCTTAATAATTTTGGCTTCTCAATTTCATAGTTTAAGCAGATGGCTACTATATATAAGAATGAGTACCATTTTTATTATTTTCTTTTTTAGTATTTTTATTAATCAAATCACGCGTGTAATTAGAATATAATATAAATAATTATTAAAACTTATTGAGAAACTTTTAAAAAAGCAAAATATTTGAATAATATGAATGAGAGAAAATAAAGATAGATTTCATAATCTCTAATATAAATAAAAATCTTAAGATAGGATGGAGATATATGAAATTGTTATTAGTATTGATTAATTTATTGATTGCTATTTAATTTTAGAATTTTATTCAAAGAAAAGAATCTATAGAAAATATTTTGGTATGTATTGATTTTTAATTGCGTATATCAATCTGTTTCTTATAGAAATCCTGCATCTCTTTTAGGGAAAGCATTACATGAGTCAACATGAATTTCGCTAAATTAATAAAAATAACATATTACAATCCAGTTCGACAGCTCCAAACATCATGTAGTTTATCATCCTATAAACACCAATGTCTTTGACAACATTATGATTTATGTAATCCTGCACAAACATGTCCATCTGCTCTTTTACAATCTTTATGACAATCATTATTTTCAATTGATGATCTTACCCATTTTTTATCATTACTTGTAATAGGTGGAGCCATTGTAGCAGAAACTATTGTCACTATTAGTAGAACGAATAATAATCTCATTTCCGTTTTTATGTAATTTAATTATATTATATATATTCAAAAACTAGATGAATTCTAAAAACATTCTATGCTTCAATATCAATATACTCAAATCAATTAAAGTAGTAGTAAGGTTTACCATTTTATCTGTTTTTGATATTCTTGGTTAATTTATTTTTATTTTTAACAAAGGTACTTTTAGATTCTCTGTTGGTATTATAGAAATCCTATCATCACTATCTGAAATTATCTAAATAGGATATACATCTTTCTTTATATCCTAAACTTCCTGGTGGATTTCGATTAAAAATTAGAAGTTGTGACTCTGACGAATTCAAAATAATAAAAATGAAATGCTAATGCAATTACAAAACCTAAATCTGTGTGTTTCTTCTTTTTAATAAATAATTTAACATAAAAATATCTATTATGAATACAAATACACCAGAAACAATCAAAGCGACAAAATCAAATAGTTCTAGTTCCACAATTTTTTATTTCACTGTTGAGAAAATTGATTTTAGCAATCCAATAAAAATGCTCAAATTTAAGACTCAATTAGCCAATAAAATCGCTAAAAAATGAAGTATGATAGTCTTTCTTTATTCTAGACTTTGTCTAAACCCAATCCAATTTTGATCTGATGTTATTATGATTATCAGATAAAAAATTATATAAAAAGTAATCAACATTTTTACAGTTTTTATTTTTCTTTTTCAGTTGTTAATCTATAAAGAAAATTTCACTACAAAACCACATTCACAAATATTGACATCATAATAAGCAATTTAAATACGCCTCAAATATGTAGTTAGAGATAACATAGATCTTAATAAATTGGAAAAAATCTATCAGCTATTAAACCGTTGATATAAAAATATAAAAATTTTGGATGAATATAAAACAAGTTGTGACACAAACTAAAATGTTTAAAAATTCATATAATAATTTAAATTATTTAATGATTAATGATACTAAGATGATTAATTGATATAATTATAAAATTTATTAAAAATCAAAAAAAATCTTATAAATTATAATAAATTCACTTATATTGAGAAAATAATTCAAAACTTTCATGAGTTCTTTAAAAAGTTATAGTAACATTAGTGATAAGCTTGAATATATTGATATCAATGAAGGAGTCGATATTAAAATACTTGCTGAATGTTTTGTAACAGACATGCATCATATTCAAGAGAATGATGGAAAAGAATTTATAATTGATCACATAAAAGATTAATTAAAATATTACGAGAAACAAATCAATTTATTAAATAAATCTTAATAATTGTAATTTATTTAAGCAATTAATTCAGAAAAAAATGATTATGAAGCATTATATAATACAGTCTGGTAAATGTAAAAGAAACCGACTTCATTACAGGTACATTAAATTAATTCTAGTAATTTCGTTCTTCAAGAGTATAAGTCATAAATAGATTTATTATAAAAAAATAATTTTTTTTAGAATGCAAAATGTTTTACCGACACCGAATCGAATAAAGATTTTTAAAAACAAACAATATGATCCAGATAAAAAAGTAAATTAATTTAGGAAATTAATTAATATCATGAAAAATGAATTAGAAAAAAGATTGCAAAAATTGACAATCGAATCTAATTCTCCTATCTTCCGTGATTTTAAACTAAAACTAACTAAAGTTTATATGTATAAAAAGTAAGTAAAAAAATTGATGACGAAGATTTTGAATTAGTAAAAAATGATAGGAATTTTATAGAGAAAAAAATATTTGTGTTCGCTTCGTAAAAGATATGAATAAAATAAGATCTAAATATATAATGATTAGAGTCTTTCATCAACTTGATAATGAAAAAAATGGGGGAATATCAACTGATTTTAAAAACTTAGTCATTGATCAGTAAAATTTTGAAAAAATCAAGCTAGTGTTATTGCATATGAAATCTTAGTATTTAATTTCTATAAATATAAAATCTAAGACTTTTTGAAAACTTTTCATCAATATTTTCATCTTCAAAATATTGAAATTTCAAGAATTTTTCAAATATAAAATATAAATAATACTAATATGCTAATATATAGATAACTAATAAAAGTTTCCATTGATTTATCTGTGGTATGAATCTTTAAATCTCCACGACTACTAATATTTTACTATATTTTTATAAAATTAATTTTATTTATCTTGAAAAATCCTTTATATCCTAACTAAAAACTTTTCTCATAATATAATTCATTATAATGAATTAAGTTTTGAATATTGTATGTTCAATAATTATGGAAAAATTCTTCAATCTCAAAATTTGATCTTTTTTATTAATTTAAAATTATATTGCCTATTTTTATTAATTCTTTCCCTTTATAATGCTTTCTAAAGAGTATATATTTGTAAAATTTTATTAATTAATATTACAAAAATATCATTCATTTTTTCATATTTTTTCTTTATTCTAATTAATGTTGATTGAGGAATTCCTATTTTTTTGATTATTTTAAAAGTTATAAAATCAAAAGTTTAAAATAAATTATATAGAATAATTAAGGATAGAGTTTATTAATAAATATGAAAATAAAAACTAAAATTACAGGTTTTCAATTTTATGGAAATATTATTTGGATAAATGCTGTAGATTTTACTAAAAAATGCAAACTTTTGATATTTCATTTTATTATGTAGGGATAAGTTTATAATTATTAATAAAAACTTAATTTTAAATTTTAATTAAGTTAAGAATTGATTTCATTGACAGATATTTTTATATATTAACAAAAGAAGATCTAATCTATGCAAATAGAAAAGAGTTGATTTATAATTTTGTATTAAGTTAGAAAATAAATTAGATAGACTTGATTTACTGACTAAATTTTGTATGATATTATTTATTTGAACAAAAAAGGGAAATAAAATTACAAAGAAGCCAAGTTCTAACTGATAAATTAGTAGTATGTTTGAATATTTTTAAATATTAGATAAAATTAATTTTAATAGGTTTAAGTAAAAAAATATTAAAATAGAAAATGTTTAAGTAAGATTGAGAGAATAAACTTTTTGCGATATTGAAATATATTTTAATAAAGTTTAAGTTAAAATGTGAATTTTAGAGATTTCTAGTTTTGTTTTGAGATATCAAATTAATTAAATTTGCTAAATAATAAAAATGGGTGCATGTAGTGGAATATGTGGATAGAGTAATACAGATCACACAATAGTAAATGCAAATAATGTACATTTATCAGATGTTGAATAATAAATAGATTAAGGTTTAAAAGAATCAGGTCATTTAATTAGATAGTCTCAATAATCTTCAGATGTGAATGTTGGATAAGTGAATTATGAGAATGATCATTATGAATAATAAAAGAAATCAAATTAAAAGTTTGAAGAGATAAAAACTTAATTATAACATGATTCTTTTATTGAGAAATGTGAAGCTGTCACACTAGAAACTGGTGCAATATATACTGGATAATGGAAAGATGAACAAAGAAATGGTTGGGGTAAATAAGTTTGGCCAGATTAATCTGTATATGAAGGAGAATGGGTTAATGATAAAGCTTGTGGAAGAGGTAAGTTAATTCATGCAGATGGAGATATATATGATGGTGAATGGGCTAATGATAAAGCTAATGGTTTTGGAAGATATTATCATAGTAATGGAGCAGCATATTAAGGATAATGGAAAGATGATAAATAGGAAGGATTTGGTGAAGAAACTTGGCCAGATGGATCTAAATATAAAGGATAGTATATTGATGGTAAAAAACATGGAAAAGGAAGATTAGAATTTGTTGATGGTTCTTATTATGATGGAGAATTCTAAACTAATGATATTCATGGAAAAGGTATTAGCTTTATTATTATTTAATTAGGATTATACGTTTGGGCAGATAAGAGATAATATGATGGAGATTGGTTTAAGAATAAAATGCATGGATATGGGTTAACTAAATGGCCTGATGGTAGATCTTATGAAGGAGAGTAATATATTTTATTTTAATATATTTAGATATAGAGAAGATAAAAAATAAGGACATGGAACATTTATTTGGACTGATGGTAGAAAGTATATTGGTTAATGGGTTGATGGTAAATAATAAGGAAAAGGAACTTTTATTAAATCTGATGGTACAACTAAAAGAGGAGAATGGGCTGATGGTAAACGAATTAGATGGATAGATTGATATTTCATTTATATATATATCATTTATATATTAAACTACTCTCTATTTATAATTTTAATATTAACAATTTTACATATTAATTTAAACATTTTTAATCAATCAAGAATAATCGCAAAAATTATTTACATTATATTTTTATATTTCATCCTGTTTTAAATACTATTAATTATTCAATTCTATATTATTTATTCTACTAAATATAATTTAATGTATCTTGATTTTCTTAAAATTAGGAAATTTAACATAACAGTCTTAATTTATAATTATCTTGAACTTTAAATTAAAAATTTACACGATTATAATATTCATACAATTATTATATTAATAATGTATATCAGACTAAGTCATTATTGAATTATGGAATGAAATATGAAATTTAGAAATGATTATTGAAAATCAATTTTTTTATTGCTGAAATTTATTCAATCAATTTATGATTAAGATCTCAAATATTAAATCTCTTGCTTTTAAATACTAAACATATTATCCAAAATATATTCTATGAATCATAAAATTCCTTGATTTTTATTAAATTAATAAATATTACTCATTAAAATAAATATTATCAAATACATCAAGAAGGTAGCAATTAAATGAATTTTCAAAGACTTAAACTCAACGATTACTGGATAAAATGAGAATGTATACATTTAGAAAGGATGAAACTTTGGCCAACTACCATAGTTGCCTATTAATAAAAAAGAGATTTAGATCTTGAAAATTAACAGCAGCAGAAGAAAAGAGAAGGTAAATTTATATTAAAGAGGAGATTTTTTAAAAAGAACAGAAGAAAATAACCTAAGAAAAATTTAACAAATAAATTTATGAAAATAGTGATAGGGTTAAAACATTTCATGGGAATTAGATTTACTCAGATGTATTTTATGAGAGAGGATGAATAAATTATTATGCAGAAATTTAGGAAAATACTTCTTAATTAATAAGAAGTAAAATAAGAAAAGATTTTAGAAAATTAGATATAAGTGTAATTGGCAAATAATTAATTAAAAGAATTTAAAGTTAAAAGAGAAAAAAGAAGATGAAAAGATAAATTAAATGCAGAAAAGAAATTAAGAATAGCTAAGATGAGAAAATTTAAAGAAGAGATAAAGAATGATTGATCGATATATATTATAATAGGAAATACTAAAAAAAGGATAGGAAGAATATTTGAATAAATAACTTATCGAAGCTTAAGTAAAAGCTGAAATAGTTGAAAAAATTAAATAGCAGAAGAGAGAAAAAATGTGCTAAGCAATAGATTACAATTGAAAAAATAAAGATGAATTGAAAGAAATAGAATCAAATTGTATTTTTTTTATTATCGATATTAACTGTTGATTATCATAAAAGAGAATTTTAGATTTATTGGGAAAAAAGAGAAAGATAATTAGAAGAAATAGAAAGAACAGAAATACTAAAGAGAAAGAAGAGTTTAAAATGATAAATTTTTGGAAAATTTAATTGATGAAAAAAAGTAGTTTAATAAAATAAAATTCTGGATAGATTCAAAGAGAAAAATAATATGAAATTTTTATGGTGTGGGAAGATTTAAAAACAATAGAGAGAAGAAAAGAAAATATTGTCATTAATTAAAGAACTAAAAATTTAAGCAAAGTTAGATGATTATAAATAATATTAGATATCTTTTTAATAAATTCTACAAAAAATCGAAAGTTTTTTAATCTTAGGTATTTAATATACACAAAAATATAGTATATCAAGTTTTTTTCTATTTTTTTTTTATATGATTATTATTATAATTATTATTATGAATCATTATTTCTTTCTTAATCTTTTTTGATTTATGATCTTTTTATTATTTTATTTCTTATATTTCTTGTTGAATTATTAAGTTAGGATTGTTTTCTATATTTTGAGGTTGAATTTAAAGCTATTCTTACTCTTTATTAAGACAATTCTCACATTTACACAAATCAGTGCACTTTTAATTAATGCTGTAACATTCACAGTATTTTTTTTTGCATTCAGATTTTTTACAATTACAACCTTTTTTAGTTTCTTTTTGTAAGTCTTTGTTAGAGTTTTATTCTATGAAATTATTAAATTAATAAATACCTTAGATGATTTATGGTTATTATCCATTGTTATTTAAAATAGGTGAAAATGCTTCTGGGTTTCTAAGTAGAGCTTCTTCTATAGCCTTAGATCTTTCATTAGGATTATCAATTCTATTTTTACATTCAGTACAATTACAACTTTAAGAACAGACCTAAAATATTGAAGAATAAAACCCAATTATTAGTAAAGCATTCACAATATAATTTTAAGCATTTACTTTTTTTACAATTGCATAAGAAATGAGAGACTTTTTAATATTAAACTAATTGATTAACTTTAGATTAGAGTTCTTTTGATAAAGTATTTTAATATTAGGATATATCATAAGGAGGGTAATAAAAAAGTGGATATGGAGTTGGATACCAAGGAGGAGGATATGGTTATGTAAATTTATGCATATATTAGTTATTTAGAGGATATTTCATTTGTTATGGTATTTACTGATAGAATTGTTAATAATTGTAATGATGATGATTGGGATTGTCTTCTTATAATTCTAAAACATCACCAGCAGATAATTTTCTAAAAGGATATTTTGATTTATTTTTATCTTGGATTTCTTATTCATGTAAGAGATTGAATTGTGAGATGGTTGATGGTGGCTAAAGATAAAACTATTGTGGAGTGAATTTTGGTGATAAGTTTAGTTATTATTATGGCCAATCTTAATCATAATAATGAAGTTTTTTATTTAGTTTTTGTTCATTGGAATTATGATCATCTAAATTCATAATAAATTAATTAAAAATTAATAATGGCAGCAATAAACAAAGAATAGGTAGACATGGATAATCCAGCATTTGCCTAACAAGATCCACATTTGAAAATAAATGACGATGATGAAATAGGTGTATCACCTCTAATGAGAAATCGTTACCCAAGAAGACCACCACTTTTTGATGGTTTATTGAACAATGTTAGAGCTGTTACAAAAAAAGTAGAACATATCAAAGGATTTAAATTTGAAGTAGCAGGAGGATTATCAAATAATTTTCATTTAGCTCATTCTTGGATGATTCCTCCATCAGTATATTAATTATATCTAAAAGTTAGAACAAAGGAAAGGCTCCTAATCCTAATCCTATGAAATAACCACCAGTTCCAAGTTACACTTTAGCAGCTCAATATTTAGGAGGATAGCTTAGAACTCCATATGATCAACCATCATATATTATGACTGGAAGATGGGATTCTAGTGGTAAATTAGAAGCTGCCATTATCAAAAAATTAAATGAAATGTTCAATCTTAGGTATTGTGTTATAATTCTATTATTCAAATAGATTCAGTGCTTTCTATTTAGATTCTAATCCTACCAATGCATAAGTACATTTAGATTGTGACATTTCTGGAGAAGATTATGTACATTCTATCAAATTGGGTACTGGATTGTATAGTTTTAATATGATGTAAACTATTGGAAAGAGAATGGTTTTTGGATATGAAATGATGACATTGGTATTTAAATTTAAATACATAAGACTGAAAGAAATATGTCATTAATGAGTTATGCATTCAAATTTGGAATCAATTAAAGGTAGAATTTGTTTGCCTAATATGTTGGAGCTGCTGATTCATTGATTTTAGCTTACAATCATAGAGTATATATATATCAATTATTTTAATTAGCTCTTGGATAAAGCCTACTTTATGTCTGAATTCGAATATTCCAATTAGACTGGTGACTCCAAAACTATTCTTGTAATAGAATTTATTAAATCTTTTTAAGGGTTATAGATAAAAGTTTGCCATTTCAGAAGTCATCGTAACTATCAATTCTAAAATGAAGTTTAGCTCTGCTTTAACTTTATAAGGATTTGCTTATCAATTAAAATTATGTGCAATTGCAGATTATCATAAAGATTCATATAAGTTTGGTTATGGTATTGCTATGGGTTAAGTTTGATAACTAGTATATAAAAAAAAATATATTTTTAAGTTTATTTATAATTTATGATGTTGTCTTTAATATCTTTTTTATCTCTTATAGTCAATTATGAATATTCTGTAAATTTATCAATTAATTTTATTAACTAGAGAAATTATTAATTCATTTTTATTCAGTTTAAATAAAATGGATACAAATTTTAATTAATTATCTATTTTATTAAAATTTATTGCAATATAAATGCAATGATAATTTGAATGATATTATTATTATTAAATTAAAATGATGTTAAGGTTGCCTTAATCGAATAATTACATAATAGTATTTGCACTACTAACTATATTAATCTCTTCTTGTAATGCAAGCAACCATTTAAGAGGTCATATTGAAGGTAATAAAATTATTTAAAAATTTAGAGCATGAAAATAAGCATTTATATTCTAGCCATAAGAAAGGAAACCCTATAACTGCTGTTATATTTGGATTTCTATGCATTGCTGGAGCATTTGCTATGTTATGGTACAATGAAAGAAGGTTTCTAATTATTACATAACAACTTTAGATAAGCAATAACAGAATACAGATTAGAATAAGCAAAGAAATAATGTACATCAGTTAACTCAGCTGAAATAAATCCTAATACCAATCATTAATTGATTCACACTAATGGTATTATCTGATCTAAATTAATTTTATAGGTGAAAGTAGAACCAATGATTTAGTTGTAGATGCTGCATTTGGTTTATCTTTAAAAGATTGTATTAAACTAGTCAGAACTGTAGAAATGTATTAATGGATTCGTAGATCAAGAGAAGAAAATAAGAGAACTGTTTATTATTATGTTTAAGAATGGAGTACAATATTTCATGAAGATTGTGGAGATGGGCACTTTAATGATAAAACAAAATGGATAGTTGAATAAGAAACATAAATCAACTTAAAAGTTAGGATCGGTGCTTATTTAATGAGTAAATCTTTGGCAGAATAAACTAATCCAAATGAAAGTATTCCTATGGCAAGCAATAATGCATAATCAGTAGCTAATTTTTATGGATATTAAAAAGGGTTTTAGAATTAGTATATTAATATTATATTCTAGTGAAGCTAATGGATAATATATATATTTCAAATAAAATAATGGTACCATCTCTATGAATGATTTAAGAGTCTCATTTAATGCAGCCAAAACTGGTCCCACTACTGTTGTTTCTCAATAATAAAATGATACATTTACACCTTTTATTATTCATGATAAATTTGAATCAACATTAGCTAGAGATGAAAACTTAGAAGAAATGCAATGCTCTTGTACTACTTGTTGTTGTCTTTGTTGCAAATTATGTAAAGCACTTGAAAAACCTTTAACTGAAATTGATTGGATCTATGAAACAATCTTAACATAAAATTAAGTTTTTAAAAAAAAAGCAGAAGAAAATGCCTGTATTACTATGGCATAAAGAATTGGCGGATATGTGTTAATGGTATATCATTTTTTTATTTTTTTAGGGAATCGGATTTTGTTTAATATTCTCTCCTATTTCATGGTTAATCTCATGGTTCCCTTTGGTTGGAAACTTTTTAGCTACCATCACAGGATTTATTTTCTTTTTAGTCAGTTTTATTATTTCTATTCCATTTTCACTTTTAACTATTGCCTTCGCATGGCTATTTTATCATCCTAAATATGGAATTGCATTAATTGCTCTTTCTGGAGTTATTGGAGCAGGCATCTATTTTTACATTAAAAGTTAGAGTTGAAATATAAATCAAATATTTTATAAATCAAATTAATTTTTTCTTATAATATATATATAAAATTTTTAATTAAATTATAAATAAATCAAGTCATACAATTTACACAAACTACATTTCTTATAATTCTAATGTATTTAAATAATTGCAATCTTTATTAATGATCTTAAATTCCAATTGATGGTCTATAAAAAGTTTAACAATATTTCATAAACATCAATTTTAATATAAATCTTATAGTTTGAAGGTGAATTTGTAACTTAATAATTACCCTTTCCAAGCATTTCACAACTCTAAATTGTTATATGACTTTTCTTACAATAATATTATAAATATTAATTATTTTCACTGTATCTACTGTTGAAAGAAAGACAATTAATAATTGATATTTCTAATTCTAACTCTTAAATAAAATGATGGTTATTCCTTGGGTTATCATAAATCCACAGAAGCTATTTTTATTCACTTAAATATCTTAAACCATTAAAAATAAAAATGGCTAAAATATTACTTATTGCTCATTTGTAGATTAATATAAAAAAATCTAATTTATTTGAAATTATAAATAATCTTTAAAATGTCTTATGGGTGTTTTTTATGAATCATTAATTATAATTAAATATTTCGATAATTGAGATTATAAATATTAATTTTATTAAATTTTGAATTTATCAAAATAATTGATGAAATTTATAGGATATTCAAGAAAAAAAGAAACAACTATTTTCAAATTGATTATTCGAGATCAATATTAAATGTAACATATTCTCGGCTTTTATATTCTAATCTTAAAGAGTTTTATCTTTTTCTAATATTACTCCTTAGTATTCTAACAAAAATTAATTTTTTACAATTTCTTTCTATCATATATTTGCTTATATGTTTCTTCAATTAAGTCACAAGGATATATATTTAGGGTAATAATTTGTTGAGAATGCATCTAAAAATATTTAAAAAGCCAAAATTGAAAAATGGGAATAAATAAATAAGTATTTTATCCTCTCTATCTTAATACCTTATATACTACATTAAATATTGGAAATACTTTACACTTTACTTATTAACTCACCCTTATTCAATATTCAGTGATTTGACGGAGATATATTTTCTTTGTTATAAATAGCTTCTTTGAAATCAATAGTTTTTAAGGATAATTATAATTGAAATCCAGGACTATTATTATTTTTAACAAATCGTTTAAATTTAAACTGGGAAAAAAATCTTGTTAATTACCACAAGAATAATGTTGATTGTTATATACTTTTCCTTTATAAGTTAAGTTTATTTTTGATAAAACAGAGTCATTCATAATAAGTTGGTATTCTATGTTGTGGTCGTTTAAGATTTAACTTTGTATTTTGTGTTTGAAATCTAAAATTGTATTATTTTCATTAATAATCAACAATTTTATAATTCCTAAATAATTTAAATCAAGTATGATTGAAATATCATTATTGATCTAATTTGCAAATTGTTGAATTTTCACATCTTGATAGTTTTCTTATATTTTTAATTGTCTAAAATTTATTAGATTTATAAAAGGAGGAATTTCATAATTTTTATCTGATTTCTCGAATTAACTAAATAGATTAATTTCTATTAAAAATAAATAATAAAAATTAAAAGTTGAATTGTATAAATTATAATCACTATTTAATTTCTTCATTTTCATTTTACTTTTTTTTGTAGACTATAAATTACTCCAGATTTACATAATCAAGATCACAAAGATCTTCACTAAAATTTGAAGTATTTCTTATGATTTATAAATTTGCAAAATCTGTAATAGAAGTTCCATCATTCTAATTTTAATTTGTAATTTATGTAATTAATTGACTTTAAAAAAAAGAGTTTATAAAATGATTGCTTTTTTTATTATTAAGCTATTCAAGACTAGAAGTAAATTCAGATTATTAAAGATTTAATTTATCAATTTAAGATGATATATTCTAAGAAGATCTTAATAGTATACTTTTAGATTTTTGATTATTCTTTTAATATTTAGATGACAATCTGGGAATATTTTTTGAAATTTCTATATTAATTGTCATTTACATTTCTTACTAAAAAATTCTATTCTAAAACCATGAATGTTATAAAGCAGCATCTGGTTAAGGTCTTAATGCTGAATCTTTTTATAATAATTATAAAACTAGATCTTTAGCTTCTTTAGATATTTAATTAAATTATTGATCTGGAAATTAAATTTAAGCTTGTTTAATTTGTTCTATCAAATCATTTAAACTAAAATATAATATTAATTTACTATTCTGAAATAAATGGCAATTACCCTGATAACATTGAATAAAGAATACAACCAGCACTCCACATATCTACCATTTAACTTTATTGTTAATATTAAAAATATAAATACTTATAACCTTCTCCTGTAAAAATTTCTGGAGCAGAGAAGGCCACTGTTCCAGTATAAGTCCACATTTCAATTTTTTCTCTTTCTTTTAAATCTCCAAATTCTTTATAGGAATCGCTGAATTTACTAACATTAAAGTCAGTTACTTTTATCTAATTTTTATCTAATAATTAATAAAAAATACTTTAAACACATAAAATATTATTTGGTTTTAAATCTCTATGACAAATTCCATTTCTATGCATATATTCTATGGCACTCAATAATTATTTAAATAATTCCTTAGCAACATTTTCTGTATAATGTCCTAATTCATTAATGACTTCAAACATTTCTTTTCCTTAAATTAATTCCATTACAGCATATGCTTTACTTTCAGACTAAAATCCATTATTAAAATCTATATATAACTTATAAACTTTCACAATATTATCATGATTCAACTTTAAGAGTGATTTAAATTCAATTATCATCTTAAAAAAATATTAATTAAACTTACATTTCTAATAATTTCATCATCTTAAGTTTATACTATTTTAACTGCATATTCCTTTTAAGTCTTTTTATCTACAATTCTTTTAACTAATCCCATACAACCTTCTCCAAGAATTTCCATCATTTCATATTCTTGATCAAATTTTTTAATATCAACACAAATGCAATATGAATCAAGATCACTTAAATCAACATCTAATTTTTTGCCTAATTCATTTAGTTCTACCTATTAATTCTTACCATCTAAAGAAGGTTTTGTTATTATTAATTGTAATCTACCTTTATTAATAGCAATTACAATACCTTTAAGTTATTACTTTATTCTATTTCTATTATTCAAAGCATAATTTTATTTATCATCTAATTCATATTTAATGAACTAAAATCGACTTTTACCTTTTTTATCTGAAGTAGATAATTATGAAGAAAGAAGATTTTATTCTATTGTAATAGATTCACATAATGATATTTATGGTTATAAATCAATCATTTCCGGTAAAATATTTAATTAAAATTAATAACAAAGTAATTTCAGAATTATATATTTAAAAAGAATTGATATTTATTAAAATAAAATAAACAATTGATTTCTCAAAGATTTATTTTACAAATTTTTACATTAAATTTAATAGTTTGCAAGATATTGCTAAAAAAATAAATATATATAGATATATTTAAATTATAGTTTAATTGATAATTTGTATTGAATATTAATAATAAATTAAATGTAGTCTATTAGATCGAATTCTGCATAATATAGGACCTGTAATTCACAATATGGATAGGGTTGGTTATTACATTAAGGATAATAGTAAATAAATTTAAATGAAGCTCCAGTTCCTACTTATGCAGAAATCGTTAAAAGCATGCAAGTAAAGATATTAAATATGGAATTTAGGATTTCAAAAGAGCTGAAAAATTAATAAAAAACAAATTAGTGGCATAATAGATTAGTTTAGAATAATAAAAGAAAGAAACTGAAGAAGAGAAACAAAGAAGAAAAATCGATAATAAAGTTCCTCCAAAACCTTTTTCAGTTTAAGCAGATACATACAAAAAACCTCCTTTAGGAATCAACGTTGGTATTTTGAAGATCGAATTATTTATGTAGGCCTACCTATATATGAAACATCTAATATGCAATATGGGTAATTGAATCCTACTTAATATGAATTAATTGAAAAATATTATCCTAGAGATGCCAAATTTACTTAAGGATTTTTAGGAAACACTTATAAATTTGATGGTTTAAATACAAGTGTTGCTTTTTCAAAAACTCATAAAGCTTTGGATGAATACTGATTAAAATATAATATATTAGTCATAATATAATCATATAAATAATGGTTAATTCATTTGTAAAGGCATGTCAAAGTAATCTTAAATTTTATTAGATTTAGTTAAGTGTTCATAAAGTTATTTAAATTCTTCTTATATCTCTTAAAATCTATGAGCTTTTTGAGAAATAATTTAATCATTAATAGGTGAATAAATTGTGAGAGGATTATAAGGAGGACATTCTTCTAAAGTTATAAATGGATTTTATTAACTAATTTAAAAATTAAATATACCCGTAACTGTCTATATAAATGCCCTCTTTTAATGGTTCGAATTGAGTACCATACTTCTTTAAAAAGTCAAGAAGAATTTATTTTTTATCATTTTGAGTGTAATGTTTACATAAATAGATTGCTGCTAACATTATTGATAAACAAAATGAACTTATTCCACCTATCAAATATTAAGATTTATTTTATACCTGTATGGGCATCATTTAAATTTTTAGATTTAACTAAGTGTTTTAAAATTAATAGAATATCTCTATACCATACAAACCTACTAACCCAATCTTTTACTATTGTAGTTGAAGCAAATCCTAAATGAGGATTATTATATATATTGCTCCATTAATAAATCCAACTTACATCTACTTAAATGATTTTACCTTCAATTTATTATATATTTATACCCTAATCATTTTGATCTAAATGAAAGTAGGACCAATTTTATTAAATATGTTGATCATCATCATAAAAACTTGATTTAGGATTCAATTCTAATTTCAATATTGGCATTTAACTTTAAATCAATCTAAATTTAATTTATTTATATAATTACTTAGATTTTATTAAAAATGGTGTCTACTTTAAAGTATTATTTAATAGCTATAAGAACCTTACTATTTAGCTATAACTTAAATTTTATTAACCCCAAATTCCAACATCTACATCACTTATTTCTAAATCTAATCCAGTTTCAAAAGATCCATAAGGATACATATTAAGATTGTAATTTGTATAAATAAGATAATTAAGTCTATTCAAACAAATTTATTTTCTAGTTCTATTTTGATAACTTTTTTATTGAATAAAATTCGATAATTCATCAATATCATAATTTTTAGATTTTACTAAATTCAATTTTTTTCTTTTAATTGGTGTTGTTTAAGTAGAATGAGGATATTATTTATCACCAACTTTTTCTCCATTATTACTATAGTTTTTTTTCTTTGGTTTTTCTCTGCTTGATAATTTTTAAGCACTAGATTCTAGTTATTTATTGTCATCAGATTATTAAAGACAATCATCTGATTCAGATTAAGAATTTCCTGCTGTTGTACTTCTTGCTCCAATCTAAAATTTTTATAAACAAATGTACTTGACTAAATTAAGCATCAAAGTCAACAAAATCTTTTTTATTTTCTTATACACAATTTTCTATTTATGTTATGCTAGGCTACTTTTTTAACTTTTACTAAACTATTTATTGTTTTATTTTATGAGGTTCTTAAGGAGACAGTTGATTATGTTGTTTCTCCTTTTATTGTTATTGAATTTAAGGTTATTATGCCTATTGTTTTTATGTTAAAGTTTAATTTTTTGTAATTTTTAATGAGGAATCTGTTTTATTTTTCTTATTTTTTGCTTTCTTATGAGATTTTTATTTTTATGTTGGAATTTATTAAACTGTTTGAGGCAACTAAAATTAGTCAATCTCGTTTTAATCATTATTTTATAAAACTTTACTTTGTTCAGAAATTTATTCTTTCTGATTCTGTTACTAACAATTAAATTAAAGTTCTTCATTAACAATACTCAAAGATAAACACACTAAATTCTTAATACAACTATTCACATCAAACTCTTCATTTCTTTTTTTCTATATAACCTTACTCTATTAATTTATACTAAACTTGTTACATTCCCTTAATTAGTTCCTTCTGAATTTTTATTACATTCAGGTTATGTTTTTTCTTTTTAATTATCTATTTAATTGTTTTTAGAGCGAAATTATTTTGTTCCTTTTGTCGTCTCATTATTTATACATTCATTCATTTGTATTGATATGCTTTATTTTTGCATTAAAGAAATGATTTATTATTTTATTATATTCTCAATTAGATTAATAATTATACTTTATGTATTCAATAATATATCATTTAAAATATCTATTAAAATCAACTAAACTATAGCTTTAAAGATATACTATAACTTCAATAAATAAAATATTGGTCTAAATAATAATGAATATTATTTACTTCTAAATATATATAAATAATTATATAATATAAATATTATTACATAGTTTAAATCTTTTTAAGTAAATTATTGAAGCCCCATAAATAAATATAATTTAATTAAAAATTTCATTGTCTTTGATCTTAATTTATAGATTCATAAGAATTTCTTGAGTTTAAATGTTAATACATAAATCTTACAAAAACCTAAGACTTTTTAGAGTTAAACTTGATGAAAATTAATCATTAATAAAGAATCTATCACTATATCAGAAATTTTAAAAAGTTTGAAACTAAATTGTAGACTTTGAAATAAATCAATGAAATAGAAATCATTAGCTTTAATTTTTTTCATCAATTAAAATTACAATAATAAAAAAACCTAAAATAAAAAAATAATTTAGTTCTAAATGTTCCAAGAATTATAATATTATTAAATAAAAGTTTGATAAATAATTTTTGAAAAAATGCCATAACTTTTTAAATTTTCCATAATAAAAATAAATAAAATACTATTTTAAGATTTTGTTTTGAAAACTAATCTATTCTCTTTTAATTTATGTTCTACAATAAATATATGACAATATCTTTTTAAAAATCTTTTAATTCTTTAATTATTTATAATTATAAATAAAGATTTAATTCAAAAAAACTCAGTTCATACAAACAATTTATTTCAATTTAATAAAAATGGGCTTAGAATAATTTTTAAAAAAACATTTGAAAAGGAATAAGTAAACATAAAGTATAATATTTATCTACTTTGCATATAGTAATTTTGCCCAAAAATGAAATTGTTAACCAATATGCTTAATCAAATAAAATTAATAAATTATATCATAATAATAGTTATTTAATAAGAGAGTGAAATTGATTTCAATATTTAATAAATAAAATATAGTAAACTATGATTATAAAATTTGATTGGAGATAATATATATAAGAAATCATTAAGTTTTATATTCTTTTGATTACATAATTATAAGAAATGTCATTAATTATAATAATAATAAAATAAATAATTCGAAAAATGTTTAGATTGTTTGATTCGAATTATTAATAGATGAATCAAATTATTGAAGAAAGTGGAAATGTTTTATGGCTTGGTGATTTTACTGCAGCATTAGATAGAACTCTTCTTGATTCAAAAGGTATTAAAACAGTGTTAACAGTTGCAACTGGTTTAGACATTTCGTATAGAGAGGCTGGAATAACTCATAAGGTAGTATATAGAATCAAAAATAGGTTTATCATATCCTAGATTCAGAAACAGCAAATATTGGTAGATTATTTTAAGACACCAACACTTAAATAATTGAGGGTTTGAAAAAAGGATCTGTTTTAGTGCATTGTGCTGCAGGCGTTTCAAGATCTGCTTCTGTAGTGATAGCATATTTAATGAAAACGAAAGGATTCGGCTTTTCTGAGGCTTTTAATTTTGTAAAGAAGAGAAGAAGTGTTATTTAACCTAATTATGGATTCATTAAATAATTAAGAAATTATGAAAAGGAAGTAAAGATAGTAAAAAAAGAATAACATTAACTTAAAATAAGTGAAAATCCATAAGATGGAAAGGGTTGGCAAATAATGAAGACTTAAGAAAAAAAAACAGCTGATTTAAACATAGTTGGCTAATAAGCTGTTTAATAAAGATAACCAAGTTTATTAGTTTAACCAAAAATAACAACTTCAAATTCTACAAGAGCTAATTCAACTTTGAATTCTAAAAAATTATTTGAACCATAGAAGACTTACCAAGGGCCTTAGATTGTAACCTATGCAAAAAATAATAAATTAGTTACCAAAAATCATTTTGCAATGCCTGAAATTAAATAAAAGAATCAAAAATGAATGGCATACTTATTAATAACATTTAATCAATTTTTATAGTATTAAATCATTAAATATAGATAATCTCTTGTTATTATTAAAAAGTTGTTTTTCTGAATCTCAACTATTTTTGCTTTTTAATATTAGGAAGTCAAGTGAACTGTAATTAAAGAAAATACATTTAAATTTCTCTTAGTCATTTTAATTTATAATTATATTTTTCTATATCTTATTATAATATCTTTATATAAGGTTTTTTTATTTGATTCTTTAAATTAAAAAGGTTCATTCAATTCATAAAATAATTTGATTTACTATTTTATTTAGATAAATTTAAGGATAAGGCTTTCTTCTAAACATTTTTATTTTTTCAATTATCTAATAATTTAAAAAGAATTTTTAGGATTCTAAGACGGATTATTTAAAATAAATATTTACATTTCAATAAATAATGATAATAAATTTTTATCTTAAATTGCTATTAAATTATGATTTTAGTAAACTTAATATAATAATAAGAAAGATCCTAAAAATTGCTGAATATTTAGTTTGAGAGATTATTTCCTATTTAAAAAACATTCATTTAATTAAATGCTTAATTTATCTTTTAGCTATTCAATTATTAAGACTTAGCAATTATAAATAAATAAAATCCTTTAGCAATTCTTTGAAACATTTAATGAGAATCTTTTCAGTTTATTATTTAAAAAACTATTGAATATTATAACTATTTTATTTTTTATCTTATATTGTTAAATTAGAGTGTAATTTTAACATTGGTTCCGTAAATAACACTTTTTAACATTATACTAATCATTAATGAATAAAGTAATAAACTTTTTTGATGTTCTAATTTAAATTCAAATTTATGATGTAATAATTATAATTCTACTCTTATAATGAGATGATATACAAGTTATTAATTAAAATTAAATGGATAGAAAGAAGTTATAATTTGAAAGCAATTTGAAAAATAATTGTTAAGATCTCATGGCTGGGATAAGAGAAACGAAAGCTAAAGTCAATGAAATTCGTTCTAGGTGTGATTCAATAAAACGAGGAAGTTCTAAGTATTTAATTTCATGATAATTAGATAACCTTACGAAGTAAATAATAAGTCTTATGAAATTTCGACAAAAACAAGTGGAAGTTTTATAATAACAAAAGACAATGATGTTAGTTATCTAAAAAAGAAAATTGAAGAATTACAATTTAGAATTGATTCATAAGATGTAAAACTAAAGGCAAGAGAAAAGGAGATTGTTTACTAATAATCTCAAATTAAATAATTTGTTATAGAGATTAATGAGATTCAAATAATTGAAGAAAATTATAAAGAAGAAATATCAGTTTTGAATAAAGAATTATCATAATGGAAAGAAAAATACTTTGCTAATCTCAAGGAATATTAATTTAGACAAGCTTAATTATCTCGATAATCTTAATAAGAGCAAGGTATTATGAGAAAGAAGTATGAAGAAATTATTGAATAATAATAAAAAGAAATAGAATCTATTGAAATTAGATTTGAAAATGAGAGAGAAAACCTCTATAAAGCTCTCGATTTATAAAATATAAACATTTAGAAAAATAATGAGTTAAATGTAAACAGAAATTATTTTTTAGGAATTACTAAAAAAATTAGAAGAAAGAGAAATTGAAACCCAAAAATTAAAAGAAAAAATTTAAGTATTAGAAACAAATAAGGATGAATTAAAATTACATTTGCAATAATAATTATCTAAACTTAATGAATAAATAAACAAAAATAATTATGTATTAATTCTATTTATTAACTTAGATAGAATAATAAAGAAGTTAAGAAATTTAAAATCTACATTTACAATTATCAGCAAAAGAGAAACAAATCCACAGTTTACAAATTTAAATTGGGGAATCAAGAAATAAAACTAATTTATAAGATTAAGAAAAATTATTACAATTAGAAAATCTTAATAATTAACTTGTTGAAGAGATAAGTTTACTTGAGGATGAAGTTGCCAAATTAAAATTATAAGCTAAAGATTTTTCTAAAATTCCTTCTTTAGAAAAAGAAAATGAAAATCTATAAATGATTATTTAATAATAGAAACAGCAGATACTGGAGTAAAAATAATAAATTAAGTTATTTTAAGAAGAAATTAGTTAATTTAAAATGTAAAATTAGAATAAATCTAATACAACGTAACTTGAATAAGATATTAAATATCATGCAAGATTATTAAGTGAAATATAGGAAGAAAATGGAAAACTTTAGAATTAATAAAAAAAACTTGCTGAAGAACTTATAATTTTGAAGAAGAATAATGAAGAATTATAATAATAATAAGAAATATTATTAGAAGATCTCGAAAATAAGGATATGAAAATATAACAATAAGAAATAGATATTGATTAATTAAAATAAAATAATTTAGTATATTCAAGTTAAAATTAATAAATTATTGAATTAGAATAAAAAAGCTTAAAATTAAATTAGTAAATAGAAAGATTAAATTTGATTATAAAAGAAAAGGATGCAGAAATACTTTATTAATAAGATTTACTGTTAAAATAGAATTTAAATTCTAAAAATTTTGACCAATTAATAACATAATAAAAAGCTGAAAATAAAGAGTATTAAATTAAAAATAATTAATTCCAAAATGAAGTATCTATTTTATAAACATAAAATAAAGAAATTTAGGAATAACTTCAAAAATCTTAATTGGAGGTTGAATCATTAACAAAAATAAATGAAGAGAATCTAATTAAAATTAATTCTTTAGAGAAAGAGAAATAATTTATTAAAAATAATTTTGACCACCATTAAAAAGAAATTTAAAAAAAAGAAGCTGAAAAATTATCAAACTTTGCTTAATTAGAAAATGAAAATGCAAAACTTTATTAATAGAGAAACAAATTATAGGAAAGAATAGGAGAATTAGAAGAAGCAGCAAATTAGCAATTTATTGAAATAAATAATCTAAAAGAATAAAATGAAGAATTATTAAATAATTTGAAAACTAATTAATAGAAATAAGAAAGTTTAAATATTAATGAGCAATTATAGAATTTAAGTATAAAATGTTAGGAGTAATAAAATAATATAAATGAGAAAGTAGAATTAATCTAATAATTATAATAATAAAATAAAATTTAAGAACAGAAAAATTCATAACTAAATAAAGAAATTGAATAACAAAAAATAAATATCAAATAACTTAATGATTCTTATGCATCTAAAATTAAAGAATAATAAGAAATAATCTAAGAATTAGAATAGAATTTGTAAATATAAGAAGAAGATGCTGATTAGTAGGAATTAATTAATGAAAACGATTTGTTAAAACAGTAAAATTTAGATTTAGAAAACCAACTTAATTAATAGATTAATGATGATGCTGAAGAAATAGACAAATTGGAATAACAAATTTTTCATTATAAATAAAATAATGAAGAGTTAAAATTAAAGTTTGAAGAATTGTAATTAATGGTGGATGATTTATAAAAAAGAATTTTAGAAAAAGATGAAGAAATAAAATAAATTACATTTGAATTTTAAGAATAATAAGAGGATTCTAAAAAATAGATAGAAGATTTATATAATAATTAAAAAGAGTAGGCTATTGAATTAAGTGAAAATCAAAAAATTATTTAAGATTTAGAGACAACTATTTTTGAAAAAGATGAATAAATAAATCTTCTTTAATAGTAAGGGCCATAGAGTTAATTTATAAATAAGGATAATGAATAGCTTAATATGTAATTAAAATAATAGAAAGAATAAATTGAAGATTAAAAGTTAATAATACAATAGTTAGAATAAAAAAATAAAAATTATGAATCTTAATTAAAATAAAAAATTTTAGATCTTAGATAATTGAATTTAGAATCTTAATTAATAGAAATAAAATTAACAAAAGAAATTGATGATTTAAAAAATAAAGCATTTGAAGCAATTTAATAGAAAATGAAATATGAAAATGAATTATCGAAACTTTAATAAAATTCATAAAAACAGATTGATTTATCTAGAATAGAACCATCAAATTAGCAAAATGCATTTGAGAATGAAAATCTTAGTAATAATGAATTAGGATAGGCTCCTGAAGATGAAAATAATATGGAAGAAGAATATTCATAAACATTTGAAGAATATTAAGAAGAAATTAATGTTAAAAGTGTAGATGAATAAGATAAATAAAAAGAAGATCAAATAAATATGTTAGAAAATGAAGAAGCTTTTGAACTAGGGAATACATAAAAACAAGATGAAAGTTCTGATTTAGAATTAAAAGAATCTATTGGAGAAATAATTAAAAATTAAAAAAATTTATAAAAAAAAATAGAATAAAATTAAAAGGATTAATCTTAAATTAAATAATAAATTCAAAATGTAGATTTACTTGAACTTTAAGAACCAGAAATTAAGATAATATAAATGATTTAAGAACCTTAAATAGAATTAGATTAATAATAAGAAGTTGAAACTGCAGCAGATTAAGAAAACGATAAAGAAAAACTAAATAATAATATTTTAATATAAATTTAAGAAAATAATAATATTTAAAAAGAGAATCATATGAAAAAAGAAAATAATTAAAAAGTATTTTAGTAAAATGATATTTTGGATTTATTCGATCTTCAGGAACCTATTGAAGAGATAATTTAAGCTGAGCAATATGTTTAGTTTGAATTAGATTAAGAGAATTTTGAATAGCAAGAACCTCAAGTTTAAATTTAAGTTATAGAAGATGAAGTTTAAAAAAAATAAGTATAGAAACCTTAAGAATTTGAGGGGTAATATTTAGAAGATGAATAAGAGTTATATGATAATTAATAAATAGAATGATAGTAATTAGTTATATATAAAATGATTTTCAATCTTATTCTAAATCTAATTTTAAAGGAGAAAGTGAATTACAATCTTTTTCTGATCCACTTAGGGAAGTTGTTTTCTTAAATGAGAAACGTAATGAAACTTTCCTACTTTTTCTTTTTTTTAACTTTTCTTTAATTTTTTGATTAACCTTCAGAAAGCGCCTTTATTATAAATGTTCTTCAAAAGTTTTAGGTACTTTAATTTTTTCTTGTAAGGCATCTAAATTTTTTAATTATATTTCAGTCATTAACTCATCAAGTTCTTATTAGATAGTTTGAATAGTTTGATCTTTTAATTAAATTTATTTTTCAAGTTGAGAAATCTTTTTTCTAAATTACTATCTATCCATTAGTGACATTAAGGCTTCAGTTTCTCTCTCTTAATCATCATCTTCATTCTCCTCCTAGATAATTTTTTCCAATTAAAATTTTTAATTTGATACTGAAACTTATATTATTTATAACATTTACTTTCTTATGGACTTTTAGAACTTGAAACTGAATTCATATGTTTAAGTTAAATGGTTTAAGAAGAAATCTATTAATTTCTTCTAAAATGTCTTTCACCATGAACTTCAATAAATTAAACAGCTTCTTCATAAGCAGATTTAATCATCTGTTTTCTTTTTTAAGCTTCTTTGATCATTTTAGCTCCTTCATCTCTAAATTAATTTAAATAGATAAGTTTAAAATGCTTTTTAGATAAAACATAAAATTCACATTTTTTTGTAGTCATAATAGTATATTTTCTTTTTTCTCCATAAAACAATATATCTATTTCACCAAAATAAGATCCAGGTTTGATCATTAGGAATTTAAAATTATCATTATCTGGAATAACTAAGGCTAGTTTTCCACTTTTAACAAAATAAATTTCTTCTGCATTATCTCCAGTCATAAATAGATATTCATGAGCTCCTACTTTAAGAGGAGTTAAAACAGGTCCTATAGCAGCAATAAAAGTAGGTGCTTTATCTTAGAAATATTTGATTTCTTCTTATAATTATTTATTCATAATAAATGCTAATTCAACTCTTAACTATGGTGGCAAATCTTCTAAAAGTGTATTATAATTAAGTAATAAATTTTTTTTACCTGATTTCAATTCTTTTTTTACTTTCTAAAAGATTGCATTAGAAATATGAAATTCTTTCTTAATATTTTTTAAAGTGGAAAGTCTATGTACATAAATAGAATTTGCATGATCTAATCTATCTAAAAATGATGCTAAAGAACCAACTGCAAATGAAAATATATATACAGAAACAAGCATCCAAAAGATTGCAAATAAAAATGATGGCCATTTATAAACTTTAACATCACCATATCCGACTGTTAATATAGTTTATACTGACCAATATAATGAAACAATATATTGATCATATCTAGAAATGAAATTCTATTCCCAATCAGGATCTTCAGATAATGATGCTATGAAAAACCAAATACATCCTGTGACATGACAACTAAATACTAGTAAAACAAATGCATATAAAAATCTTTCACTTCCTATATTTATGTTAATCACTTTTATGTATTCAATATCTTTCAATTAAGCCATTCTAAATATTTTAACCATCTTTATAACTCTGTATATTTTAGGTAGTTTTGATAATCTGGCAATGTTGCTGGATTTATCTTAATCTTAAAATATGAATTGGAAGGGAAAACAAGACTACATATTACATTTCAAAATATACTATAAGATCTACTGTAAACCAACCTTTTAAATAATTGATTGCTATTAATTTTGGTTCTTTTACTAGATTATTCTCTTCATCATAATAAGAACATAAAAATGTGCATATCATATCTGCCATAAATAGAAAGTCTATTGAATTATCGAAACCGTCCCAACCAGGAAAATCACCATCTTCTATAAATGCCATCTTATATGGTGTAAATATACAAACATATCTAATAAATCGTATAATAATACATTAATACTATAAAAATTACTGCATCCCAAGTTTATTTTAATCTACTTGATTAGATTATGATCAGTTAAAACTTAAGTGGTTATGGTAATTCTATATCTTTCAAACGAGATAATCTTCTAATCTTTGATGGTTTTATTTCGCTAACAATATTTCCACCATCTTCTTCTCCACTTCCTTCTTTTGATCCTTCTTTAGATCCAAGAACTTTTTAAAAACATTCATTAGAATCCTGCTAAATCAATGCTACACTTGCCTAAGATACACGCTTTGTTTCTATTGGTTATGAATAATGAATAGATGGCTCATCTAATTATTATAAATTAATTGATTAGCTTCTTTTTCTAAACAATCATTTATTTTCTTTACTTACTGAGTTATTGTTTGGCAAAGATTGATTTCTCCGCCAAATTCCTTAAAGACATGTTATTTCTTTACATCATTGACCTTTTATCAATTGGTGAACCCAAGGGTCTTTGCATTAAAATTAATATACAATTTATTATTATATTTTAAAATGGGAAATTCAAAAGACAAACCAATAAAATAATAACAATAACAATAATAACAACAATAGCAATCACAATAACAATACCAATAATAATAATAATAATAAAAATAACAATAACAAATACAATCATAATAATAATCCAAAAAACCTAATCAAATACAAAATCAATATCATATTGCTTATACAACAACTTTTAACAATTTTTAACGAGAAAACAAAATCAATGTTTCGTAAATTCCAATTGATAATTAATATTTATCAAAGTAATTTAAGTAATTCGTCCTATCTATATTTTAAACTGATACCTTAACTTTACAACAGTTTTTAGATTTATGTGATATCTTAACAAAAGCTCCTGACTATAATTTTAAATTATTAAATAAGATGCGTCCAGTTGAATTGATGTTCAAATTGATGGGGTATTCAGAAAATGATTAAATCCCTAATGAGGTATGTTTGAGTGTGCTTTAGACTTTATTCAGCATGATAAAAAGTGGAGAAGCAGCAAAGTATTTAATGAATAGAATATATGGTAATTATAATAATTCTATTAATAGATGATAGTTAAGATTTCTCTTAGAGAATAGGATATGTATGCAATAAAATAAATACTACAATGCCTTTGATTTCTGATTATATTGAGATTTATTGGGTCAATACATTGTCATGCAACTAAATGTAAACAAAATAAATGAAACCAATAATTAAATAAAGTTCTAAAATTATTGATGATGAAATATATACCGTACTTTGTACTTAAAATCATTTCTGTACAGAAATGACTCAATTATATAATAATTAAAGCAGTGGTACAAGTTTTAACAGATTGGCATGGAATATTTTAGGATATGGAGGTCCAACTCTGATACTTATATATGTAGATAAGAAATGTATTTATTAATTATTTTTTTAGAAGATAATATCCCAATAATATTTGGTGCATATAATCCAAATGCTTGGAGTGATGGGTTGAAATTTTAAGGAGATTCTGGATGTTATCTATTTTCGATAAGTCCAAGTTTCAGGATTTTTGGTACAACTGGTAATGGATAAAATTATGCTTATTTAAATACAAAAAATATTGATAGATCTAAATATAAAGTGGGATTAGGTTTTGGAGGGAATTCAGAGCATACTTAATTTAGATTATGGATAGATGATGAGATTGAAAATAGATCAAAAGTGGGATCAGAAGATGACACTTATTAACCTGGCTATATTGCTGGAGAAATTGAAGGATAAATAGGAATTATATTTATAGAAGTTTGGGGATTAGGAGGAAAATAAGCATTGATTTAATAGGATAAATATCGATAAGAAAGAATGGAAGAGTAATTATATGAATGTAAATTGGTAGATTAGAGAGGATGAGAAAAGTAGATAAAAAATAATTCTTTAGTGGATTTGATTAAGCTATGTTTCTAGAGAAAACATTTGCTCATAGAGATTAAGTTAGAGAAGAGATTGAAAAAGATTGACTTTATTGATACTGTATTTAAATTGTTATGAAATCAACGATTCTTGAAATATTCAATTTTGTCATATTTCTATTTTTGAAGCTGCCAACTATGATCAGCTTATTATTTCTAGATTTATTATTGATATTTATAATACATAATAATTATTTGGTTTATCATAAGTTTTAAGTCCCACCTTTTCGAGTTCTTAATGTAAAGAAGATAATTTATCTTCGTCTCCTCTTACTGTAAGATTTCCTATATTTTTAGTTCTACCAGAATTGATGGGATTCTTCATTTAAATATCCGAAATCTAAATGCCCTATCTCAATAAAGATCTTTTTAAATCTAAAGCATCAAAATTGTTGTTATCTGTTTAAAACTCTACAGTAATTTATTTAGATTTATTTATTATTGGTTATGACTTACCTTATGTACAATTATAATTTTTATTTATTTATGCTCCATTTAAAATAGAAGGTGATTTATTATCTCTTTATTTTTCTTTCAATGGCTATTCAGGTGGTTAATACTCTTTAGTTTATTAATAGCCATCGAAAATATTAGACTGATGGAAATATTTGTTTTGCATTTTAAAATTCATTCTTGAAGGTGATCCAGCAGGTTTTGGAGAATTATTAATGTTTGCATTATGAACATAATTTCTAGCTTATTTAGTCATACAATTAGGATCAGTTTATTATGAATCTGCATTTCTCTTATACATGTAATTATCATTTGTAACATGATAAAAGAAATTGGGAGAGTGATCTCTTCTTGGAGATTATCCTTTATTCATGATTGCTGTTATTAATATAATTTTTTAATTTAAATATCATCCATAAAATTACTTCAATTTTTCATTATTTTATTATAATCTTGTTTCATAATTCTTTGAAGTTGGACCAAGTCTTGATTATTGAAGTGAAGAATCTATTAAAATAATTAATTAATTATTTTACGTATATTCTATTAGTAATAAGGAGCATCATAAATTGATGAATAATTCAATTTGCTTTAAGGAATTGTTTAAGATATTGGAGGATTGATCTCTTATTTCTTATTAATTTATTTGAATTATTATTAATATTATTATTATGCTATTCCTGAACTCTTTTGATTATTTCGTATTTATTATGTATAATATTCTAGTTCTTCTCCTAAATTTGCTTAATGAATTTCAACATACTCATTCAAAGCATCATCTAAAATAAAAATACAATTTTAACTAATTTTTTGAAATTTATCTTCATGTATAAAAACATCAAACATATTTTCTAAATAATGCTTTAATGCATTATCAACATCAATAGACAATCCTTCCAAATCATGATTCTTCTCTTCAGATATAACAACTAAACAAGCTTTGATGTATTTTTGCGATTATAATCCCTTCTCTTATTAATCCAATTAAGAAATAACTGAATTCAATTTATGATGCAATTCTTTTTTCTCTCCAGGATGTGCAGCCTAATTTTAAATTTTCAAACATACTTTATGTTAATGAATTCTTTTTTAAATTTCTTTTTCCAATTTATTACAATAATCATTTATCAATAAAAGAAGATTTTTTTTAACTTGTTCTATTTTCATATGAATTGATTTGATGAGTTAAGAATGTTCTCCATCTGAAAAATGATGCAATATTTCTCGTTCTCTAAAATATTAATATAAATATTACTCTTCAAATCTAACTTTAAGATTGTGAACATCATTGAATAACATTTCTCTTACACTATCAACAGTGTCAATTTCTGCGGGTGTACCTTATTGATTATGCCATTGAATATGTAATTTACAACATTCTTTACACAAAGGCTTTATTATTTTAACTATCCTTACTTCTCGACATTAACCATGTAAACAAAATAAAACGATGTCGTTGATTGGATGTTTTGGACATTTTTCATAGGTTGGAGCTAATTATAATTATTGTTGTTATTGTTGCATAACTGAAAAATTAATTAAATAATAATTTAAGTTTTCTTCAAGTCATTGTTATCAAATTTTAGGATAGATACTAATATAATGATAGATTAAGAATTTCTCTAAAATATAAGTAACTTAATTTAAATGCCTTATAAAAAATATTTATAAATCAACCAAAATTAAATCAATTAATTAAACATTATTTATTACATTTTATAATGCTAAAAAACTCATAGATTAGTTGTTAGTCCTTATAAAAATCTGGGGATTCATAATAAACTTAAGATACATACAATAGTAATTTAAAATTAAATTATTAGACTCATATAAAGGATAAAAAAAATCTGTCTTATTAATATTAAACTAAAGTTAATTAGACTAACCTTTAGAGGTTTAATCAATGTTTGTATTTCCATCATCAGCTGATGATTATAGGAATCCAATTTTCATTGACTGTCCTGCTTGTCGTTAGAAATCTGAAACCTTAGTAGCTTATTAGAATGGAAATTATACATACATTTGTGCTGTACTCTTACTTCTATTATGTTTCCCATTCGCTTTTGTTCCATTTTGCAAGAATGACTGCAAAGATGTAATATAACATTGCAGTAAATGTGCTGCCACAGTGGGATAAGCTAAATATAGGCCTTTTGGGAGTTGATACAAAAATGTTTCAACTTAATGACGACAGTGTTTATTTCATCAAAAAAGAATTACAAACTAAAATTATAATATTTTTACAGATTTAATATATTTGCAAAAATTGAATTTTTTATATAGAATGAAATACTGTTTGTTGTCATTTTAATATCATTTAGATTTGAGAGAGCCTTGATCTGCCACTTATTTAATTTTCTACTTGATTAATTCTTAATTTCCTAAATAATATTCATCTTAGTATTGCAGTCTATCATTAAATAAAAGAATCAAAGGAGTAGCAGTAGGAATATTTAATTATAGCAATTCTATTATAAGAAAGATGATTTACATTATTCAGATAGCTTTTTTATTATACACAATAAAGCTCGTAATGAATTGCTATGAGCAACTACAAGAACCTACTTATTTTAAATGACATCTTTTGCAATGCAATCTTCCCAGTATGATCTGACTCTGATTGTTACATCTTCAAGACTTTCACTTTTACCATCTACAGATGGAGGAGGTCTTTATGAATATGATCTTCTCCATTATTTGATTTATTCCTCTCCATATTTTAATGAAGCATCTTTTTTGTTCATGCCTTAAAGAATTCCATAATGTCTTTCATTTAAACGCCAACTACTTTTTTAAGAAACCCAGAGAGAATTCATGGTTTCCAACATGATATTTGCTGATTTGATGGATCTTTTTAAACATGAGGTGTGAATTGCATGGAAGTTATGATTATTTTATTATAATAAAATTGCTGCATTCTAAGCCTCCTTGATTCCTTTAGTTGATAAATCCACATCCAACCATCCACCAAATTAATTTGTTTTATTTAAGATGCTTTCTCCGTGACGAATCAAAACTAATTTCTTCATAGATTCAGTTTTTTTGTTGATAAAAATATTATTGAAGTAGAAATAAAAGAATAAATTAAAAGTTAAGTGCTATTACAAGAATGAATTAATTAATAATCTACATCGAAATTAATGAAGAAATGGACCATACATATATGGTTCAGAAATCAATATTAGTAAATGCTTATGTAAATTACAAATATAATGTATACATTTGAACAAATCAATTAATTAATCAATTTTATGTTTCTATTTTCATTTAAATAAAAATTTAATTAATTTATTGTTATTATAAATCAAGAGTCAAAACACAAAAATTGATTTTATTCCTTTAAATAATTCATTGCCTTTACAGCTTCATTATAAAAAAGTTTGACCTTCTCCATTTAGGGTATACATTCTAGTGGAATTGGAGGAGGTTAATCATTCTTTTATAATTAATAAAATTGATTAGTTGTATTACGACTATTTCTTGTAGTTCTTGATAAAACACTTGTTTAATTCATTGTCTAATTAGTAGGTTATATTGATTGAATTGTTTTTATTTTTTATCCTTTTGTTTTATATTAGGTAGAAAATAATTATTTTTTTAGTTTTCCTCTCTATGTTTAATATTCATATCTAGATTCATAACATAATGATTATGTTTTTGTAGATTTTTTAGATTGAACATTTAAATAATCATCTTTTAATTATTTAAATAAGAAATTTGTATCTGTATCTAATAAAGGGTCTATTTTCATTCTGATTGATTTTTCTTATAGATCGAAATTTAGAATATCAAGTTTCTTTTTTGCTTTACTATTGCTAAAAACTTCATGAATCAACAATTACTTTTATAATTATCTAACAGATTGAATCTTGGAAGCATTTTATTCGGATTGATTATGTTTATGATCTATTTTCTAAAATCCTTATTACAAAGGCTGTAACTTTTATAAAATTTTAGGATCTATAGGATCTGGTTATTGTTCTAAAAAAGGTTCAGTTGCTTGATGTATTCTATCTTTTAAAAGTTTATTTGCATATATATTCTTTTCTATTTCTTCAATTTTATCTCTTATATATTCATCTGGCAATTCAGTATAATGATGCGCTTCTTTCACCTTTATTTTTGGAAGTAATTGACTTTTGGCACCTTTAATCTATTCTAATATTGACTCTCTTAATTCAATTTTATATTTACATTTAATCCTAATGTTTAGTTCCTCTAAAATTAACAACTTATGGTTGATTCTTCAAAATTTATGACATTAAGAGCTTGGTTGATTTCATTTAAGTTTCAAAATCATCATTATGCTATTCAAGTTCATCTTTATTTGATAATTATTTTTCTTCAATTCTAACTTATATTTCAAATGAACTTATTCTATTGCCAACGATTATGAATTAATATTTATTAATTTCAATAATTTTCATATGATTAGTAGGTTTTAGTATTTTTTTATAAGTAGTTAACTTTCTAAAATCTTCAGTATCAAATACTCTAATTTAATTACTTGAATCATAAGTTACTAATAAGTCTTAAACAAAACCAATCGCAAGAACTGTATATTCTGGTTTACAAATTTAGATAGTTTTATCTTTAGTATAATCTACTCCATTTTCCTCAATCAACCATTTTTGAATTTTATGAGTAAAATTAATTGAATAAAAACATTATCCTGCTTCGTAGAATATAAATCTAAAAATTAATTAATTATGATATAATTACGTCTGAATAAGTAGTGAATCCTAGATAACTATTAATTACTCAAATTTTGGATTGAAAATGTGAACTCTTTTTAAATCAGTTTACAAACAAATCATTTCATTTTTTGAAAGCTCAATTATACTTTATATCTTCCCTCCTTATAACTAAATAGGCACTCTAGTTTATTAGTGAGTTTTTGGATGCCATAATATCAATTGTTAATTAGTTGTAACTGATCCCCAATGATCTAGCATTTAGAGATATTAAATTTTAGTTAATAAGTATTCACATTGTACCAATTTATTATTGTGTAATTAATCCATCTAATATTAAAAATTCAATTACAAAACTCAAAAATAAAATATGATTGTTAGACAGACTACAACAAAATTCTTTTATATTCTCTGCAAAATCGAAATCTAATATGATATAATGAGTATCATGATTATCTAGTTTTATTTCTTTATGAATTTAAAAATCAGTCCCTAGTAAATATATTTATGGTTAATTTTCTTCTAACAATGCTATTTTTTAGATCGATCTTGTATAAATTGCCTAAGAAGAAAAATATAATTTCCAGTACTTTTTATATCTCATGTTTATGATACATTGTGTCTTAAGTTTTGCTTTCTGTTATTTTATAATAGGCATGTTATATATTGTCTTGTTCATCATTCTCACTACATGACATATAATATGCAACAAATTATTCAAATGTGATTATTCCATTTTAAGCTATTTTTTCAGCCAGCTCTCTTAATCCATTTATCATATAAGGCACTTCTTCTAATTAAAATTAGATCAATTTCAAAAGTAATAACACAAATCCAGGAATTTTTATCTTATTCCCAAATTTAACGAAGTATTCTTTTATTTTATGCAATTCTAATCCATACAGTTTTGAAAGTATATAGTCTGTATTAAACATTTCTACCAATAATCTTTCATGTGCTTTCTTATGTATAGTCTATTAAAAATGATAACTTAACAAGTAATCTGCAAAATCAAGATAACGAGCTATTTTAGGATCTTCTAAAAGAGTTTGTTAGAGACTTTAATTTTTTAATTCCAAGTAATCTAAAGCTTTTTATTCATTGAACTCTTCAGAATTGATTTGTTTAAATTACATTATTTATTATAAAATATTAGAAAAAATCATCATTATTATGTCATGATTTCTCTTTGGATAACGAAATCATTTTCAGTTTCATTTTGAATAAATTTTAAGCCCTATTCATTAGCTAAATGTAACATTGTAACAAAACAAGTTTGAATAGAAACCCTACCTTTTGAAACAGGAATTTTTAAAATATTAGGGAGTATTTTATTAATCTCGTTAAATTCTAAACCTGAATTTTCTGTTGTTAACTAAATATTAATAAATATTATATACAGGTATTTTTTATTCTAAATTTTGCCAAACTTAAGTCTTTAATTCTTTTATAGGTATATTCAATTTTCCTTATAAATTATTATTATTTTTATATGCTGAGTTAAATGCCGTGTTTAATTATGGTATTTATGGTTGAGGATCTTCATCTCCTCCACCAAAATCAAAATTATCATTTTATAATATTGGTTAATCCTGTACTTCTTCATCCCATTTAGGTAATTTTGAAATTTAAAATGGTTGACATAAACTAAATTTATTAAATTTTAATAATTACTCCTATCTGTCTATTTAATATGATTTAGGTAATAGATATAATTAAGTCATCGTATCTTTGTTATTACAATAATTTTCTTTATCTTTTCTTTAAAGAATTGTTTATCTATCTAAATTTTCATCATCATCTTCAAAATCAAAATTAAACAATAAACCATTTTTCTTTTTGGTTTTATTCTTTTTTGTTTTTTCATTTAATTAACTTATAATTTTTTTCTTCGGTTATTGATTCATATCTAAAGCCATCCAAGCAACTTATTCTTTCTCATTTTCAAATACTTTTCCTGTTCCAATATTGGCTGCAGCTTATTCAAAATTTAAAATATTGAATTTATTTTAAGAGAATTTGTTTCCACTTTATTATTATTGTTCGACCAAAACATTTTACACTTAATTTCCTGAAAGAATTGATGCTTATTCATCCATAATTTCATCTGGAATATTATCAAAATTATAATCTTCTTAATGAAAGTCCATATTTATAGCTATAGGATCCATTACATTAGCAAATGAAGAATTCTACTTAATTTCAATTATATTTTGACCTTTTTAAAACATATTTTCTCTAAATTCAGTTAATTCTGGACATAATCTTAAATTATGTAAGTTCTTCATAAATGACTTATATTCTATTGTCATATTTAATATGTTACTTTCAATATTCAAAGAACTAAATACAGGTTTAATAGGCAACACATCAGAATCTAATGCAAGCATCAAATTTTCATTTATTGTTAAATTGTTCATCAATAAACCTTTTGCTCCTGCTTCATCAAATTTTGCTGATGTTTATTAAAATAAAGGATCTATTTCAAACTCTAAATCATATTTATTTGTATCTATATTTGCTTGATTTTTTTCTAATGTATTCTCTCCTCCTGTGTTTTATAATTTTTTTTTTCTCAATTATTCTTGTTCATATTCTTATTATTCTTCTTAATTTTATTTATCATTTATCTAAGTTCTATGTAAACCTCCAAGAACTTTAAATGTATTTTAATGAACTAAATCTACTCTAAATCCATAAATTTTTGATCCTGCATCTAATGAAGCGGAAATATGTTTCCAAGCATCTCCTTATTCAATTTCTAAAAAATGAACATTTACTTACATTTAAATGCATTTAGATCTTTAATATTGATCATAGGAATCTCAAATGAATTTTTTTCATTAACTCTCTATTTTCATAATATTATTATTACATTCTTTTAGATTAACCCTAATACAAAACGTGATTATTCATCTGGGTCATCTCTATTCTTGAGTTCTCCTTCATCCTCACTTGAACTATAATCTCCTTCTTTTATAGAAATTTGTTAAAATTTTGGATTCTGAGATTATTTCAGCTAATGAAAACTATGAATGTCATTCTCTTCATGTGTTGCTAAATCATCCACTCCACTTGGCATTTCTTTTTTCTTTTTTAAATACTGAGATTTGGCTGAAACTTGTTTATTCTTTTTCATTATTTTAATAATATATCAATCTATTTTGGCTCCAAACAAAGTATATTAATGAAATAAATTTAAGAAGCTTTTTTTATTTAAAATTATTAAATTATTATCATACATAAAATTTTTTACTTCTTAATATTTTTTTGATTCAATCTAAATATAAATAATTTTGTTTTTCATTTGATTTAACAAAATTTCCATTATATTGCTTTTCAATTATTGGTACTTCAAACCAGAATTCTCGTTGATCTTATTTTCTTTCTTAGACCTACCTTTTCCTCTCTGTTTGCTTTTCTAATACTTATTTATGAAACTATTTAGTAATACCTTAAAATCAAATTATGATTTTATTCCTTATTTCACATCTAGACAATATACTGCTAAAACAAACCAGACACCAGTTATTGATTCATAGTTTTAATGTTTCTATATGTATTTATTATAGCATAGTAGAATAATTTTAACTTGAAACCTATGCTTAAGGAATTTATAATTTTTATATATTATTTTTACCTATATATTATTATATATAGTTCTTGTGCTTTTCAAAATATTGTTTATAATATACATAAATATTTTCAATTCTAATTTTTTAGACATTCTCTTTATACACCTTTGTTTTTCATAAAATTTTCACTTATTACACATAAATTGGTTAGATTATCAGGTTTTTATCCCACCATTAAGGCGTCATCAATTTTATTCTTATATTTTTTCTTCGTGAGACTGAATGTATGTAATTAAAAATAATTAATTATCAATAATAATGGAAGAGAATCTTTTGAATATAGATGGACCTCTAAACAAATCTGAAATTAATTTAATTGACTAATCCAAACTTTCAATCGATCAAACTAAAGAATAAACAATAAAAGCGCTATCTATAACTAATTCTGAAGAACCAAAAAATGATTGCGATTTTTGCTTCAATGGAAAAAACTTTTGCTTTGGTCGTTTCATATTATTAGCATGCTGTTTCGTGGTCCTTCTCTCTGCTTTTCTATTATGTTATAGAGATCCGTTTAAAACTTCAAACTTTCCATCAATTTTCTTGCTTATTCTAGATGCAATATGTTTTATCCTAATTTTTAGATTTTCTTGGCACTATACTAAAAAACAAAAGAACATTTAGCGAGAGAGGCTGTTACCAGATTGATGAGCTAAATTGTTATTATTTAAATAAACATAAACATATATTATTATAATTCAATTATTACAGCCAAAGTAATGTAAGGCTTAAATACTTTTAGATTTTCAAGAATTCTTCTTCTTAGAGATAAAACAATAACAATAAAGAAATCTCAAACAATTATTCTTTTTGGTTATAGGAAAAAATTCTAATTCATCAATCAAATAACAATTTTCGATCATTATCATATACTATGAAGAAAACTTACAGCGATTGTTTTTTCAAAAACAAAATTTTATATTCTAAATTATTTTGAAAATTTGATTTTTGCTAAGATTTCAATCTTTATTTTTAGATTCTTAACTCAAATGTCAAGTTTAAATTGCTAAATCAACTAATATTGATCAATTATCTTGTAAATTATGCCAAATTAAGTATCAAAATTTTATGTTAAATAATTAAGTATAATCTAACAAAGAAATAAATCTTCACAAACAAATCACCAGTGTTTTTTCTTATGATATCCGAATTGATATTGTAATGCATATTGAAGTTAATATCAAAATAGCAAAAATAAAAGAAAGGTTTTCCACTAAAGACATTATTAATTTTTTCAACTTAAAATGAGGAAATCTTTAAAATTTCAAAGTTGTTTAGTGATTACTTTTTATTTTAAATAATCAATATTTTAATTTTAATTCTAAAAAAAATAGAGTGCTATTGTCGTTTTAACACTTAAATTTTCCTCCATAGATTCTCTTTGATATTTATTGTATTTTAATAATAGTAATTAATTATAAATAATGGAAGATAATTTTTTGAAAATTTAAAAGGAGCCAGATAATGGAACAGAAATTAAGATTATTGAATCATCTCAACTATCTATTGATCAACCTTAAAAATAACAATACGCATTATCAATAATTAATAATGAAAAACCAAAAAAAAAATGTTATCTTTGTAGAGATGGAGAAAACTTTTGCTGGGGAGGCTTTCTATTAACTATTCCTGTGCTATTGTTTTCAGTGTATATTTTTATTCATTTTCGATATTGCTGGCTGACAATTTATTTAACTATTCTTTGGTTTTTTCCAATAATAGTTAGTTTAATCTTAGTGTATATTTTTTCTTGGCACAATACTGAAAAAAAAAAGAACATTTTGAGAGAAAGGCTTTTGCCTAATTGAAAATATATTTAATATTTAAAATTGCCTTAATTTACAATATATATTTATAAAATTTGTACAATCTATTAATCTAAATATTGTAACAATCTTTGAATGAGGTATTGATATGAATATGATCACATAAATATATGAAGAAATTGAGAATGAAGCCTAAATAACCTTATTTTTTAGACAGTTGGTTTAAAGTATTAATTATTTAATTATTGCCATTGCAATTTTATGAATACCAAATCTAACAAAAAGTTCTATTCAAATAAAAATTTCTATTGACCTAAGTATTTCCTTTACAACTATTTTTTAAAGAATATGAAAATATTTAATACTATAATATGATAATCAATAACAGAGAATTCGTTTTTTTTGGTAGAAAATTTTATATTAAAAACTTTAAAATTTAATTTTAAATATTCTGTTATGAAAAAAATTAATGGGAGTGGAGAGAAATAGTTAAAGAATGTTGATGATAATTCAACATAAGTGAGTAATTATTGTTTCAAGTGTAATAGATTATCCTTTACCACTTGAATTTGATGGGAAAAAAAACCCTCCTAATTATCTTTAGAGCAAAAACAAAGAAAATTCAATAAAGACAAGTATTAATTTTTTAAAATTTAGTCGAGAAAAATTAATAGAATAATAAACCTGTAAAAGTTAGGATTGATCGTCCTTTGGAAGGCAAACGATTTTTAAATAAAGATAAAAATACTCAATAAATATTTTTAAAAGTTAGAAGTGATAGTGTGAGTGAAAATAGTAGCTGTGAATTAGGGAATTCAAATTCAGATTGTGATTGTGTAAAAAAATTGATTCCTAAGAAAAATATTGAAATAAAGATGTATTATTAAATAATTTTAATTTAATAAGAAATAGAAAAAGAAAAAAGAAGAGTGATACAACACCATTTTATGATTAAATTATATACCATGATCCAAGAATGAGAAGAATAAATTTTGTATATAGTTCTTCTGGATCATCAGATTCTGATTATGAAAGAGTTATAATAAAGAAAGAAGAAATACCTGAAAAAAAATATAAAGATAAACCACAAAAAAAAAAAGATTAAAATGAAAAAGAAATACCATTACCTGAGCACATTCTCGAATGTCCAATTCAACCTCTACCAGTTCCAAAAGTAGAAAAATTACCTGAAGTAAAAAAATAAAAAGAGCAAAAACCTATCAAATAGCCTAAAATAGAGAAATATCGTCCTAAACCACCAGAAGAAGAATGGGCGAAATATGAAACACCTAATATAGTACATCCTTATTAATTAAAACATCCAAAAAAACCCTAAGAAAAATAGAAGAGTGAGAAACCAATTTATGGAAAACAAAGGGAAAGGGTTGAATTTAAAGTGCCAAAGGTGAAATTATATTTTAAGATTAGGGTCAAGAGGAAGTAAAAGATTTTATTCCAAAAGCACTTCCAACATAAACTGCAGCACCATTAAAGGATAAAGAAAAGAAGAATAATAAAAAGAAATAGAATAAATCATCATCAGGCTCAAGTTATTGTTATGAATGTGAATGTTTAAGTGAAGCATGTGATTGTTGAATATACTTTTAATAATAATTTTATAATTGTGTATTTCAGTTTTATTTCTTATATCAATATTTTTTTAAATGAATCAATTCTTTTAGACATACTATTGAATCTTCAATACATTTTGATGATTCTTTCATTCCTCCTAACATATAAAAGCTAAGAAACCCATGAGACATGCCTTCATATACAATAATTTTCACATTTCTTTAATTTTTAATTAAAGAATGGGCTAATCTATGTGTATGATCTAGTAATGGATCTTTTGAGCCAACCAAAATTCTAACTGGAGGAAATTTAGATATTATCTTAAATGTACAGTAAGTTTTACTTCATCACTAAAATGATTGGGACTTCTAAAAGGATCAAATTCATAACTTGCAGGATGATTTGTATAAGCATCAATACAAATATCCATTAATGTATGATTTAAAAGGAAATCATCTAGTCCATGCATATGGCTTGGAGAATATTTCATTTTTAAATCAAGTACAGGGTAAGATAATAAAAGTCCGTCAGGTACTTTAATATCAAATTTAATAGCTAATCCAGTTAATGCACAACAGAGGTTGCCTCCAGCTGAATCACCAGCTAAAATTATTTTCTTTGGCTTTATATTAAAGTGATATTGTAGATGATTTAAGATCCAATGATAAGCTTGCCAGCAATCATCAACTGCTTAAGGATATCGATATTTTGGAGCTAAACTATAATCAACAGAAAAAATAGGAATTCCTAATTAATTAGCCCATCTAATTTAAAGAAAGTGATTACTCTCTGGTGTAATTTTAATGACTTGATGATGACATTGAGATAAAACCTCCACCATGGAAATGAATAATGATAGTTTCATATGTCTCATAATTCAAAGTTTCATTTGTAAATTGAGATAAAAAACTTTATTAAAATTCGTTAATTTTCACTAAAGATTTTGAACAGAGTATTCTTATTCTTAACTTGGTTTTATCTTTTGCCATTATTGATTTATGCTGTTTGACATCGTAATGTATAGATTTATTAACATATTCCAAAGGTTCTTTAGTAATTGTATTTAAAATTCCTTATTCGAATTATTTATTCATTTATTTTAAAGTTATAGGCGAAACAACTGGATCAATATAGATTTTTATATTATGCTTTATTGATGTGATTCCAAATTCAATTAGATGTTTTATACCAGGTTTTTCAACCATACCCATAACACTCATCGCACTCTCTACTTACATATCACACATGTGTTCCATTGCTCTTAATTTTGCTCTCCCATCTAATACAAAATACCAAATTGATGAAGAAATAAATATTATGTCTCTCATAAAAGAATTCTTAACTTTTGATTTCTTTAAAAAGATAGCATGTCCTATTCTTATTGATTTCATAAAATTGTAATATGATTTAGATATTTATTCTGAGTTTTAACTTAGTTTTGTATATATTGATATTGCCTTAATTTCTCTCCAAAAAATATGATTTTTATTTAAACAAATTATGTCTTATTAATTCATGTCAATAGCTGATGCAAATATTCTAACTAAAATATTAAGATGAGAGTTATAAACCACTAATTTATCTTCTAAAGCTTGAGAATCATGATTAGTAAGATAATGATGGCTTATTTTAATGATCTATTTAAGTGTATCTTTAGTAAAAACATGATTCATGTGTTGGAGCCCAAAAAAATTAATATCTTTTTTATTTTTAGCTTTAATTCGAAATTCTTCATTATCCAAATATTTTTTTAACAATTCTTAAAATATTTAATTTTGTTCTTCTAAACAATCTCCTAATATTAGTATTACAATTTCATATAAATCTTTTAGAACAGTTAAAAAATCAACAGCATATTATATTCTGTCAATTGTGCATTTGCTTTTGATGTATTTTTAGATTAAATTTTTCATAAGTTGTATGAGGTCCTGCAATGAATTTCTAACTATGATAGAAAGATATAATACTCAATGTGCAATTCAATTTAAAATCCTCAATAGTAAGTTAAGAATGACTATCCACCACCATTATTTATTCAAATAATGAATCTACATGACCTAATAAATTATCTTCTTCACAAATGAGGTGTGCTTTTTATTTAGGAAAAACAGCTGCTAAAATTTCCTAGTCTAATGATTCAAAATTAATAGAAACTTATTCCATTTTTAATAATTAAATTATTCTGAATATATGAATTTCTTCAAAAATATGAGATTAACACACAAGCAATATCATTATTATTATATTTTATCCAAATCCAGACCATATCCAGGTTTCAGTGAATTAACGTTAATCTTTTAATATCCATCTTTCAAACTATTATTTTTATTAAATGTTTAGTGGGACAATAGAAATATTTGTATATTTAAAAGAAATAAGAAACATTGATCTTTTTCAATAAGGTGTTTATCAACTTAAGATTTGCATTTATAAGAAAAACGAGAGTTAATTAGAAGTTCTGTAAGCTTAACCATACATGCTTGTTGAGTAAAAAAGAATTATAAATAAATAAACAGCAGACACATATGTCTAATCTTCAAAATTGGTTGATACAAGTTTTTACAGTAAAGCTTTTATTATTAAATATTGCGATTAAATTGTAGAGTTAAATGAAGGATGTGTATTTAGAATTGAAATTTAAGCATATCCAGAAATGAACCTTAATGAATTATATTGTATAATTGAACTTCATTTTTGTGAACTAAGTACAATAACATAAGAAGATTTTAAGCCAGTATTATTCATTTTGAATAATTAGGATCGATTGTAGAATTATCAAAAATGTGTAGCAAAATTTTCGAGCAAATTACATAATGTTAAATTTATAAAAGAATTTGTTCCTTGCGTATTTAATGAATCTCACTTTTGTTTATTAAAATTCAGTCTTCACTCAGTTTTAGTAGATTTTAAATATCATTAATAAAACGATATATCCATAAGATAATTCATGAATAAAATAACAAATCAATGTAAATGATCAAATTAGCAATTAGTTTCTCCCCACCTATTAACTGGATTTTACTAGCATTATAATAAGATGCTTATGCAAACAAGTGAATTACTAGCGAATTATTATTAAGCTAGAGTGAAACAATGTATATCAGATGAATAAATTTAAAATAAATACAGTAAGTTTTCTTATATAAATTATAAATCGCTAAATTATAAACCTTTCTCAGAATATGCATCTAAGATAAATGATGTTAAAGGTAATCCTTAATTGCAATAAGAAATTTGTAATTAAATATTTTTGGAAATTAAACACCTTTCATCATAAATCTTTGTGGCTTGGTATTAATTTATAGACGCTTACAATTTTATGGCTTGTGCTTTAACAAACAAATTAGAATAAGAATATTTATAGAAAATAAAAGAGAGATGGGGTGAAAGTATCTTCTAGCATATTTAAACGGTAGATGATCTTTCCTTTTAAGATTCTTAATCAGGAAAGAACCATAAATAAATGGCTTAAGAATATAGAAATAATAATTATTACAAACAATTAGAGCCTTTAAATATTGAAGATCTTGATTTATTCCCAGAAGCGAAAATACATCCAATAGTTTTTAGGGACGTTTCTTAGAAGTAATAAATTTAACGCAAGTAAATTAAAGGCTTACATTTATTTGTATTTGTTCATGGCTATTAAGGAAATTCATATGATTTAAGATTATGGAGAAATAACATTTCTGTTAGATATCCTGATCATCTAACTTTACTCTCTAAGTGTAACTAAGAAAATACAGAATAAGATATTATGGCTATGGGAGAAAAGCTAGCTCTAGAAGTTAAACTTTGGATTAAAGAATGGTGTCCAAAAGATAATTTTTCTAAGCTTTCTTTTATCGGTCATTCTCTTGGTGGTTTGATTATTAGAGCTTCTATGCCATACTTAATAAAGTATAAAGATAAAATGTATACCTATTTATCTTTGGCTACTCCCCATTTGGGTTATTCATTATCATCTAGTAAAATAGTAGATACTGGTTTATGGGTCATTCGTAAATGGAAAAAATGCATATGTCTGAACCAGTTAACATTAAATGATTCTACTAATATTTAAGACACTTGTCTTTATAAATTATCTCAATTAGAAGGTTTAGGCTGGTTTAACAATATTGCTTTGATGAGCTCTTATCAAGATACTTATAGTCCATTTGAGTCAGCTCGGATTTAAAGACCTAAAGGAAATGGCAGAGATGTTATAATCACCAATAAAATGATCGATAATCTGATGGAAACTATTTAAAATAGAAAAATAGAAAGATTGGATGTCAATTATGAATAATCTGGAAAGTAATTTGATTGTTTAACTCCTATAGATCCTTAGATGTTATGATTGGTAGAGCTGCTCATATTGCTTTCCTAGAAAACAGTGCTTTGATAAAACTATCTGTTTACAGCTTTGATGAGTTATTTGAATGATTATTCTATAATCTTTATTTGTTATAATACTCATTTAGAATAATCATTATTTTAAATTTCTACTAATCCTCAAAATAAATTATGTTAAATTAAATTAAATAAATTTATCGAATAATTATTATAATTATGTAAGAAGTATATTTATGTGCCTTATTTGAAAATAATTCAATACCTGAATTGAAGAGCTTTTTTATTCATTTTAAGAGAGCTAATCCCAGAGTGAAAAAAGTTTACTTTAGAATCACCTTAACTGATATGGTTTTATACTGCAAAGAATCAATTTCTTCTTGCTACTATATTAGTAAAATTAGACTATATTTTAGATAATAATCAAGTTATCGAAGAGTTAAAATTGGGCAATTAGCAATGCAACAATAAATACATTATTGTTCAATTCTAAGATTTTGACACTGTAGTTGGTGCAGTCAATAAAATTGCTTCGAATCCAAAAGATGTCAGAATTTATTTAGAGTAAATTGAAGAGCAAATATATTTGACTGTATATAATTTAAATTATATAAGTGGAATATCACTTAATAAGATGATACAAGCATAATTAAACAGACATACATCGAATTCATTGAAGAACTTGAAATTGTTCAATTAGAATTATAGCCTATGATAATTATGCCTACATATTTATTGAATTAGTAAAAACTAATTTAATTATAGAATGGCGACTATTGCTAAAAATTATGATGCTCCTTTGAGATTAAACTTTTATAAACAATAAGGCTTATATTCAGTCGAAATTATTGTATAATTAGAAAACGATGTGCCCTCATTTTCTACACTTTTTTTGGCATCTTAACACCAAGCTGAAAATTTAAAACAGATTGATGTATTAAAACATTAATTTGAATTAGAGCTTCTTTTAAATTTCTAAAAACTATACCCAATAGTTTATTGACATAACATCGATTGAAGAAAATATAGTTATTACTTTAGATTAATCGCCTACAAGCCCATTAGTTTTAAACTACTTATCAGGCAGAGCTGTGGAAATGGGAATAGTCAAACAATTCATAATATAACGAATGTACAGTTGATAATAAATGTTTGTTTAATTAAGATGTATTAAAAAGAGATTCAAGAAATCAAACTGTCTGATTATTTTAATTTTAGGGAAGTAAAATATCTTTTATACTAAGTCTTAGTCGTATTAATGAACATAGACTTAGTTAGATCTTCATCTGTGTGATTTTGTTCTTATTGTTAGATCATTTATTAAAGTTGTAACATTCCTTTTTTATCAATTTCTATATTCTATTAAATAACAAAGGATGGTTGCTTGATGATGTAGGGGATAATTTTCCATTTTGTAATTTTTTCCACATACAGGATGTTTTTCAAAATCATTGTGATTAACCAAACTAAAATAATGCTAATAATGCAACAAATAACAATAAAAAGAATAATGAAAACCTTAGAATTGAGAAAGTTTTATCTATTTTTGGTTTCCTTGATTGAGGTTCTAAATTTTATTTATTAAATTTACAATCTTATTGATAGTAAAATAACAATTACTATCAGCACCAGTTAAAAAATCACTAAACAAAATAATGGTATCTTGTCCTTACTTTATTACCAGCCCAATTTCTATTTAATAAATGAAAAGTTATTTACAGGAAGAAAGATAAAGTTTCCCTCAATAATCATGTTGAATTAAACTTGGCATGAAGAACATTTTGCTCCTCTTATTTTGTAATTATATTCATCTAAAATTTATTGTTTTAAACATTCTTCATGGACATAATATCTTGACCTCACACATTCACATGCCTTAATCAAAGGACTCTCTTAAGAATCTCCATCTCCACAAATTCTGCAAGAATTATATTAAGTAAAAAAGGTTTCTTATTTCATATTACAAATTTACTTTGATTCTTTTTTTGTTTTTCTTATGGCTATTTATTTTAATTGTTTTGACATCTAAATGTTATCAATTTTTAATCATTTTCTAAGTTATCAGATCGTGAAACTAATACTTCTGATTGAGTAGTTTAATTAGTTTAATTGATTTAAGTTTATTGAATTGGTAAATCAGGTGCTATTTGATTTTATCTGACTTTCTAATGCTCTCTTTATTAATTCTATGAACTTAAGATGTATAAGGATTAAATTTACATCCCAACTCTCCTTTATTTATACTTCGATTAAATTACTTTACTAATATCTAAGTTTTCAAGATCATTCAAATTATTCTCATCTTAATCCTCATAATCATTGTTCATTTATTTAATATTTTACTATAAATTATTAAAAAATCATATTTTCATTCAATACAAAATATATAAAAAATAAATAGTATGTGAGACAGTTTTAATAAAAATTAAAATAATGTTTTTACACGAATTTTAATCAGGATCATATTTCTAAGTTTTCGATCCAAAGGAAGTAGAAACTAAAGGAAGCAAAGAAAAGACAGATCTATATAAAAAGTTATTTAAAATCAATTACCCGTTAAAAAGTTCAAGGTTTTTTGATAAAGAAATGAAAGGTAATTGAATTCTAATTTCAGGATTTATTTACGAATTTTTGGGTGATTCAACAAGAATTTAATTTCCAAAATAAGGTGAACTAGGCTTGATTCAATAATTTTTGGTAGTGTAGGTGAATATAGATCTTGGATTTGTTTGGACATTAGAATTAGATGTTACAGATACAACAAAAACAAAGAGAAGAATAGTATTAACAGATAGTGTAAAAAGTTTAGAAAATCATCACTTTCATATCAAATCTCCAATTGATCATATTAAAAGAGGATAATGGCTTAATTTATGCATAGATGTTTGGAGTTTTATGGAAGCATTTAAAGGATGTACATTTCGATCAATAGATTAAATTATTATTGGCTCACCATGTAAATTAAGGAAAATCTACATTATGAAAAATCCTATTCAGGATAGTGAAATTGATATTACAATCACATAAGGTTTTGCAACAGTTCCAAAATAAGTTAATTTTCCTGAAACTTTTCCTTATTCAAACTAATTAGTTACCTTTAGATTATTGAATTATAATGAGTTTGCTTTAAGTTCTTAAATTTAATGCTTACCTAAAAATCCAGATAAGTATAATATGAATATTTATAGATATGTTTATGATGTAAAGTAGCCAATAGAAGAAAAATAAAAGATTGGAAAATATAAATACAGCAAGCCAGAATCATCTATTAAAACTAAGTAAACCTAGAATCAATATTAATCATAAAATTTTTAGAAATATGAAAATATTGATTTGGATGATAAATTGTAATCCTCTTAGAAATCTGCTGATTATGAATCAGAAGGCAAAGAAAATCCATCCTATTTTGAAGAAGTACCATAAGATTAAAATGATAACGAATAATTGGAAGATTATCTAGAGGATCTATATGATTAAGAAGAAGAGTATCTAAAATTAGTGTATGATCCCACATTAAAATGTTTTTATGATCCTTAAACTAATGAATATTATCAATTAAATGATTAGGAATGAATATTTTTTTACAATCTTCTCTTTTTTTAAAAAGAATTATAATTAGAATATATTTCTAATATAATAGAAATAATCACTTTATAATTCATTCAAATTCAATTTCACATTTAAGTAAAAAAATTTTTATTACTCTCCTTTTTATTAATGAATTTAATTAAGTCCATGTTTTTGAATTATTATTTAAAAAAATCTAATTATTCTATTACATTGTAATTCTATTAAGCTGTTTGAAAAGCAAATATTAGAAAAAGAGTTTGTAAAAATTAAATACAAATTAAATGAACTAAAACATTAAAATCGCTTTACTTTATTCAATTAAAACAGATAATGCACAAGATTTTTAAATTGATAAAATAGATTTTTATAATAAGGATACACAATTGTTATATGATAATAAAGAAGATGAAATACTATAAGTACAAGGTTTATTCGGTAGTCAGTAAGAAGTATAAAAAGAGGTCGAATTGGAAATAGGAAAATAATTAGACCTATCATCTTATTTAAATTATTCTGATAAAGGAAATCTTATAGCAATCAAACACAATACTGTGATGATTTTTTGTTTAATTCTTCCCGATAATTTTTTTATAACAAAACCAATATCAGAAAAAGCTACCGAAATCGTTCTTTTTAGAATATTACATGATTTTACTGATAATATTAAAATGTGTTTCAACGAAATCGTTTTTAAGGATTGGTATCAAGAAAACATGATTCCCTTTAGTTCATAAATAATGAAAAGAAATGATTATGATTTTAAGGAGGAAACTAATAAATAAATAGAAACTTATGATTGTAAATGGATATTAATAAATTATAAAATATTAGAAAATTATATCAACTCATAGTCACTGTCACCTTAATTAACTATTAAAGAATAACTTAAATTTGATTAGATTGATGATTAAAACTTTGATACTTCTTATGATGATTTCTTAAATGATTTGACTAAATAAATATTAAATACTCAAAATAAGCAAATATCTTCTTTGTGCAATCTATTTAAGAAAGAATATTAAACTTTATAATTGTAATAATAGCTTAACTCAATATCGAACACTCTATTTGAAGAAATTCTAAATATAAAAGATGATTTCGTAAAAGATTTGTTAAAAAAGATTAAAAGATTTTGGTAAATAGGACCATTGAACGAAGAGTAAAATCAAAAAATATTAATTGAAACATAATTATCAGATATTCTTTAGACTTTGTTAATAAAAAACAATATATTTATAATTTAAAACAATGATTTTTAACATAAATATGAAAACGACTTTTTTGAAGACGTAAAATAATTTATCAAAAAAATTGAAAAAACATTAAAAAATGTAAAATCCTAATTTTTAAATTAAAAAAAATAAATAAAAGAAGATCTTAAGAAATAGACATATTATCGTATTTAAAAGATAAATTTTGAGTTTTGTCGATGTCAATAAGAACAAGAAAAAATTAAAAATATTGTATAGTTAGACGATGAATAAGAAATAATTATAAATAATAGTTGTCTAGAGCTTCCATAAGGCAAATTCACGATTAAAGAAGTATTTTAAACCAAAGAAAAAGCTAATATCTATATTATAAATGTTATAGATTGCCATAATTCATCTAAATGCAAGAATTATATATATTTCCATTTAAACAAAGCACCAAAAATAAAATTAATTAAATAATTCGATTTTACTTGTGTGAATGAGGCTGTTTATTTTCATGATTATAATAGAGGATATTTGTACATTTTTAATTTTAAAAAATATTATGTGCAATAATTAATTATAACAGCTCTTGGAATAATTTTGAACGAAAATTGCTTTTGCTATTAATAGGAATCAAATCATGAATTTATTGTTTCTTAGGCAGCGTATCTTAATAATTGCAACCAATTTATAGTTCTATCAAAGGACGGTGTAGTATATAAATAATAAGATTCAGGAAAATATTTTGAGAAAGTTTACTGTATTATTAAAGATTAAAAAAATCAAAAATAGACAAAATTCATACCAAGCATCCAACCTGATTAAAATTATAATTAATTACTTACTTGCCCAAGTGGAAAATACTTTTATCTTGCCAATTCTTATTGTTGTGATAGATATGATTAAAATTGTTTGAGAATTGATTGTATATAAATAGAAGGGACTATTAAAATATTTTATGACTGCCATGATGTTATAATTTTAACTCAAATTGATAAATAAATTGAATCTAGAAAAGCTAAAGTTATAAGTAATTTAGTGGCTAACAAAAAATTTAATATGTTATAAATTGATAAAAATAAAGTAATCGGAAATCCTGGATTAGATATAGCAAAAGGATCTTTCAGCAAATTTGGTCCAAACTCTTAATTCTTATTAAAAGAAAAGAAAAGAAATATTTAACTATACTTTAATCAAAAATATTCTGAAATAGCGGAACGTTATTTAGACAAACTGAATGTAAGCGAAATCATACTAAGTTTTACAAATATTTAAATGACACAATCTAAAAGTGATTAAATAAAAAATATTATTTTTTCAAGAAGTCCGTTGTAATTATGTACAATTGAAAATAGCAATTTAATCCCTCTAAATGGTGGATTTAGAGAAAAAACAGAAGTTTAAAAGATCATTAGTGTAGAACAAAAGGTAAAATAATTACATTTAGGATTTTTGGAAGATCATTTATCAAATATAAATAATAAAATATTTGTTGTTGGAATTTTAGGTAAATAATCATCAGGCAAAAGTTATTTATTGAATAGAGTTTTTGGTACTAGATTTTCAGTATCATCAGCAAGATGTACAGATGGTGTATGGGGAAGTATTGCTTATGTTGAAGATTAAATATTTTTAATTTTAGATTGTGAAGGATTATTTAATGGAGCTAGAACTGAAAAAGAAGAAATTAAAATGTTGGCATTTCTAACTGCTATAAGTGATATTACAATATTAAATTCCGATTTAACTTTTAGTCGTCATCTTAATGATCTCTTTGATAATTTAGTTGAAGCATCTAAACAATTAAATGATGAAAAACTGTTTAAAGGATTTCTATATTTTGTCTTAAGAGATGTAAGTTCTTAAGATAATTAAGGTGCAGAGACAGAATTATTAAAGAATCTTGAAAGATTAAAGGTAGGGGGATCAGAAGAAATAATATTTTTGAATAAATTATTTAACAATAAACTTGCAGTAGAGAAATTATGTAATAACGAAAATAAATTATTTGATCAATAACTCATTAATGTAAGAACATACTTTTTAGAGTAATCCGCAAAATCTAATCATTGGGAAAATGGAACTGAATTGACAAAAATGATCAAAATTCTTTTATGTTAATTAGAATTATCTGATAATACAAACGCAAGTTTAGTGAATTTGTAAATAAGTATAGAAAGAATTTTTGAAGAAAGTACAAAATAATGGTATGAGTACTCATTAAATTAAGCAAAAGATGATAAGTTAAAGTTATCTTAGAGCAATTATTAATTTAAAAAATATGAAGAATATGAGCATATCTCATAAAATACATCAATCCTCCTTGAGTAACTTTATAAAGATCTAAAAATGCAAGATTCCATCTAAAATCATAATTAGAATGTAATTGAAGCAAATTTCTAGTTTCAATTATTGAACAAAGAAAAAATTAAATTTTATAAAAAACACAATTAGAAGTTGACCTTATTAGTAATTAAGAAGTTTAAGGAATGATCAAAAATAAAATGTAATTCCTTCAGAATTTCTTAATAGACTAAATTCAATAGTATGAATTTTGTTAAGAAAAATGTAAAGAATGCCATTTATACTGCAAACATTTTAAAAATCATATCGAGATATCTTAAAAATATAGAGAAAAGCTAAATTATAGTGAAGATTAATTAAATTAAAAAACAAGTTCAAAAATCAAAAATACAGAAGATGAATTATAGAAAAGAAAAACAATAAGCGAAATTGAAGATTAAAAAAAAGATGCTGAATAGACTTTAGAAAAATTGCAAGTTTTAAATAAAATATTCAACATTTAAATTAAATTAAAGGAAGAAATGAATTAAATAATGAACTATGATTTTTATGACAAAGAGAGAAAATGCATCAATTTATAAGTACTTGGTCTGCCTCCATAAGATAAGGAAAAAAGTGATAAGGGTAATTTAAATAATGAATAAATAGAATTATTATAAATCTAATTTTCTAATTAAATTGAAGATGCTGAATAAAATAAAAAAAGTAATACCTTAATTAAGGAATCTAAAAATATTTAATTATAACAACATAATAAAAATTTAATTTTAATTGAAAATAGTTAATATTAATCTTAAGAGAATATCAAAAATATGAGGGCTGAAAGGGATGGAGTTAAATTGAAAAAAGATGAAGTTAATAAAAATTTAAGCAGCCTATAAAATCAAATCCAAGAAATTAACATTTCTGATGATATTCTTGATATAAATTAATTAAAATTAAATATTGATTAGGAAAATGAAAATTTGGAGGAAATAAAAAACAAAATTGTATAATTTTAAGAGAATAAAAAATAAAAAATACTAGAATTAGAGGTGTTTTAAAAATAAGAATAAAGAGATTTAAAACTAAATTTAGATTATGAATATTAATTAACAGATGAGTATTTTGGATAAATAGACTAGTTAGAAAATGAAATCAAGAGTCTTAAGAAGAAAAAAAATAATTTGGAAGAACTCAAGTAAGAATTAAAAGAAGAACAAGACAAAAAATTTAGATAAAGCAAAACAAAAATTGAAGAATTAACTAAAAAATTAAAAGAATAAAGTACTGAAGAAATAGATTATTAAATAAAAGAACTATAGATTAAAAAACTATAAATTTATGAAGAAAACTAAAGTAAAATAAATGAAGAAAATTATGAGATATATAAAATATGTAAAGAAGAGTTAAGCAGTGAAAGAGAAAATTTATAAGAAGATGGAGATTTAGGCTTAGAAAAAGAATTAATTGAATTATTTAAAAAAAAAAAGTAAGAATGCTTAGATAAAATTTTATTTGAAATTTAATCTTTTGAATCATAGACTTAAGAAATTGAAAATAAAATAATTAACTTTAGTCAATCAGTCAAAAAAATAAACAAAAAAAAATCTCTTCAAGATACATATTAAATATGTTAATCTGATTTTAATAATTTAGAAAAATAGTTGTAAGAAATTGAGAATAAATTATTAAAAAATTAAGATGAATTTGAAAATAATAAAATATATTTGGAAGCCTAAAGAAAACTACAAGAAAGTATAAGCTAGGAAATAGCGTAATTTGAAAAGTAAGAAATTGAAATAGATTAATAGATTAAGAAATTAAATATTAGATTAGATTAATTAAAAGGGTTTGAATAACATTAAAAAATGTTCATAATTGAAACAAGCACTTTGGAAAATTTGTAATTAAAGCTGAAATAATGGGATTAATTTGAATCTTATAATATTAAAAATTAAGAAGAGATTAAGAATTTAATCAAAAACCTAGATAAGAAAATTAATGATCTTTCAACTGAGAGTGAGTTATTAACAATTGAACTCAGTAAATTTAATCTATTTGAAATGAATAAAGAGAAATTAGACAAAATAAAGAATTCTTTAAAATAATTAGATGAATAAAAGTTGTAAGTACATTAATGCCAAAGAGAAAGTCATAAATGTGATAAGAATTGCTAAATATGTCCTGAATAAAAATGCGATAATAAGGCTGGGCATTAGGAAAATCAAGAACATTTATGTTCTAAATAAGATCATAAATGCAATAATATTTGTTAAGTGTTTGATTGTAAAAGTAATTGTATGAAAGGTTTCAAGCATAATAATCAGCATAATTGTGAAAATTAACATCCCTGCAAGGAAAAATGTAAATTCTGTAATGATTAATGTTAAAAGGATCGCTCAAATGATCATAATGATCATAATTGCATGATAAAATATTGCATTCAAACTTGTAACCTTTGCAAGAGAAAATGTTTTAAGGAACATGAGCATTCTTTGAATTCAGATAATCATTTTTGTGAAAATCCACATTAATGTGAAAAATGGTGTGAAGAAAAAGGGATATGCAAAATAGATTATGAAACTAAAGAAATAATATAGAAAAATTAATCATCTGAGTTCTCATTTATAAAATATCAACCAGTCGATATTGGAAAATAAAAATGTCAAAAATAAATCCCAGCAGGTGAAAATCAACATTAAGGGCCACATATATGCAAAAATCAAACCTCAAAGTAATTTCATAATTGTGATTAATAATGTCCTGAGTGTAATACATATTGTGATTTAAAATATGGTCATAAAGGTCTTCATTCTTCAGATAGACATCGAAATAAAGAAAATCAATAATTTACAATATAAGAAGGTATTTAAGTTAAAATTGAAATTTAAGAAACAAATAGAAAATATGAGATTGGTGATAGTTCTGAACCTGAAAGTTGTGATCTAAGTTGCAAAAGAAAAGGAAGAGCTCATTTTCACTTAGTTAAATGTTAAGGAAAATAATAATGTTTAGCAAAATAAAATGATTAATTTAAGGCTAGACATTCAGAAGAAAAATATGTTGGATTTGAAGATTGTAAATTTGATGAAGTTTTATGTATAGATTTTTGGAAATATTATAATTGGTCGCATCCAATTATGAATGAATCTGCGAAAATTAGTAGATGTAATTATTATTGCCCTTTATGTAATTAATAAAATGGTGCCTTATCTTTTTGTAATTAAGAAGCTTGGCACACATAAGATGAAAGAATAAGTTCTCATGGGTTTGATTGTTTTGAAAATCATAAGAATAACCCTATCTTGGGAATAAACATAGCTTTCGTTATTGACACAACTTCATCTATGCAAAGATATATTGAGTTATGTAAAAATACAATTATAGAAATAATGTCAAAATGTAGAGGTAAATAAAATATAAACGGTGAGGAAATTATAGTCAATTTTGCGGTTGTATCATATTAGGATCATGATCCTCCTTATAGTAAATAGTAACAAATCTTGAAAATTTAAGATTTTACAACTGATAAGATTGTGATTTAATTTTTAAATAAATTAAAGGCTGAAGGAGGAGAAGATGGACCAGAAGCTGTAATGGATGGATTAAATGCTTCATTAGGGTTGAAATGGAATTAAAACTATGAAAAACTTTTGTATTTAATTGCTGATGGTCCCCCTCATGGAACATAATATAGTAATTATTTGGATTATTTCCCTGATGGCTGTCCATGTGGTTTGCGTTAAGAGAATATTTTTAAAGAGTTATCAAAATTAAAAGTAAAATTATAAATATTAAAATTAAATTAAATGATTAATGGAATGATTGCTGAATTTAAAAAGGATTATAAAAATTTATCAGTAATTACTCCACAAAATAAAGATGAAAATTTATTTTAAGATTTGATGGTTGATGAAATTTGCAAATATTTGACTAATAATGAGATCACCTTTTAAATGAGAAAATGATTTCTTATAGTTCATATATTTTAAGACTATTTTTAATGTTAAGTATACAGTTTTGGATATTTATTCTATTTTATAAATTATTTTATTGTAAATTTTGTTATGCGAGCATTTTAACTAAGGGCAAAAGTCCTACTTTTATCCCCAAAGAGAGCACTTTCCTAGACTCCAGACAAAGTCCTTCAAGCTCGCTCTCAAATTTTTGCAAATG